GGGGCAGATATGCGAGGATTCGAGCAGAGTCGTGACCACAGGTCGCGCCAGCGAAGAACTCGTCGCTGTCCCTCAACTTGAACCGTTACTACATAATGGAATTTCATTGACAGTATCACATACCGTTGGCGAAGTCCTCGATGACTGATGAGGTCGAATAATGCAATGATTCAACATCGTCTACAAGTCGGTATATGTATGACGAGAAGAGTGGAAAGAAACTAACGGAGTCAACCAACCATGTCTTGGTTTGTCTGTCGTAGAAATATACGGACATACGAGTTTATATCAACGACTGGTTCTTCCAGCGGCATGACGACCAAGGGGTCTTCGAGGTCTGTCTTGCCGGCTGCCTTCTTGCCCCGCCATATCTCGTGTAGGCATCGTCTACTGATACTGCCAGACAAATGAGCGTGCAACTACATGCGGGAAAGACGTCAGCATAACATGTCATAAAATGTAAGTATCTAAGTAGGTGGGCAGAACATATGACCGCCGAGGTCCGCTAGACGGGATGACATCAGATGATGCATCCAACCATCTATTGTTCATGTGTAGGTAAGATTTACCTCAATCTTGGGCATGGACTTCAAGTCAGAGTCTAGCATCATAGGCATACTTGAGTCGTGTCATCAACTGCACTTGGCACTATATGTCGCATCAGATTCTTGTCCTATCACTGTTGAACTTGTTGTTGTGGTTGTATTGCAAACGACAAAGGAACCAATTATCTACATTGGGAAGGATTCCAGAAGCATACTGTATGTAGGTAGTGAAGTATCTACTGCACCTGGGTAAAGTAGGCAATGGGTCGGATTTGATGATTGGAGTATTTGAGATACATCTAGTTACACAGTTAGGTAGTTGTATCACGAAGGCTTTTCCCTCCTACATGTCCCCGCTTCTCTAGGTTACCGGTAAATCGGGATGTGAGCAAGAAAGAAATAATCTAGTTTGTCGTCAAGTACATTCTTAGAAAGTCCTCTCTTCGACAACACCTACAATACATGTAGAGTGTTTAATTACACTTGACATGTTACTTGTACGTATAAAACCCCTACCTACCTATGTAAGTAGTGTAGCTGTCCACGCCTACTAAGTACTATGTAAGCTACTAGCCTATTCACGATGACCGAGATCGATGGTAGTGGATTAGTTGCAGTTGAGGATATCGTTAACCCACATTAGCTTCGGGCCTAATACGATCGATATGAGAACTATTTATCGTAGCACCTGGATACAGTAACAGTATGTACATCTAAGGAGGTATCTAGGACCGGGCTGTCGGGACTGATAACCTCGGATCGTTTCTAGGGCTGGGAGGTACTGTCAGTATAAGCACCAATGAAAAGTAGCCAGGCATCTGTAGGTCTACCTATATCGGTAGGTATAGGTGTACGTACTATTCCCCAAAGCCGATACCGAGACTGCTGGTGGCTCTTGAGGACTTCCAAGCATCCCTAGCGAGGAGACGTACGTTGACGTGGTATCACAGCATGTAAGTATGTAATACCTGGAGATAGGTAGACAGGCTGCAATAAAGGTTTTAGACAATACCTAGATCTCACCAACAAGTAGGTACATGATGCGGAAGCTTAACCGGATTCATGATCGATGAACAAGACAAGACACAGACGGCAGACAGTTCAACAGAAACAAACGCACAGGCGTGGGCCTTCCAGAACAGGGGTTTACGCGAAATTTGATCGTCGAGTGGCCGGCGGAAATTGAACCGCCCAAGACCACCACGACCACCACGACGGGATTGGCCAGAAGCCATATGCAAGTCAGGGGAACTATCGACCGTCCAAATTTCGTGCACTAGCGTCCCTAATTCTGTGTAGGTAATTCTAGGTATTTGCCCATTTACCAGGGGTCCGTTGTCTGTAAGTAAGTAGGGAGAGGCATTGAAGTGTTTGTATGGCACTCCTCCTTATCCTTCCTTACCTCTGTCTGTAGATGATCCTCAGGTAGAATACCTACCTAGGTATGTATAGGAGCAGATAGGTATGTAACTGCAAGCAAGGACCTATGCAATACGACGTACTGACCGACGCGCCTCCAGGGCTCTCGATGTGGGTTGGGGCTCACAAGGACATCATGTGCTTGTAGGATACAGTAATTGAGATAATACTAAGGCGAATGAATGGCTGAAGCTACAGTAGGTACACTAAACAAATGCTTACATCTACAACATCTACATACATGGTCTACCATATTATGGTAGGTACCGTATGTCATGTTCGGAGTGTTGGCTTGAACCAACATACCTACTCCTTCTCCTATACACGTATCGGTGTGTCTCCGGATTGAGGATCAAGTAAATAAATGTAGGATTTATAAGCTGTAAGTTTTCAAATACCTACATACATATATAGGTATAGATTCCACATCATTAGCAAAACACCTGTGCACCAAGCTATAAGTACATTTAAGGCTGGAAGAGGCGTCCGGCCCGTGTTTTGTAAGCCATGTCGGATATCCTAGCTTTCGCAAAATCTGCCTTGCCTGGTTTACACTACTACCCAACCCAGCCCAGCTACCTACCTACAAAGTACACTGCGCTAGGTACGAAGTAGGTACTCCCTTGGAAAAGTTCACATATATTGTTGTTGTTATGATATCAATTACTACGGTACATCTGGTACAACAACACGCGATAACTTCGTCCTACACACGATGTAGGGCTCGGTAGGTAGTAGATAGTACAAAGGAATATCGGTAGGATGCGCACATTTCACTTAACCTCTTACCTCTATGTAGGTACTATACCACAGGTGGGAGTGATAGTGGCCGACCGTTTGTGTTAGTGGGTCTTGGACCGACACCTACCTAATTCTCTCCACTGGAGCTTCTCTCGACAGCTAACGGCTGCAATACTATGCGCTAACAGCACCTACCCAGGGATGTACCTACATAGGTAGGTACCTGCCGAGCGCCTGCTTAGGCACAGAGGTCTGTGAGAGAGGTAGGTACCTACACTAGGCGTCTGGGGCACAGGTATCCCGGACTAGGCGCAATTCGGGTCCGTAGCTCCTCCGCGACGGAGTCTTCACATTGTTATAAATCCAGGAGGAGATAAGTATACGTGTAATGTACTACTTATGTAGAGCAGTGATGATGACTAAGATAGTATTAAGTGAGAAGAGTAGGAACAGTGCCAATAGTGTGCTGAGGAGCTTTCAGAGGTGCAGAATGGGTGAACATCCCAGCCACAGCCAAATACGACAGTTTGGTTAGTGCCTGCACAGTACAGTAAGTACCTACCCACATACATATGTACCGTACATAGTGTAGATACGCATGGGATACACCCAGCCGACAGAGAGCGGGTACCTCGACACAAGTGGTGGTTAGACCGAGCTCGATTGAGCAATGTAATCTCCTTGTTCGGCTTAGCTGGCGTGGTTTCCCACATCTCCTTCCTAGCTTTACCTACTCTGTCTACCGTATGATATGTATGTACCTGGGACGGCTGGCTGCGTTGGTCCCTTTTTCTCGCAGGCTGGGCCACCCGTCAGCCAGCGTTCCCGGCTGCTTCATTCGCTGAACTGGCACCTGCCCAGCACTGGCTTCCATGGCCCTACTCTATTTAATATGAGAAGGAGATGCCTACTAGTGTGGTTTAGTGTCTACACTGTGTCGGAGGAGTTGGAGAAAATGGAGAACTATTTACGAAGTACAGTAGAAGTCCTGTGCTGTGAATAAGTGTGTCTACATAGCAATTACCTGCCTCAGCATCTACCTAGGTAGCAACATCTAGCATGGACAGACGTGGTGTTGAAGCGCTAATGTAGGTAGGAAGGTACCTAGGTAGGTAAGTAGGTTAGCAGCAACCACCAGCCCGAGATTTCTGGCCACTATCACCCAACTGTACTACACCTGCAGCTAGGTACCTACCTACCTACCTATAGCAGCCACTACCCCCATTAACACCTACCTAACCTACCTAACTGCACCTACCTACATAGCTTGCCCACAGTACCCCAAAGTACCTAGGGTAGGTACCTGCCTGCCTAACAATCATAACCTCGACCACCACTACCACTACTACCACCACCACACAACCACCCCCCTGGACTCCCTAGAGCTTTGCATCCCCATCCCCCCCCCAATCCACCTGCATCCATCCATTCATTCATTCCTCTCCCGGCCAAACCTCCACCGCTCGTAGCCCCCGACTGATTGCCAACCTCACACCTATCCTCTCTCTCCTTTTTCGAAGCCCGAGCCTTGGTGTTTCGTCCACACGCCGCGTTCCATTCACGACTTGGATCCTCAATTGTCGTCGCTCCCACGTCTCACACCCCTTTCACCCATCGCCTCCCGTTATCGTCGTTTTGGCCGCTTGCTCATTCGCCGCCGTCGCCCGCGATCCCTCCGCCTCCCCGGCATCTCCCTCCCCTTCTCTCTCGCCGATACAAGTCACGTCTCGTCCGAAAACACCCAACCATGGATTCGCAAAGAGGGAACGACGTGTCGCCCGAGGCAATGCAGGCGCGCATTCAGCAGGCGCGACGCGAGGCTGAAACCCTAAAGGATAGGATCAAGCGGAAAAAGGATGAGTTGGCCGACACAACACGTAAGTCTCGTCATCGCCCTCGTTGTCGTCGGCGTTCATCAATCTGCCATTCGGCTTCCATCGCCATTGTTGCTAATCTTGTCTTGGTTTTGCCCGATTAGTTCGCGCTGTAGCGCAGCAATCTCACGAGTCCATCCCGAGGAATCAGTTAATGAAGACAAAGAAGACACTCAAGGGCCATCTAGCCAAGATCTACGCTATGCATTGGTCCACCGATCGGAGACATCTCGTTTCCGCCTCACAAGATGGCAAGTTGATTATCTGGGATGCTTATACAACGAACAAAGTACACGCCATACCACTGCGCTCGTCTTGGGTTATGACCTGCGCTTACGCCCCGAGCGGTAATTATGTCGCCTGCGGTGGCTTGGATAACATCTGCTCCATCTATAACCTCAACCAGAATCGAGAAGGACCCACTCGTGTCGCCCGGGAATTAACTAGCCATGCTGGCTATCTATCTTGCTGCCGCTTCATCAATGACCGCAGCATCCTCACTTCGTCAGGCGACATGACCTGTATGAAATGGGACATTGAAACAGGCACCAAGGTTATGGAATTTGCCGATCACTTGGGCGATGTCATGAGCATTAGCTTAAACCCAACAAATCAAAACACTTTTATCTCAGGTGCCTGCGACGCCTTTGCCAAATTATGGGACATTCGTGCCGGCAAGGCTGTCCAGACCTTCGCTGGACACGAATCCGACATTAATGCCATTCATTTCTTCCCAGATGGTCACTCATTTGTCACTGGTTCGGACGACGCGACCTGCCGGTTGTTTGATATCCGTGCTGATCGAGAGCTCAACCTTTACGGCGTAAGCTTCGTTCCCACATAAGTCTTCGTGTCCGCTATATTAACCATACGTTTTAGTCCGAATCTATCTTATGTGGCATTACATCCGTAGCTACATCTGTTTCAGGACGACTTCTATTTGCCGGTTACGATGACTTTGAATGCAAGGTACGCTCGAATAGCAATACACTCACCTTCACACAAAGCCGTATACTAATCCTTTGCTTAGGTGTGGGATGTCACGAGAGGGGAAAAGGTCGGCTCACTCGTGGGCCACGAAAACCGTGTCAGCTGTCTTGGAGTTAGCAACGACGGTATCAGCTTGTGTACTGGTTCTTGGGACTCTGTGGTAAGTTGCATAACATCCTGTCGCGGTTCTGTGTTTATTACTTTTCAGTATGGCTAATTTCTGTAGCTCAAAATCTGGGCATACTAAATCTTACCTCACGACCTGGGGAATAATGTGCTATAATATATATAGCTTCAGCCGGGGATGTTCCGAACTAATGCCTATTCGATCCGTATTTGCAACTCTGATCTAGAGTTGATGTAGACACGACGACGCCACGAAACCCTTTCCCCCCTTTGACCCTGGCCAGCATTGTACTCGACATTATTTGATACGGTGCATTAACACCACTCGAGAGGAGAGGGAAAATTATTTTTTTAGGTTATACCTCAAACCGTCAACATCATAATACCACGCCTTGCCACCCGAATCCTGTTGACTCACGACGGCCGTCCGAAGCCGTTAGCGATTATTAAATCTACTACTTTACGCGCGCACTCGTAGGCGTCACCGCAACCCTACGGGGTATAGACCTATACCAGGCGAGGTATTGGTCTGCGGTCGCCACTTCTCCCTTTGTGAACTGGTTTCCCCTATTCTCAGCTTATTGATATACGGATTACGATGTGTTCTCGCACCCGAGGAGCGTGTTCATATTAACTGGTCTTTCTGTCGAAAAATTCCATTCCTGCGCGTCTTTATGTTTTCTCGTTTTTTTTCTTCCTTCACTAACAACTCCCGGTTTCTCCTCATGGTAGATGGAGCGGAGGTTGTCTTTCATGTTCTTTTTTTTCGAAGATACAAAAAGAATATCATAGTTGAGAGAGAAGGGTTGGACGGGGGTCGATAGCCCCAAACTGTGTAGGGGGGAGGCTTAGTGAAGAGGGAAAGAGAAAGAGAGTCACATGCTTGGTCTGCATCGTGGCTGGTGATGATTTATTTGGCACATAATCACCCCAAAGGTCCCGTTCCTAGATTATCCCCTCTTCTCGCTTGTTCCGCTCGTCGTGGCGGCGCAAGTGTGGTCGGGCTTCTTCTAGCTTTGGAAGTTACCTACTTCAAGGCGGTCAGAGAAAGTAAAGAGGAGCGGGGAGCAGAGCAAAGCAAAGCAAAGCAGAGCAAATGGGAACAAGGCGTCATTGGTGGTTGTCTCTTCCCCCCGTCTTTAAACTGCCTGTACCAATAACCATATAGCCATGTCCTACGAATGCCAAAGATCGTCTTAAAAATGTTACAGAACTCGTTGTTTTTTTTGGTTTGGTTGAGTTCTCTGAACGTAATTCGTGTTGCATGATTTGCGTAGGCCTTGTTAACTTTTGGGGGGCGGGGGAGCGCGGGGGGGGTTTTGTTTAGATAGATGTAGATGGTGAAGGGCTGGTGGGTATACAATATTGCTTGAGGTAGGTAATAGGCAATAGAGAGAGAGCGACTGATTGCATGTTGTTGGTGTTGGATGTTTGTTATATCTCGGAGGCGAGGAGTGCAGAATCCATATATGATTGGTTTAGGTTACTTCTGCGTCTCTCGGGGAAGTCTTGCTGAGAAAGATTAGGGAATTATAAAATGAAATGGAGTGTACTTTTGTATCTCAGTGGGCATTTTTATGAATTCACTTACTTTATATATGGCATCTGTCTTTGGTTGGTTGGTGGTTTGGCTGAGTTGGTCGGTTGGTTACTTGGTCGTTTAGGTAAGGTTTGTGATTCTGGGGCTATATATATATATATATATATAAGTGTGTGTGTGTGGGTGCGTATAGATAGATATGTAAATAGGTGGATAGATGAATTGTGGTACTGTGTATGTGATGAGATGAGATTCATACTTCTGGTATGTCATAGCTGGATATGTGTATGGGAAGATGGGGGAAAGACCGAAGGCAAGGGAAGGGAAGGGATGGACGAGATATGGTGGATCTAAAGTCGACGTCCCCCATTTCTCTCTAGATGTTCAATTATGTATTTCTGTACGAGGGAATGATCTTATTGTTCAGTCCGTCTTTCGGATGGAGGAAAGAAGTCTTGTGTGAATAGCTTCATAGCCTACCTACCTTGTGCTAGGGTTGGTTGGATGGGTAGCTGGGTGTATGTGGAATTCCTAGCCTGGTACGCCCCGTATATCTTCCGGGAGACTTTGTCCGTGGAAAAGTTGGCGTATTGGATGAGCCCTGGCATTGAATACTAATAATAATAGCAATAATAGTAGTAGTATTTGATGAGACCAAGAGAACGAACGCATAGGCTAGCTAGCTCTTCTCTTTGAGCAAGTAAGTGAGTGAGTGAGTGTCTGGCCCATGGTCTAAGATGGGGCATATTGTGTACGAAGAGTGCTGGATGTGTGCTGATCTGATTTGAGAAAGAGCGAAGGGGGGTGGTGAGGGGTGCTGTGAGAGACGGGCTTGTTCAGCTGGTTTTTGGTTAGCTGGTCATGTGAGATAGGGGGAATGAGGAGGAGATATAGATATTATTCGCGGGACGCAGGTAGTAGTGTATAGAGAGAGCATCTAAGTAAATCAATATGAATTGCAGGGTGTGTGGTACTTCATTAGTCCTTCATGGTGAGTTTTGACACTTGGGTACTTTGAAATGTTTGAGAAGGAAAGAATATATATGCTAAGAGGGTGTTGTAGATACATAGCATTTGGTATCTCGTCCAGAAGCCTGAGGGAATTCAGGAAGAGCAACTAGGAGTTGCTATGCTGTTTGCTTTCCTTTATGGTATTAAATTTCCAACCGCCCAATACGGAGACTTGGATTGATTCATCACCTTGTTAGAGTCCGGCTTCTTATCCAGATTCAGATTGCTCGGGATGTGCAGTGTAGGGGTATATGACAGCAGTAGTTTGGTTGATAATCGAAATGAAACGGTCTGTTCTGATACTAGCTTTGTCGGCTAGGAAATGGTTTAGAATAGTGTATTCTTTTTTATAGTGACGTTACCGTTCATACCAGCGTTTCAACCCGAATCATCGCCAAGTCTCGCGTTCTAGTTATACACATATGAGACAACTAGGATTTGCTCTGCGTCTTCAAGAGCTTGAGCTCGTGTGTCTTATGTAGAACCTCTTACATGGCTAATGGGTGTTCTTGACCATCTCAACTGAGCTCTTAGGCCGAGGCTGAGAGCCTGGTCGTAAAATCGATCATGGCCTCTCGGCGAGTTGATATATTTAGAAGAAGGAATTTGTAGTATGTAAGTAGTAGACTTGCATAGATATCTGCGGAGTCCTACGGAGGTTACATCTCCGTCACGAGTAGGCGCTCAGTCATGGAATGATCAAAGGCAAGTCTCGTACCACGGATGTGATCTGGTAACCCGTTCTTACAGTGCTTAAGCACCGACTTTCCCGTGCGCTGTCTTATTCTTGTTCACCTGCATACCGACTATTTATGCAAGTTAAGTAGTATTTGTATCTGCTAAGGATCGTCCTCCACTTGTTGGAAGTGTCATGAGCAACAAAAGAGGCGAACATGGAACTGAGGTAGTATGGGATGAGATGAGATAAGAGAGGTATGCTGTGTTTGGAAAGTGGAGTGGTCTAGCTAGGTATATGAGATGTATGACTACCTATAACTACATATATGAGATATATATCATGTGTGTTGTGTTGCAATCAACAATGGCAAACGCAGATGAATGCAATGTGCTTATGGGGGCCAGCAATCTATGAATAGAAGCAGCAGCAACAGTGATATTTCTGGTATGGCCTCCAAAAAGTGATAGCAGTTGCTGGCTAGAATATTGGATATCACCTGATTCTTTAACATAAACGGTGTCATGTTTACGATGGCTTGTAACAATCACGTCCTGGACATGAGGGAGAGCTATCCCTTGACACGTATCAGAGTTACACTAGGTTCAACTCTGGTTGATCTACTTTGTATGAACTCTAGCTTGTCTGCAATGGGATACCAAGTCCGTGGATGTGGATGCGTTATGTACTGTAGTTAGTAGAAACCGCCGGAGTTCTCACATCGAAGACATGAGACATGTTGGTTTAACGGCCGAATTTGGGGATTACCGGGTAGGTCCTGAAATATACCAACTTGTGTAAAGCTGGGAAAGTGACAACACATTTACTCAGTATGTACATACTGCACATGTGTATATGATCTACATATCCACTGTACTCCATAGTCTACCTAGGTGGTTTCCTATTGAGCATGTGTGTTTTCATAATTGAGTTATAAGCAGTGTCTCTGATTATACTTTCCAATATAGAGATACGATGGTGAGCGGAGGCAGTCATGTTGAGAATGCAGAGCTGATTTACCCTTTCAATCCATCCCCTACTGTGTAGTATCTAGCCGATCAACCGGGTAATAACTTCTTAACCTGGGGTATTCGGGTAGTAGGTAGTATATATGAAGCAAGACTAGTAGAGACTAGCAACAATCTACTAAGCACACTTGAACATATTGATTTATCCACGGCCAAGAAGGAAAACTGACCTAACCTAATTGCTTCACTCATGATGTGTGCCGTGGTTCATAAACACGATACAGATGTAAATCCGGAGAAACAAAAAAGTGTGAGAACTCGCGTGGCATCGTGCAAGGGTGGGGTGATCGCAATCTTTCGAAACAAGAACGGTTCTCGCGCGGTTTTCAAAAGGGGCCCGAAACCGCGAACTCAAAAGCTGACGGGTAGGCTCGTGACCTGTACCTATTTTTATCCCACGCTGGATTTCACCACGTTCATGGTCACATTTAGACTTACTTATACTCTAAGCAATTGGACCTGCGAAAGGCTGACCATTGTCATGGAAAGGTGTTATCTGTTCACGGCATCCATTGATTACCGACCTAGTATGGATGAAGGGCGGCGTAGAGTGTAGGTAGCGGTTAGTTTGTTAAGTGTATTAAAACGAGAAGAGTATGTTACTCCGCGTATTACAGGTCTACATTCAATGGCATAGCCCTAAGTGATTTCCGAGGTTCGGCTCTAATGTCCGTTTACAGATTTATTGTCGTGTTCCTCGCCCGAATACAGCGTACCAATGGCCCCAGAGAGATTTTCCTTCTGCGCCACGCATAGCTTCCATTCCGCAAGTGCCGGATGCTACCTATTTCAAGCATAAAATGCGCACGTACATCAGCATTCGTTCTCGAGACGCTTCAAGGCCGCCCGTTCGTAGGCTAAGTTATGAAACTGCACATGTGACCGACATGCCTCGCGGGATCGTAGGCAACCTGTAGATCCCGGCATGGTGGTGGCCACATCACACGTGGCCATGGCACGCCACGTGCTGCTCGTCCAACACAAACAAAAAGCACACCAACGAGCGGCACAATGCTGTGACGTAGGTTATCCGAGGTTATCTTCGTATCGGCTGATTTCCAGCCTAACTACTGTAAGTGGCAATTCGTCTTCATGTCAAGATTGTAGCAGGGCATTATCCTATCAAAGGACAACCCCGCTTGCGTCTGATTGCGAATGACCAGGGCAGACAGGGCTAGCGGCGTTGCTCTTCTCGCTTGGGTATCTGAGTTCGTCTGATTGTGCTATTTTACCATCCATATCATGCACACACAACGACGATTCTAGGGATGTTGATCTACCCGAAATCCAGACACGCTGGTCCGCTGGGCCGGGAAGCCACCGATCCTCGAACGATCAAGTCAGCGTGAATACAGTCGGTAGGCGGCGGTGGAGGGAATTCCCAAACGCTACAGCATCCATCAGACGAGAATCTCCTCAGCCGTGCAAGGAGCAGGGCTCATCTTGCTTCCTGATACCCCTCTGATTGGATCCTCGATAACCGGTGTTTTGGAACGATGGGGGATTCTATGTCCCTAGTGTACAGTAGTCTAGAAAATTGGACGCCCCTGATCGCCACCACTAGACCCCTGTCCACCTAATGTGCTTCTGTTGATCATGGTAAGCGAGCGGGCAAGCGAGTAACAAGATGATCTGTCTCGAGATTAACACCCCGAGATCCAATGTCATGAACCCCCTGTTTGGACCATAGTTGACCCTATTAACCTTGTATGATCATAGTGCATACCTACCTCTCATCTCGCAAGTTATAGACGTAGATCTACCTATACACATACCGTTGTCGACAGGTTGACGCCCCTTTCCAGAGCCCTTTCCTAGATGCCGAAAGTCCTTGACAAATCTGCGATGGTCCATTGCATTTGCCACCGTCCCCCCTCTAGCTCGCTCGAGGTAGCGGTGTGTGGTTGACAAGTTGGTTCTTCGGGAACGCATGGCATTCGGTATCCTGTGTCGGATTGCGGTGGAAATTCCTCGTTCGATAAAAATAGAGACTTTGGTCTTGGCCAGCACGTGTTTATGCGCCTAATGCATCCACTCTTTTGCCGCAACCATTCAGTCTGACAGCGTTCGCGTGGTGGCGTACTCACTTGCTTACTTACTCCCGAGTCCCAAGGACTCTAGACTCTCTCGAGTAGCGACATACGCCTATCTATATTGCTATGTTCATACCGAACTAGTAGAAGTACACGATAGATGTACTACTTAAATAGGCAGCAAGCTGTTTGCTTGGAAGGAGGGCATTGGTATTGCACCTTGTTCCCCCGGTTTCCCTTCTCTAGCTTCTTTGCCATCTTTGCAACGGGCATGCCGCTGTTACACTCCAGTCTAGGCTTAACCGATGTAAACTATGCTACGTTATATGTCGGTACCTGTTTGGCATAGCCAATGAATTTTTCATGTAGGTCATTTCTCGTAGGCAACATCAATCAAATAACCTGCATAGCCGTGGGTGGTATTGCAGCGTAGTAATTCATGTACCAAGTAGCAGTGTAATCAAAGGATACCGGCAGGAAATATATCAATTTAGATGGGCGACACATGGCGAATGCAACGACTCTTTTGGGCCGTTCAATTTGGCCAATATGGTAACGAAAAAAGACACTGGTAATACTAACACGATCATGATCATGACGATAATAATAGCTGAAAGGAATATTGGAGGAATGCTGCACCACACAGCACAGAAGAAGAGCAAGCGGTGAGGACTTACCTAAAGTAGGTATCTACGGATGGGTAACCCATCTCTGTATTTCTGCAAGTATCAGCGACTGACTCATCCGTCAACCCGCCAACCCGCCAATTGCATGGACTATGTCAATAGCTAATTTTAAGTATTGACTTAGGACTCTTCATCTCTAGTGAGATCAATACTAATTATGCCACTGGATCGTAAATGATGCTGCCTCATAAGTAAGGCTTAAGCCTGTCCCTCTGCGAGCGGTAGATGGATGGGCGGAATGACGAGCAGGGAAACGGAGACTCCGTTAGGCAACTTGCTTGGATCTGCTTGGATTCATTTAAAGCTACTAACCTAAGAAAGCTAGGATAGTGCCGTTTCAGGGCATAATTTAGCACGTTTTGGCTTAGCATTGCCCACAGCCACTGCTAATACTAGCCTACCTTGGCTCAAGTCTGTTTCGGTAGCGGACTGTACTGGGCCTACCTGGGCCTAGGTACCTGGAGTACCTAAGTACATGTACCGTAGATGCCGATGTGTGTCCCCTAATTTTGTGTGACCACCGTGGGAGTGTAGTTGTATGTGTACGCGTCTTATCAACATCAGTCTGTAGGTACTATATTTCGATCATCGTGATCAAATTTGCCTGGAAGCCTACTACTTACTTAGTATGTAGGTAAGTAAGTACGGCAGTAGGAGCTCCACGTGCCTCGTCTGCTTTGGTGTGCACATTCCATTTTTCTCCTTTGTTTCCTTTGTCTGCCGTGTCTTCCCACCACACCCACACACACCGTCATTCTCGCACATCCCCCTCAAAGACGACAAAGACCTGAAACGCTTGACACAAAGCAGACAGGGCTCATTCTCACCCTCCCTGCTTTGACAAGCCTTTGACCCTGGTTCCCTGACAACCGCCAGTCTTGATTAGGCATTGTTCCAGAAGGCCCCTTGTGCCATTCCGACCCATTCAACCGTGCCATCACGCATTACGCCGCCTACCTACCCACCCTGCCAACCCGGCCAGGCGAACAACAACATCCTGGCACATCCCCGACCAAGCGAGACCAAGCGAACCCAACCGACTGACTGACCGACTCCGTCATACTATCCAACTACCTTACCACCTCTACTATTTACCAAGTGGTGCTGGCAGCCGCTTTTACAATCCATCCTCCCCATCCTTTTTATATAATCCTTGCGATCTCGCACCCCCCCATCATCGCCTCTCTTCCTTCCCTCTTCTTCTTCTTCTTCTTCTTCACTATGACTTCGACTTCTATCAATAACAATCCAACGCCCGCTCAGGAAGAATTCCAGAGCTTCATTGACAACAATACCGACAAAGGATCCCGTGTACATCCAGAAGACAGAGACGACCACGACAGCGACCACAGCGAACAGGACGAAGAAGACCGTTATCGTAACGCTCAGATCGAAGAAGCCATGCGTGCCCCCGTTATCCGATCTGGTGACATCACGTTGCCGCCCGCTAGTTTCGACTCGGGACGTGCTACCGGCGTCAAGGGTGTCATCGCTGATGCAAGGGCCTATGAACAGGCGCGCCAGGGCAAATGGCGGAACAAAGTCAGCGCCGTGCGCCGCTCAGTCATGGGTTTATCCATGACTGATCGTCCAAACGGTACCAATGTATCAAGCCCCGCAGACAGCGAAGACGATGTAGACTCCGATGAGGAGGCCTTCTTACAGCAGTGGCGCGAGGCGAGGAGGCTGGAGTTGGAGGCCGAGGCCAAGAGTAAGAATGTCCGTAGTCGCCGGACGAGTCCCAGTCCTCGCATGTTCGGCCGCTTTGACACGGTGGATGCCTTGGGTTACCTTGATGCCATCGAGAAAGTTGGCAGGGACACAACTGTCGTCGTATTTGTTTACGATCACGAGGTTAGTATACCATCCTCATCTACCCCTCTCTTCCCGTTCTTTGTCACGAAATGCCCATGCTAACCTCAAACATAGTGCCAAGTATCAGGAATGATGGAATCAGCCCTGCGCCCTCTCGTCTCCGCCTATCCTTACATCCACTTTGTGAAGGTGCACTATGAGGACATCGAATTTGACAACGCCGCCGTCCCCACCATCCTTGGCTATCGAAACCAGGGAGACCTGTTCGCCAACCTCACGGGAATAATTGACATGATTCCCGAGGATGAAGACTTTGATACCGATTCACTCAAGAAGGTGCTGCAACGCAGCGCTGTCTTATAAGATGGATCCCCTCAAACCATGCGCCTGGCCTGAGAACTACCCAGGCACTCTTTCGCCGTGCCGACTCAGACACCCTACGTCACCAGCCTAGGACGCGCAAATTATCATCTACTTGTTTTCTTTTCTTACAATCGCACTGTTTTTGTTTCTTTTCACTGTTTATATCATAAAGCCTTTTAATGGCTGCTCTGATTGCATCCGGAGCGTGTGAGGATACTTTGTTGATACCCAAAAATTGCGGTTTGGTAAAGGAAAGGGAGCATCACCAAATGTTTTTGATTGAACTTTTTGGGACAGCGCAGTCAGTTTTTTCGATGCCCAAAGTGTATCCTCGTGTGAGGTTCAGACCTCTTCGCCAGCCCGTGGACCTGATAGGCCGCGGGATGGGGAAAGCGGGAGGACGATACCCCTGGGAGGATGAGCAGTAAAATGAATGGGGCGTCACGGATAGATCTTTTAGACGAACTGGACTATTAAGCATGCCATGCCGCTCATGGCTGCTCTGGTTTTCAGGCGTTTTGGGGGAATAGGGGGATAATGTATATATGACGTTAGGAGACTCTCTATTATTAATCGTGTATCTACTTTAGAACACATATTCACAACCATGATAAAGCAGATCATATTAATAGTGCTCCCTATCTTAAGGCACTTATGTACTGTCAATCCTTCCTCCATTTCAGGTCTTGTAATTCCCGCCCTAGATAGAAGATCTTGTAAGTTGTATAAGATAGTACTATAGGTATCCAATATTTTGCCTAGATTTCACTAGGTATCAATGTTCAGTCTTGGTACATATCTAGTCTTGAACCCAGTAGTAAGGCAAGGGATAGAATAGACAATTATCATAATGTTTCTACAGATACACATTTACGCACTGACATACCGTAGAGCCTGGATACGAGACGGAGTCGCAATGGCACATTTGAGTATATGCCACGGCTAGGGCTACACAAATTGTGTGAGGTAGCACATAACTACGTATGATCATATATTCAAGACATATTACCTTGTAGTTTGATCCAAGATACCTTTCACAGGTGAGGCATTCATTTTACCTGTAATTATACTTTGATTTTTACAGGATCACCTGGGACCAGGCTGAGAGAAGCTATTATTAGAGTGCATGTGGAAGTCACATCTTATGTAGGTAGGTATGGTAGATTATGCTTTCTGATCCAAGATCCGGGCTCCCCAGCCTTGGAAATCTAGATGTCTCACCTGACTTTCTGATGTGGTACACTAAGAAGGAACATCTATTCACATGTAAGTAAGTACCTAATGTATGTCCTGTGGGTGTGTTGTGTGTGTCTTGAGAAAGAGCAACTTCACGACCTCCGTTCCTCCGTTGATTGAGTGAGGGTTGCTCCGGTCGGAGCCCGCTAAGTAAGTAAGTAAGCGGTGGTGACAAGCCCCACGCTGTTTCAGTAGGTACCTAGGCAATCAACCCCGCCATTGTGACCCATCACAGCGGAACTCGCTAGCTGCGCTAGTGGAGGGCCTGGATTGGAGGGGTTATTTGGATACATCTCTATCTATCCTCCATGCTTTAGATGTCCTCAATCATCCTTCCCTATGTGTATTATTCCGAACCCTATTGTGTATTCAACTTGGGTATTCAATTTGATACCTAATCACATTTCACTGCGTGTAACCCTCGTATGGTGTAGGGTAGTCCTGCATCGATATCAAGGTATATGTGGAGCGCTGTCTAACATGGAGGCTTATGTGAGCTAGGTAGGTAGGTACCTACCAAGAATACGCTACAGTGGCACGGATAGATAAATTGATTGCATGTACCTTGAAAGTACTTGCGCTGACATCGTCATTGTTTGGAGTTGGGATGGATAGCCATGCCATGCCAGCACATTCACATCGGTTTCCCTCACTTTAAGTATATCCCTATCATCCATCCCTATCTCCCTCTGGCGCTCAGTCAATCAAGAGACTTGAATGTCGGCAGTTGGTCCTTTTTTTTTCTTCCTGTAAGCCTGCCTAAACAAATGTCTACCTAAGGCCCGAGCTGGACTGGTGATTGGATTCCTTGCCTGGCTTCTTACTGTGAACCCCTCCTGCTTATCTGCGTGCGTGCGTACACTGGTTGTCAGGTGGTCCGCCTTCGCACTGCACCGTTGTGCCGTTGTGGTTACGACGACCTTTGCAGATATTTGTATACCCAGGTACTCTACCTACCTACATATGTAGATATCACTCTATTCTGAGTCTTGTCCATCCTGCCTACATAGCTGTGTTTGATCTCTTCAAGATACAATAGCAACGCCTACTGTCTTCTGGGCAGTGCTAGATTGTCTACCTTGGCCAAGTAGTATTATATACTGCCTTTCCCAGGGAGACCTGAACTAGGCAGAAAACCTACCTACCTTAGTATATTGCCTCCTTGCTTCTGCATGCCATCACAACTAGTGGCAACCTCTTCGGACAGGCACCTACCAAGAGACCTACCTACGTCTATCTTGTGTACAGCCTCTGTGTGGGATCTAGGATCCTACCTACCTACCTACCTTAGGTAGACTTTGCACACCATCTCGTTAACTTTCTAGCAAGCTACAGCCCTTTTGCTTTTGCTCTTGCTTTGTTCTAGTCTCTCCCCATTGAAGTTAATTCTATTGGGACACGAACAATAGAGGAACGAACGTACCTGCGTGGCATTGTAACTGGCTCTTGGCCCCCCAAGGTTTTCAATACAGTGTTGTTCAATAGGTACATTCAAGGTACCTACTCCTGTCGAGGATCATCCCCTCCCCCAACTTCTCATACACCCCGCCTTCCCACCTTACCTTTCCACTAAACCCAGGCAGCACACCTACACCTTATCCCTCAGCAGCACCACCACCAACTCTGCACCAACCATCAAGACCACCACCACCACGACCTCACTGCGTTACCTACCTACTTCCTGCCTCACTTTCCTCCCTGTCTTACTTCAGCACACTATTTCCATCACCACCGCCTGCTTCTCAAATACATCTTAACCACATACTCTGACAGTCAGACCAAAACATCGAGCACAACCGCAACCAGTGAGTCAGCTAGTTCTAGTCCTATCTCCATCTTTACACAGGTATGAAATGGCCCGGGGCCTGAGTCCAGCATTTTGAGTTTGTGTCCACTTGCCTTGTCTTTAATAAACTCGACTACTCCAGGTTCCTTCTCCCGTTAGCCCTAACTCTTTCGTGTTGTGTCTTCTTACATTCTGGTTCTGCATCGCACCCATCCTTCCGCCTCCTCCGCTCATAGACTCATCCCTCACCACATTCGTATCACATACAGAAGCTAGCCTCTACCAGCCTCAAGTGCGCCCCTACGCAGTCAAATTCCTTGCAAGATTGTGGGATATTTGACGTTCAACTGACATTTACCAGTAGAGGTTCCGCTTCCCGCACCACCACTTACTTCCGACTAAACCCATACACCACTCTGAAGCCCGCAGCGTGTCGCCCCTCGTTTGCTTTGCCTATCTTCCGGTAAACTCGAGGTGTGACGTGATATGCCGACGGCCTTCTCCTTCATCACGTTATGGAACAGCCCGAGACACCCGACGATACACTGAGATCTGTTCAACCACCAAGGCCACCCCCTGCGTCTTCTATCTCGCCTCAGTCCACTCCACGTCTCGCCAACAGCGAGCCAAACCCCGATCCCCCGATCATCGAAGACCTGTCCGATTCTGTACTTTCTCTTCGCTTCCCGAGACCCCTAGGAAACCGCCAGTTGACCAACTGGATTTCCTCTAGTTCACCAGACATAATGCAGCCAGGAAATGTCTTAGAGGAGGATCCCAACTTAGCCGAGCTGGGATACGATATAATTGGAACCGACGGGGAGAGTCAGGCCGAGTCTGTCGCCAGCTCATTCGATTACCAAAAGTCCGATGGCATTCATAGTCTTACCGGTACTGACGTCGATACCGACTCGTCCGATGATGAGGAAACACACATGAATGAGACCACCATATCCGATGCCACTGTTATCGATCGACCTCAAGATGATGAGGCTGCCGAGGCTGCCGAGGCCGAGACCCTCGCCTTGGTGGATCAAAGCCTAGAGAACCCGACCAGCTTATCTCTAACCAACTTTCCTCCTCTCACCTCTTCGTCTCACCTAGACCGTATTGATACCCACAAGCCAACCGGGATCCAGTCTTCGGCCGTTGATAGCCAATGTCTCTCTGGTCCAGAAATATTGCCAGAGCCTTCAATCGAAAAGGAGTCGGAGAATGCGGATCCTTCATCATCTAAGGCGACGAAGGGTCGCAGAATCCCCTATTCGACCCTTAGCAATATCCAGAAGAAGTGGCGGATGATGGTAATGGTGTGTAGCCTTGCCATGATCTATAGCCTCGCACTGGTCACGAAGTCTGTGTTCTTGGCCTCAGGGCCTAGAGAATTATCGACGGTCCCAGTTGCGTCAGTCTCTGTGATTGTGCCCTTGACCTCTACTAAATCCACACATTCCCTCTCGACTTCGACGTCGATAGTTTCGCAGACGCATGCCTCTTTACCAACTGCTAGCTCTCCTAACAGTCTCGTTTTCAATCCATTCAGCAAAGACAATGGTCAAGCCGATGTGGATGCTGTTCCTGTTTTACCACCCATTTGCTCAGCTGAATTATCTGGCCGGGATGAGATCATCATCAGAATCCCCCCAACCATCAAGTCTGACTGGCTTGCTAAAGATGCCATTCTGATTGCTGTGAGCCGCGGGCTTGAGGACATCCCTACGAAGGTGTCTTCAATTGATGCAGGCTTCGCCATTCAAGTGCCCCTAAAAGACGCACATGGTGTGCTGTCTGTGACGATTGTGACAACCCGCAAGCCTTTCGTTAACGAGTCCTTTCGTCTCAATTTTGGCAGCCACCGGTTCACGGAGGCTGTCCACGCCGGCAAGCAACTCGTTCGAGACTTTGCACAGAGAGTTGTCGACACTGTTAATGGAACAACATCGTGGGTCGAGGAGACCTATATCCCTGCCTTTGACGCCATGTCGAAACAAGTATGCGACCAGACGGTCTCAGTCTCCGGCTCGCTACTCCATGGGCTCCAAGAATTGGGCGATGCTTTCATGTCCATCCCCCGTCAGCTCATTGCGCAGATGCAGAATGCTCTTGACATGCAATCGCTTCGCCGCCGTGCTATCCAAATCCAGCTTGAACTGAGACGAGAAGTTGAAGACATCGGCGACGAGCTGCGCATGGCGATGCTCACAAGCCGAATCAATTCGAAGTTGATGTGGTTGGCGCTACGAGGCAAGGTCGAGGAACATGGTGCGTATTTGAACAAAGCCGAGCTGCACTGCAAGGAGCAGCGGGCCCGTGTCGATTCGGCTAGGGTTGAAAGGGCTCAGCGCACCAAGAACAAGATCCAGGCTTGGCGTGAGCGGGACGGCCCCGTTTCTAAAGAATCTTTCTGGCATACTATGGGCGCATGGGCGGGGTTTGAGGAACGTTAAGGTGTCGTTGCATGTCACAATTACAGATATACCACGTGTTGGCTTTAGGCGGTATGGACGTTTGGCGTTGGGTTGGGTTTTCATGGTTTTATTCGTCTCTGCTGTCCCATCGTTTGATAACCTCCCCCATTCATCCCCGGATACCATGCGCAGGCGAAATAGTTATGATGGTATTTACATACATACAGAATCCGATGCTGTTTCGCCTTTGCTCCTCGCTGCGCTGACTGTGGAGATCTCAAAGTCGATGGCTTAGGCTATCTAAGGGTGAATAAGGTAGAGAGAGCCTTTTATTCTCGTACAGAACTTCGTGTCGAGTTTATAATACCTATCCTTATACATGGACGAGATGAGGTTACGGTGGGGGCTATCTTAGGCAACATGTACTTAGCGGCATTAGGTTTTACACGAGGTTGCTAGTGTATTCTTTGTGCAGAGTTCTATGTGGTGACAATAAAGAGCAAATTAGAACATATGTTTATTATTCAGGATGGAATTGTAGACCTTTTTCTAAGTATGTGGCAATGATGAATGTGATGTATTTATATAGAATATTATTGGTATCTCTTGTTAAATATCTTATAACTATTTTGTAAATACTTTCGATGATTACCTGGGACTCAGTCAACATATACCATCATTCTGTTGCTCATTTCTTAATACGGGAGCATGCTTTTTCTTTTGGCGACGATGGAATTTGGAGATGTACATGTGGGTAGCAGACAGACATGATAAGATAAGAGGAGAGACCTCTGCATAAGGGGCCCTTGAGCCGCAAACAGCCTCGTTTTGTTGCGGCTGTCTAAGTTTAAGCTGGGTACGTATACAGTACAGTGGAGAGCGCAGCCAGGTACTTGTCTGCATGCTGAACAGAGCGAGGTCTAGCACTGTTCTAGGCTAATTCCCCCACTAAGCAAGCACTAGGTAGGTATCTAAGCATGTACATATGCAGTACCAGAGCTACAGCTGCCCAAGCCACTGGTATCCACATCTCACTTCCCCAACGCCATCTCATCCATTCATGTCTAATCAAGGGACGACAAGCGCACTTCCATCCAGGCATGGTGCTGCGCCAACGACAGCTCTTATGATTTAGGCCACGAACCCATGATAAAAAGTGTTACCTAAGATACGAGCGACTAGATCTGGTCGACAGTTCGAACCAGACCACTGACCTCTTCACCATGGCGACCGCCGCCGAGGCGCGGAAAGGTACGGATGAACTGATTGATGGTGGACTGATATGTCCCCTCCCCTCACCAACATCTCGGCCATTTCGTTGACGCGCATTCACTCTCTTTGTATAGGTCCTGATGATGAGGGCACGATCAACGTCGCATCTAAGAAAGCCGCCAAAGTCAAACCGAGCGGCCCTATAAAACTCAAGAAGCCCGCGCCTAAGCATACGAAACCGGGCAACTGGAGGGAAGGAAGCGTAGCTGACAGTGAGTTCCCTCGTCACCTTGCGCTGCACATTGGCGTGCTACATATACTGCCAAACTGGAAAATATTCTTTGATACTTACTGCTAGATGTCTATTCAGTTGATAAGAAGCTTAAACGCACTGATGGTGAGTTCTCTCCTTACCTTGTGCTGCGCTTCTAAAGCTGCGCTATATATATGAACAAGTCTTTCCATTCTTACTGATGGGCGTGTGTTTTAGATGATAAGAAACTCAAGCGCACCAACAGCCCCTCGGCTGCTACATCAGCGATCTCGCCACCTACGAGTCCCGTCGTCAACCTGCTCGAGGACGGTCCCCGCGAGACATTTATGAACGGCCGACCACTCGAGGACAACTTGAATCTGCAGCAATGCAAACTCTGCAAAAAGGGTGTTGTTAAGTCCGCCGCTAAAGGCCACGTTGATAACTGCATGAAAATCAAGAAAGAGAAAGCGCAACGCAAGAAAGAGGCCAGAGAAGCCAGAGAACGTGCCAAGGAACAGGCTCGCGAAGAAGAGGCGCGAAAAGCCGACGAAGATGGCGATGGCAAGATGAATGATGATAGCGACGATGATGACGATGGCTCGCCTGAAAAGAAGACTAATGGCAAAGCCTCGAAGAAAGTGGGCGGCAAGAAGCCTGATGGTGAGCTTAAGGGCAAGAAACGGAAGGCTGATGGGGACGCCGACAAGGGACCTAAGAACAAGAAGAAGAAGGAAGAGCCTAAGCCTAAGGTCCCTAAACCAAAAGGTATTTTCTATCCATTCATTGAATTCTTGATTGTTAGTTTTTACTGTATCTCTTACCCTTCGAGATATGCCACTCCTGTTTCGCCCGGATTCTATCACGCTAGTACATCGCTAATTATGAACTCGTTACACAGGACCCGTCGATGTTGAAAAGCAGTGCGGTGTCCTGCTACCAAACGGCCAGCCATGCGCTCGCTCCTTGACCTGCAAAAGCCATAGTATGGGCGCCAAGCGTGCCGTCGCAGGTCGTTCCCTACCCTACGACATGCTACTCGCGGCGTACCAGAAGAAGAACCAAGCCAAGCAGCAGAGTAAGTTGCCACGGCCATTCCGTGTTCAAGTTCCCTCCATCGATCCATCTTTTTTCAACTATGATGAAAAATATAAGGTAAAATAATTAACGAGAGAACCCCCCAAAACAGAGGCGGCATTAGATGCCAACGCACCACTTGAAGAAGACGACGACGCGAACGGAGGACCAGTGGACTCGGACGAGGAAACCACGACGGTCATGACGGCCTTGAAACGATGGAAGGCGAGGCCGCCTTTACCGCAGCCGATCTTCGAGCCCCTGAGACGCACGTATAATCTAGCGAGACTCCGCGAACAGTTACAGACGGCCACTAATGGTGGGCGGACTAATATCTTCAAGGTTGTCGGCTTCGGCGTGCAAAAATTCGCGGCAGCAACGGCGGACGTAAATCCAGATGTTGCTGCTGGTGGTGCGATGGCGATGGATATGGATGCGCCTGGGGAACCGGATGCCTCCTTACATAACCATGCGCAGCAGAGATCGGCCAGCTTTAGTCTGCAGCAGGATGTGTCGAGACGGCCGTCTGTTAGTGCGAGGGGTTAGCGATGCGTTGATTGCGGTGTGATTTGCGATGATGTTTTATTTGTGGGTGAATTGGAAATTGCATGTATAGCTGGCGTTTTTCTTTTCTTTTCTTTTCATTTTTCATTTTACAACCTCTTTTTTTTTCATCTTTTATGGGGGTGTTCGAGAGTTTGAGGGCTAGGACTGGGCTGTATATTGTATATCTGTATGATGATAGCGAGTGGGTTTCAAGCAAGATCAAGATGAGGCGTTTCAGGGGTTGGCATATATACCACGTGGTGCGGCGAGCACATCATATCATGTTGCTTTGTTACGCATTACTCGTTATTCGTTGGTTGTTACCTACCTACCTATCTACCTACCTGCTTAGTCATGGGTTATGTTGGGCGTTTATGAGTATTGTTTAAGCATTGGTTTTAGGGCCTGTGTTTTGTTTGCATGATTGAAATTACTTGGGAGGGATGGTTAAGGTGGGAAGATGGAATGAGGGGATGAAAAGGGCGTGAAGGGTGGGGGAGAAGAAAGTGGTGATACCTGTGATTGTATGTATTATAGGTTCGAGCGTGTTTGAATATTTACCTACCTACCTACCTACCTACATTATGAGGTAGAAGCGGAAATTGTGTCGCAGGGTTGAATGTGCTTTCTTGCTGGTTATGAATTTATCGTGGATATATATATATACATGATTATAGCATAGAGAGCACATTATCGCTGGGTTAGTGAATTTAGTTCAGTTCATTTCAACTGACAGGATACCTGGGCGGACCTGGGGTCTGGGGGATGCCAGGTAATGACGTAGTTGTACATATACCATATATACACTGCGAGCCTCGGCTCGCTTTGCTCATGATATTCCCTGTCTGGCCTTCTACATGTTCGAAACAGATAAAAAGAACATCATTACAATAAATTGAAAGTTATATACATTCGGGGTAATAACACATAATCCTTCTGTACTCACCTATCTATATGACAAATACATAATTGAGCTTCCATTGATCTATCTACTGTACATACTTCGTACTCGCCCCTCCATCGAGCGCAAACCCGACGCCAAGACGAAAACGCCCCAATAACACGACGACAAGATAGCAAGGCGAGCGAGAAGGGAGGTCGAACAAGACAGCACAGCATTGCACAGCAATACCACACACCACAACCTAATACAACGTAAGATAGCATAGAGACCTAACAATCCGTTGCAGACAGACCCTGTCTGTGCCGGGACATTCATTCAGCATTCTCCAACCACGTTATCAAAACCGTGAATTGGCAAGCGTCTCGAGTTTGACTGACCAATTCAGGGGAGGCCTCGGGTCGAAGCATCTGGATCAAACGACACACACTGTACACACACACTTTTACAACCCAATCAACCCGATCGACACCACCCTTTCTTCTTACTCGCGGTATCTACCGAGTTACTAAATTTAGCAAAGGGGGGGAGAAATTCAAGTATAAGTCGTCTTCTCCTGCGCGGAGAGGAAAGAAAAAGGAGAGAAAAAAGATGGCTCCATCAACAACATCATCATCATCATTTCAATCTACTAATAACGTCCTACCGGCTCTCCACCACGCTTCTTCAGGGTCTATAGGTACTTTGATATCAACATGCAGTCTGTATCCCCTGTCGCTAGTGATCGCGCGCCTGCAGGTGCAGCGACAACTCCGCAGGCGACGGCAGGGTCAGCAGCAGCGTCGTCGTCGCACAGGAGAAGGGACCAAGACGGAAAAGAGCAGCAGCGGTCCCGGACAAGATCCTCGCGGCGATCGCGATCCTTCCGCTCCCGATCCTCGCTGTACTCGTCTTCCGGATCGACCTCGTACTTCACCAGCGGATCCTCGTCGAGAAGATCGTCGGGGAGAGGAAGTCGACAGTCGAGAGAAGACGCAAGCAACGGGGGTTCTTCCCGAGGACCGCCCGCGTCGACGGCCGAAGCGACCAACGGCCGAGTACGACGGCATCGTCGACGCATTTTCGCAGATCTGGAGTTCCGGTGGCGATGGCGGGCTGAGAGCGTTCTATACTGGCCTGGCACAAGGTACATAAACTTCCATCCAACTCCTTTTCTCTCTTCTCTTCCTCTTTTTCTTTAAATTCATTTAAAAACTCGTAAAATTGTTCATGGCGGTCCTTTCTCTTTTGACGATTACTCCCCCCCCCCAAAAAAAAGCGATGTAGCTAACTCTTTTCATTTTACAACGTTTAGATGCTCCCAAATCTGTCTTGGACTCTTTCCTCTTCTTTCTATTCTATGAGTGGTTCCGCGCGATCCGTCTGCGCCGACGCGGCGGACGCAGAGGTCTGCGCGTGGTGGAGGAATTAGCGGTCGGTGTGGCCGCGGGCGCTTGTTCGCGCGGGTTTACGACGCCCATTGCCAATGTCGTCACGCGCAAGCAAACCGCCACACTACTTGATAGTACTCACGGCGGACCCACTACCGTCCGCGACATCGTGCGTGGTATATGGAGCGAGAAAGGTCTCGCGGGGTTCTGGGCCGGATACTCGGCTAGTCTTGTGCTGACGCTGAACCCGAGCCTGACCTTCTTCCTGCAGGAATCCCTCAAGGCGTCCTTTGCCGAGCAGACGTATGATGACCCCGGTCCGCGGCTGACGTTCCTGTTCGCCGCGACGAGTAAGGCCGTCTCGAGCTTCGTCACGTATCCCTTCCAGATCGCCAAGACGAGGCTGCAGGCTGGTTTACCCGTGGATCCGGAGGAGGAGGAGGAAGATCAATTCGAGCATGACGACAGCCACGACGAGAACAAGACGATGCCGATCCGCGCGGTGAAGAATCTCGCCCAGCGAAGTGTGTTTGGCACCGTGGCGCACATTATCCGGACCGAAGGGTTTGAGTCCCTGTACGATGGCGTCGGTGCCGAGTTGCTCAAGGGCTTCTTCAGCCACGGGACTACTATGCTCGCGAAGGACATGGTGCATAAGTTCTTGTTCAAGCTGTATATCTTCGCCCTGGGGCTCTTGACGGAGATGCGGCGACGCCGGCGGTCTGGGCAAAGTATCGTGCCGCTGAAGATGCTATATCGCGCGTATGCGGGATTCATCCCGAGAAGGCTACGAGGGGTAACCTTGGCATAGATGGAACGCAGGTTGTGGGTTCATTGCTTGAAGCTTGTTACCATATCATGTATGATCAGCAGGAAGCTTAGAAGATGTAACATTGTTTTTTTTTTTGTTTTTTTTTTCCCTGCTTTTTATTTTGCATTTATCTGCAGCTGGGGTGTTAGCGAGGATGGCGTTCTCTATATCTTGTACAAAGGCATTCTTCCATGTAAATAGACCTTGGAAAAAAAGGGACTAGTAGAAAGGGGGTGTAAAACTTACAACAGCGGAGTTGTGCCTATATATCTGAAATGCTGTTTTCTAGCTCGTGTTCTACTTCAGGGTTAAATCCGCGGCGCGAAGCGAACTATTAGCGCCCTAATTACCAGCTCTTCGAGTATACATGCATGTCATCGCAACGTAAGATTCGAAAATCCGCTCAGCACTGAAACGCGGGACCGCCGGTCTTGCGCACCTGGTTGGCGCCACCGGCCGAATACCCTGTGCCCTCACTCCTAAGCTCGACCAAGCCCGGCTTGATCTTCTCTTTCTCCTTCTCCTTCTTCTTGCCTTTGGGGTTCTCTTCGTGAGCAGTGCCGCCTCCGAGATCAGCGTCGCAGACGTAGCACCGCAAGGCCTGAGGCTCTGTGGCATGGGGGTCGTGGTGGTGGTGGTGCTTGCTCGGCTTCATGAATTTCTCCACGCAGCTCCCGCATAGCACGTGTCCGCACGGCTTCGCTAACACGGCCTTGGAGGAGTTCCCTAGGCCTTTCTTGCACGAGGGACATATCCGCACGGCCTTCCCGTTCTCGCTCTTGCTATCGCCGTCTTTGTCGGTGGTGAAGTCGATGGTCACTAGCGAGTGCAGCGAATACGCATGGGGCTTGTCCTCGGGCGACGCGGGACAGACGGGGCTCGTCTTCGTCTTCTTGACGACCTCGTGGAGGGTGTCCCGGGTATTACTCGAGGGCGTCACGGTGGGAACCCAGAATGAAGGTAGAGTTGGTTGGGCCGCCTTTTCGTCGTCAATGGCTTTCCGCGCCTTGGCTCGGTCGTCGGCTGCTATGCGCTGTATCTCGTCCTCGTCCATTTCGAACTTGCGCTTTCCGGCACCGTTGGGACGATCACTGCCTTCGACGGCTGAAGATCCTTCCCTCTGGGTCGCGGAAGCTAGTCTCGGGGTAGAAGTGCTTCGCGATCGCACATCGAGCCCGTTCTGCGTCATCTCGAACTCGCGCACTGCCCGCTCGTGAGCCTCGGCATCTAGCTGGACCTGGCGCTCCTGGGCGTCACGATCTTCCTGCGTCTTGAGCTTCCCCAGGCGCTTGATCTCCTTTTTCTGTGCTAGGATGTTGCTGAGGGCGCACTCGCGACAGAAGATGTCACCGTGGGTGCATGATACGGGGTCGATAGCTGTCTCCAGACACAGGCGGCAGGCGTCGAAAGGGAGAAAACTATCGCGGTTGAGGCGCGCAGAGGTCGACGCCCATGACTTGCGCGCTTGATCCCGCTCGTACGAAGTGAAGACTGCGCGGGAGGTGTTGCGTTTACCTGTGATCGTTGGTGTTAGTAGAATTCCTTCTTTGCGGACTCTAGAGCAGGAGCGCCATAGCCACAGGTACAAAACTTACTGTGAGACATGGTTGTGTAGAGCTGAGGCGGAATATGGTGGAAGGAGTGAAAAGCCCGCTTCCATGGGCGTTGTTTATGTTTATATTCTTCTATATCTACTTTGTAAGCTCAGGTTCACCTAGGTGATTTCAATGCAGGTGCCCGGCATGATCCCGTTCAACCGCCTAGGTATTTCGATAGCGCGGATACCTGCATACCTGAGACAGGTATCCCATTAACCGAGCTAGGTACAAGAGGTACTTTCAATCCAAGGCGCTAACCTCATCTTGGCAAACTCGACTTGCTCCAATATAATTGTACATTCTCATCATCAATCCCATCAATTCGATATGTAGTTCTCCCCATGCGAGGGGCATCATTCTATTCGTTCAATTCCTTACCTTTTCTAGGTGTTTATGTTATGTTATGTCATTCTTTTCATTTAAATTTAACAAGGCCCTGAGAACAAGATACATCGGAATGGATAATACTCGAACATCGTGACCCTCATCTCATTTAAACCTCAGAATCTCTCATGAACCCGGCTAGTATCAATCATGTCATCGAGAGCATCTTCGCCCACGTCCGAGATGCCGCCGCTGCAGCCTAGCCTTCCTCAGCGGATGACCTCGTCTCTGGTCATGGGAGTAACAGCAGGGCTATCACGGCTCTTCATATACGGTCTCAATTCAGTCGAAGTTACGGGGCTAGAGAGATTTCTTGATATTCTAGACAAGCGCAAAGATGTTGACAAGAGGCAGAGAGGTCTTATTACGGGTAAGCCTCATGCACACTTCAATTGCGCTTCAGTATTAGCCAGCCGGCCAGCTAGCGACTAACATCAAGTCTCACTCAGTCTGCAACCATGTGAGCGTGTACGTTGCTGGTAGTTTCATGCGTCTATTATTTATCCAACAAGATTAGAGCCCTGACGAGTTTATACGGGTCACCAGTTTTGATGATCCCATAATGTGGGGAGTCCTGCCTTTTGCCTTCCACTTCAATCCTTCCAACCACCGATGGAGTTTGGGTGCTCATGATATATGTTTTAAGAACGCGTAAGATACCCCTCCCCTTATAGCTCGCTCTACCATTCACCTCATGACTTGTAATTCGGCTGACCCTCTCGCCGCAGCTTTCTAAATGCATTTTTTTCTGCTGGCCAAGTGTTACCTACATATCGGCTTCAACACTCGCCCCATGGTGGACTATTTCAACCCACCGTGCCGCAGGCCATCAAACTATTATCGTCCCGACCCTTCTTGCAACCGGGCACCTCAGGCAAAGCGCTAGAGGATGAAACGAGCATTTCGGGCCTACCCCCAATCTACACACAGAACCGATACAGCTGGGTTCACGTCTTCCCTGAAGCATGTGTCCATCAACACCCGAAGATGTTCATGCGATACTTCAAGTGGGGGGTGTCGCGCATGATCCTAGAAAGCGAGCCCATGCCCGACGTCCTACCCATCTTCATCGACGGCACGCAGCACATGATGTCTGAGAACAGGGAGTGGCCGCGCTTTCTTCCCCGCTTCGGCGTCAAGTTCAGAGTTGCATTCGGCGAGCCCGTCGACACGCAGAAGATCTTCGGAGATGTACGTGCTCGATGGCAGGAATTGGTGCGGCGAGAGCAGTCAAAATCTCAGGTGCCGCAGGCCCTAGGGGAACTTCCGGATGAACTCAAATACGGCGACGAGGCCGTGAAACTAAGGATCGAAGTCGCTAGGAGAGTGCGGGACGAAGTCTTGAAGGTCCGCGCCAGTTTAAATTATCCGGATGAGGAACCTCGCGAACTTGAGCTAGCCGAGACGTGGAGGGGGGAACCTGGGAAGGATAGATTCAAGAGTAATGTCGATGCCAGTCTAGTGAACAAGAGGCAGTGATTACATGACTATAGGGTATTAAAATTTTGTTGAGTGATACCTCGAGAAGACGTATTAGGATGACCTAGGGCGACTCGTATGATAGCGATCTTCAAGATATGTGCGCATCCAGTAGGATTGCTTTGGGTTAGGGAATAAAGAAGGGGAAAACACAGCATACAAGAAATTCGAGAATTAAAACCCTTCCGCTTGCAACCTGTAAATGCAATAGGTAAAAAGAAAAAAAGTCTACAACATGCCCAAGTCATTACCATAACGCCTCTCCCGTTTGCTGGCTCTCTTCATTCACGCATGAATCGCCTTGGTCCACCAAAGAACACCCTTTTCAGACAATTACCATCCAGCTAACTTAACCCCACCCTTGACGCTAAACAACAAGGTCTCATGTTGTACGCCCCTTTCGTCAGATTCAATGTACGACGCTGTTACTTTAGAAAACAGGCCTCCCTAAGTGGTTTGGTTTCCAGAAAGACTAATAGCCCGTATCATATGAACCTTGAGGGGGGACAGCCTGCGGTACGTAGCCCCTAGCTTGCGGGTGTATGGCTGGCTGCTGTTGCTGTTGCTGTTGCTGCTGTTGTTGCATTTGATGCTGTTGCATGAGTAGGTCAGAAAACCAGGGGTGCTGCAATGCCTCGTGGGCACTGATTCTGTTTTCGGGGCGAAGAACAAGCATCCGACTCAGAAGATCGATACCAAGATGATCGATCTGGGGCAAGATTACTCGGAGGTCCTGGGTTGCGTATAGCTGGAAGGTGGGCTTATATTCGGGAAAGTTGGTGATCCCGGGCCACGTGCGTTCGGTAGGGGTACCCATGATGCGGAAGATGCGAATAATCTGGTCCTCGTTGGTTGTGCCGGGGAAGAGAGGTCGGCCCGTGTACATCTCAGCCATGATACACCCGGCAGACCATATATCAATACTGGTATTATATGTCCTACTACCCAGCAAGACGTCAGGGGCGCGATACCATAAGGTCACTACCTCGTTGGAGAAAGTGTTGACGGGAATGCCAAAAGCACGCGCTAGACCGAAATCTCCCAGCTTCAGGGCGCCTTTCCCGTTGATGAGAAGATTCTGAGGTTTCAAATCTCGATGCAGAACCCGGTTCTGGTGGCAAAAGTCAATGCCCTTGAGGAGCTGATACATGAAGGACTTGATAGTCAGAGGCTTTAGTGCACCTCGTTCGCCGTGGGTGTCCATGTATTTTTTCAGATCGCCGTCCATGAACTCGAAGACGAGCATGAGTTTGTTCTCAGTGTGGATGACATCGTGAAGAGCTACGATATTCTCGTGCTTCAGTTCCTTCATGAGGGAAATCTCACGGATGGCGGTGGAAGGCGTGCCCTCCTCTGAGTCGAGGTGGATTTCCTTGAGGGCAACTAGCTCGCCGGTCTGTCGGTTGCGACCTTTAAACACCTAGCAAGATATAAAAACGTCAGACTGGCTAGACTAGAGGGACAACGAAGCGGACAATCATAGAGACGACGGATATTGAAGAAGACGTACGGTGGCGTAGGTGCCTTCTCCCAGCTTCTCGAGCTGCTGAAACGAGCTCGGGTGTCGCTTGGTGTCCATTTTGACGAATGAGTTATCTGAAAGATGTATACAAGCGAGGATGTCGACTTCTGTCGGACGATAGCAGGAAGCTCGCCCTTGGCCTTCTGGGAGGTGTAATGGGGGTGAATCTTGGGTTTACTGATAACTGCAGGTGGGCATCAGAAGAAGTGAAGAGGACACAGGTTACGGCACGCGGTTTCTGCCAAAGAAGAAAAGAGTAGACTAGACTGATCTGGGCACCAATATTTTCGAAGGTGACGGCACACACGGCACACACAGCACAGGACGTTGGAGATTTGGTATGTTGCTCAGGTGTATCTGGCTCCTGGCCCTGGCGTGCAGTCTGGATTGACTTTGAAGGGAGGGGCAATGCCAAAACCATCCCAATATGCGAGTAGCGCGCGTCTACTTAGTGGGAGTACCTAGATGTTGTATCAGTACCTAAAGTACCTACTTGTGGATATATAGCTACATAGGGTACTTATGGGCAACATCCTGGAGGCGTAGTTGCAACAGATTTGCCACTTCAAGACCAGAGTCGGGCGAGAGTATCGGCTAATATACATATGTGTATATACACATACAGTATTCCACAGTCCTCTACATATGTAGGCATTACCGGCAGTCATCTCAGTCCCTGTTTCTGCTACTTTACATGTACCTTCAGGAGAACGAACGTATGTCAGGAACTGGGCTAGCGCTAGGTGTCTTAAACAGTGCTGATGCGGGGTCTCTGGCCCTTTCCCCACCCTCTCTATCTAGGTACTTACCTCCCCTCCTTCTCTCCTTACCACGGGATCCTTACGTATCAGAATCCCTGGTTTCTACAACATGTCCATTGTGTATCCGGATTCCATCATACGTTAAGCATATGTCCCGTACTTAAATCCATCGCTTGCTTCATGGCGCAAGCCAGCACTTGAAGTTCTGCTCTTACTTAAGCCGAAGCTTACTTCTTCGTTTGGACCCTGATCAGGTCATGATAACCGGATACTTGACTTTACCAGTAGCTAGTCTACCCGCTTGATCATTAAATGTGTTCCATCGTCCCATCATCCCTTCACCCTACCCGGGGCTTACTATCGTCGCACATCACCTAGTTATCCCAGACCGTCTTTGCTAGTTCTTAATATATATATACAACTCTCACGTCGCCCATGGGATACACACCTGCGCTGCGCCAGATACATATACCTTCTCCCTCCCCTATTCCGCTATGCGGCCGCTACACGGCGACGACGCATGGGCCGCCAGCCAGCGACACCGGGATTTCCATCTAACTGCTCCCTCAGCACCAAACAGTCACATGTCTCTCTTCATTACAGACGAGGCCTCGCTTGATTCCCACCGGGACCGGCCAGCAGCCCCGTCCCACTCCCGCGACTCCAGTAAGGTTACTGAGCCGTCCCGATCAAGCAATCGAGACCATGCGCGAGACGACGAACCCTCGTTCTCTCCGTCCTCGAAAGTTTCTCTCTTTTCTCAGAGCCCTGCCTCGCTCCCATCACAGATTCAGTCGTTGCCCGTATCGCGCCCGATCACACCTCTCACGCTCGGCCCATCTTGTATGGGCTCTGCCGACAGTAGTGCCTCATCGCGCAGAAACTCATTCGCTAGCTCGTTCTCAGATCATGTCATCAATTCCGACCACGAGTCTGCCGGCGAGCAGGCCTCCGCCCCAGCTATGTTAGACAGCGGCAGCGCTCCGCAGCTCGTCATGCCCAGTATCATGATGCCGAGCCGTCGTCCTTTCACCGAGACTGGCAAGAACCTCGGCCGGTTGAAGATTCTTCTTGCCGGTGAATCTGGTATGCATCACAACTCCCTGCAGCTATATCTCTTCTAATCCCCATTCTTCCAGGCGTTGGTAAGACATCCCTGTTGAAAGCGATCGTCCAGACATGTGATCATATCGTACATGTCGACCCAATTCCCCCAACCGTTGATAATAATAAAACCTCGCGACCGGGGATGGCCACGTCAAAAAGAAAACAGCGTACATCAACGACCTCTATCTCTGAAATCTATGCCAGCACTAGACCTTACCCCGAATGGTGGCAAGAGTCAGACGCTCCTAGTGTGTCTCACAAGCGGAAGAGACTAGGAGACAATGTACTAGAACGTAATATTTGCTTTGTCGATACCCCAGGATATGGTCGTGGATCATCGGTATGTTTCTCGCCTGTCGTTCCGGAGACTAAGCACTGACTCGTTCAGGCCATGGAGACGATCATGACATGCGTTGACTACATCGAATCGCACCTGAACAAAGTGTCATCAGATGACTTGAGTGATTCCGACTTAGTTAGTATGCTGGGAGGAGGTGGAGGATGTCAAGTAGATGCTGTGCTCTATCTCATCTCACACAGTAAGTTGTTGAATTCGCTAAGGTAACGAGAAGAGGGTCTAACTGGCGCCAAAGCACTGAAACCGGCCGACCTGGAATATATTCGCCGCTTGACAACTCTGACAAACGTCATCCCCGTTCTGACGCGGGCGGAGTCATTCTCCGAGGAACAAGCTGCAGCGCAAAAGCAGGTGATAGCTGGGCAGCTCCGAGACGCTGGCATCAAATCATTCGCTTTCACACCTTCAGCGGCCCAGGAGAAACGGACATCTTCCGCACCGTCGATTCCCTACACTGCCTCTAGTGCGACGGTGCCTGACCATGATCTTATGGACGCCAGTCTTTTGATGAGCCCTGATTACGTCCAGCCACTAATACCAACAGATCTCACATTCCTTGTCAACAAGATTTTCAGTCTCGATGGAGCCTCATGGCTTCGACATTCAGCAGCCAAGAAGTACCTACAGTGGCGGGAACAAACGCCACACCAGCCCCGTCACCTGTACAGACCTCTCGCGTCCCCTGCTGCCGGGTCGGATCCTTCAATGGCTTTGCAGCAACTATCTCTATCGCTTGCTATACGTCCCGGAGCACAGCAGCAAAACGATAGGACGGCGCAGCTTCAAATGGCGGACTGGGCTGCCGACCTACAACACACCTTGGCAAGTGAGAGGTTACGTTACGAGACTCTTGCCCGTGGCGAGCGAGCGGTCTGGCTCACCGAGAGGCTACACGAATGTGTGCAAGACGGCACTTTGGTGACGAGGAATGGGTCGAGGGAGGTGCGCACTAGGGGACGGAAAGGTGCAGGAGCTGGCCGGCACGCAGCGTCGTCGAAAACTCAGCGACACCAGGACCCGTTGGGCTTGCTTCAAGTGGCAGCCGACCTGAAGGCTAAGAGCTGGATGGCGGTGGAAGTATTGGGTAGTTTAGGGATGGTGGGTCTACTGGTGTGGGTATCGCGGCATGGTTGGCCGATGAAAGCCTTGGAGTTAGCAGATGGATGGGTTTAAAGGTCGAAGAGGTGATGCAAGAAGGGGTTTTCCTTTCCGTTTCCTGTTTCTTTCCCCCTCCATATATCTCTTCTCCTTCCTCCCCTTGGTTATACCTCTTCTCCGTTCATCACATCAGGGTGGCTAGAAGAGCTCGGAATACTTTGTACAGCCCAATTATACCATATATAGCGTTGAAGGGGCATTGGATTCTGGCGTTGGGTGTATATATAAACTCAACCTTGTTTCCCTTGATATGGGAATTGACACCGTAGTTGTAGTGTAGGGCATTGCTGGGTAGTGGTTAGTCAGTGTAGCTGTTATCGAAGAATTTTGAAAGGAAGGCGGGATTGATTAAATATTATCACCTTTCTCATTCTTCACTCAATCGCAGGTTGTTGTGTAATTGAGGTATCATGCGTAACCTAGCATATTTAACCCATAGGAACTTATCTACTATACAATACCTACATAAGTATACTACCTACCGGCCGGTACATAGCTCCGTTCAACCCATATGCAGTTTATATCGTAATCTTCTGGAAGTAGGTAGTTTCTACATTTATATGACTTATATGAGTAGATACGTACATACAAGTACCGACACGCTAACGGTAGTGGCAAGCCAGTACCTACTGTAATAATGGGGGCGGCGGTACCCCATCAGAGCCCCATGCATCCATCCAGCTACCTTACATAGGTACAAGTTACATGTATGTACCTAGGTAGGTAAGTACAAAAGTACACAGTGTCACCTCTATTTTCACCTGGGTATTTACTATTTAGGTGATTGAATTCTGAGATGCATACTTAGCAACATTTCATAAACTGCGCCAGAGGTAGATCGTGTCTGGTGCGCCTCTCACGCTCGCAAGTTAGACCAGACAGACAAAGAGCACAACCACGCCAGCCAGCCGCCTCCCTTACCTGGTCTCCTCCTTCTCCTCCCGTCGCCTCCCGTCGCCTCTGCCTCCATTGCACGACAACGACATCCTCCGTACCCGCCGCATCGACAGCTATTGTGCCGCAACTGCGTGGCTGCCTCTTGGTCTCGTGGCTGGCCGAGACCGCGTCTCTGTCGACTTGAATCGAACCCGGCACCGCCAACGAACCCACTGTCCTTACCATCACCAAGTTCACCGAACAAGGAATACACGGATTACGGTATCTACGATACGGCGACACCTTTGAGTGACATGGCATTCTTTCCATCGTAGCGCTCTTCTTTTTTATTCACATCATCTTCTTCATGCTTACTGTCAACCCATCCCTCAACTAATCGGTCCAGCCCGCCCGTCTGTTCATCCAGCCACTACGCAACCGAAGCAAATCATCCATAGGCCATTTCTCTGATTATTCTGATTACTTCCTTTTTGTTTGGCTTGCTGCTCCCTCCTTACCACCCTCTTACTGTCATTGTACCTGTCCTGTTAGTATACTTGTTGCCATCACCTCTTCGGGGACCAACTAGTACCTGCGGTTGCGATCCAGTCGCGCGCCTCAATGGACACCATGGAAAAGACCTGGGGCATCACGGGGCCCATATCCTCGGCCCTTCCCACCCCTGCCGAGACTCAGGCTACTACCCAACTCCTCGAGGAGCTAAGACGACAGAACACGTTCGAAACTGCCTCCGAATCCAAGAAAAGGTGAGTAGATACCTCTCACGTCTTCGTCCTCGGTAAATCGTGTAGTGAAACGTCCCCGGCTGACAATGGTCACCCGTCATCTAGAGAGAACGTAGTTAATGATCTGCAACGCATTGCCGACGAATTTGTTCGCAAGGTTGCTCGAGCCAAAGAGCCACACAACGAAGTCCTCATCCGAGATGCGCGAGGTGAGGTCTTCACGTACGGCAGTTTCTGTTTAGGTGTCTACGGCCCGGGCTCCGATATCGACACCCTCGTCACGGCTCCTCGCTATGTCACCCGCGATGACTACTTCAAGTACTTCCCCGATCTGCTCCAGGAAATGGCACCGCCCAACGCCATCACTGGCCTCACTGCTGTCGAAGAGGCTTTCGTTCCTATCATCAAGTTCGAGTACTGGGGCATCAGCATCGACCTCATTTTTTCCAGGATCGCCACCCTAACCCAGTTTCCACCACATGGGCAGTTACAACTAACCAGCAATGAGTACTTGCGTGGCCTAGATGATCGAGAGCTGAGATCTCTCAACGGAACTCGTGTCACCAAGGAAATTCTCAATCTCGTCCCAGAACAAAGCACGTTTCGAACAGCTCTACGTGCTATCAAGCTGTGGGCCCAGCGTCGTGCCATCTACGCGAATATCATCGGCTTTCCTGGTGGTGTAGTATGGGCCATGATGGTGGCTCGCGTCTGTCAACTCTATCCTAGAGCTACGAGTGCCACCATTGTCGCCAAGTTCTTCTCCATCATGAAGAACTGGCCGTGGCCCATGCCTGTACAGCTTAAAAAATCGGAGGACGGCCCACTAAACGTCCGTGTTTGGAACCCAAAGGTCAGACTATGCAGCTCACAAACGCCGCCGCTATTCTTGTCAATCCTTACTGACATACCTACAGGTTTATAAGAGCGACAGTTTTCACTTGATGCCTGTCATCACACCTGCCTACCCTCAGATGTGTGCTACTTTTAATATTACGAAGTCCACCAAGGCTATAATACAACGGGAACTTGAACGCGGCGTTGAGCTTGCTGACAAGATATTAACATCGCAGCTTTTATGGAAAGACTTATTCGTGAAGCACACCTTTTTCACCCAAGATCACAAATACTATCTTGCGGTCATTGCCACGAGCACTACCAAGGAAGCCCACAAAACCTGGTCCGGTTTCGTTGAATCTAAAGTCCGCATTTTAGTCGGCGAGCTAGAACGCCATCCTTCGGTTGCCATAGCTCGTCCATTTAATAAGGGATTCGAACGGCAACACCTCACGAAGAGTGATGAAGAGAGCACACAGGTAAAAAATGGCAGTCTGCTCTACGTGACCAAGGACGAAGAAGACTCTGCCGATAGCGCTGTATCTAAGGGGGAAAATGGTACCGATAGTGATGCTAACACACATGATTCAAAAGCTAAAACCGAGGAGGCCGCCGAGCCAGGGAGGACGTATACCACAACTCACTATATTGGCCTGGAGCTTGCCGAAGGTATGTGCTGTGCCCGCTTGGCTTCCTGGCTTCCGGAAAACAAATGATGCCCTTGATTCTTGACAGGAATTCCTAATCCGCGCTTTGATGACTTGCCAGGTGCCAAATCTCTAGACTTATCCTACCATGTCAACACGTTCAAGCAGATGTGCAGCGAGTGGGAAAAATATTCCGCCGAGCTAAACCACTTGAGCGTACAGCACGTGAAGAAGTGAGTCGGTTCATGCTTGTGAGGGAGCAAGTTGCTGAAGCGGCTTTAGTATCAACCTACCTGAGGATGTGTTTGAACCCGGCGAGATTCGCCCTGCTCGGCCACTTAAGAAACCGGTCGCGAATGGCACGGCCCCAATCACTCAGAGGAAGCGCAATGCGCCCACCGAAGTATGTAGGATGAATGGGGGGTGTCAGATAAGACGTGTCAACCCCTGCCGGACAGTCGAGGGCGATGACCGACAACCCTATGAGAAAATTGCTGACCTGCATTCCAGGGCCAACCTCCACCGCCGAAACGACAACAATCTTCTGCTGCTGCTGCTGCCGGCTGAGACAACATATAAGCCACCTGTATGCTTAGCATTGTATTTCTTTTTGGGGCAATATGTCCAAGGCATCCAAGATCAGTCCTTTTCCATTGTGTCTAGACTAACCTCACAGTAATCTTTCGATTTATGAGTCTTGAGCCTAGCGCTCTGTCCTTTTTCGTCGAAAACTCGACTACGTCCTAGTATCAAACGAGTTTCGAATAGCAAGTTAGTGTGGTGAATTGCCCACCGAAATTTTGACAACTACGCTTCTGCCTTGGAGACACAGCAAACCCAAGGAGGATACCAAAAAAAGAATAATAATATGAACACACCGAAGTCCGCATAAATTGATTGTGGGTTATAACGACTGACTGGCTGATTTGCTTAGTCGACGAAGTAGAGGTTCTACTACATTCAGGATGACAAAAAAAACAAGGAAAGGGCTGGTATTATTAGTAATCAGCGAGCCGACATCGAGATATCGGAAAGGCACGACCAACAAACCAACCATTACCGGCTCCTCTCTCTTTCTTTTCCCCCCTTTCTTCCCCCTTTCCACTCTTTTCTTCTTTCTCTTTCTCCTTTTTGTAGACTGTAGAGTGCAAGTTGACTTGACTCGACGCACACGCACACACAACAATATTTTCGAAAGGGATCAATCGCATCAGAAACGCAGGGAAACTTTTACTTACTTTACTCGTATATGGGAGTATAGAGATGGGGTGTTGGAAGGGGAAAGGGAAAGGGAAAGGAATTGATTGTTTTGATTTGAAGGAAGAAAAGAAGGGGAGAAAGGAAAGAGGGAGGCAGGTGTATCTAGAGGGCAAAAAACAAACGACAAACAGCAAACTCAGATATACAGAAACACAAACAATCAATAAAATTTTGCATTTCGAAAGGGGGGGCGATTTTTCGATCCCCCTCTTTCGGCACTTTTTATGAAGCATATATTTTATCTTATCTTTCCTTGTTTATCATATAGGGGATGGGAGAGCTGGAATTAGAGAGGGGGGGGGTAGGGTGAGATGGTGAGAAGTGAGGTGATTGTGTTTATTTTCTTTTTCAGCTTTGGAAGATGAGATGAGATGAGACGAGATGGGGAGAGGAGAGGAGAGGAGAGAATTGCTTGCCTGCTTGTTTGCTGTGATATAAATGGTGTTATGCTTGATGAGATTAACTATGAATTTACTATACTAACCTTAACTTTAACTTCGATTTTTAACTTCGAATCTTATGATAGAATATATTGAATACACACACACACATACATACATACTGAGAGAGAGAGCGCGCAATGGAAAGCAATGTAGACATACATCATACCTATAAGTTATGGTTATACAATGCAAGGCATACATATTATATACATGTTGACATGACATATATATATATATATATATATATATATATAATTACTTCATGAATACCTATGTAGATATGAAGCACTCTCCTATCCTATCCTATCCTCTCATATCCCCAGCTCAGCTAAGCTAGCTCGAATATATTCGAATGCACCCATGATCACCTATTACTTTTCTCTCCTCTTCCATATTCCCCCCTCTCCCCTTTTCATTTCTTGTATATATCATCATCTCCTTCCCGCCGTTATCCAAGTCCATACTAAATCAATGGCCTTTTACCACCATTATAAGAATCTACACATAGCTTACAAGCATCACATTCACTACTTACTAACTTGCACTCGATCAGAATATATAAAGTAGATGATTAACCTTTTCTTTTTCTTTCTTTCTTTCATTCAGATGTTTTTTTTTTTATAGAGAGAGAGAAAAGATCTTCACGAGAACATTCTCTCAAGAAAGACAAGCGCTATTTGCTAAAGTCTGCTATGCATATATGCTCCTTGATGCTTTGTTCCCGCTTTAACCAACCAACCAGCCGCACTTTGCCGACCCCCTAGTCCTGTTCTATTGAGTTGAACCAAGCCATGCCAGCCAGCACTTCCCTTCCCAAGATGACAAGACCCAGATAAGTAATTGGCGCTATAAAGGGTAAAGGGCGAAAAGACAATTGGCTGTGAAAGCCATTTTTACTTTGGGCGTACATGGCTTCTCTTTGAGTGTGACCCGCAAGATATATCTTCCTCCTGTCATATTCATACATTCATGTGATTTCGGTGAAAAGAGAGGGCCGATCGTAAGTACAAAGCAGTAACGCCGCTCCTCTCTACATGTTCGATTCTCGTAAATTCATGGGTTTACATGTTGATGTCCCAGATCCGAATTGGCTATTACGGGTTGCCAGGAAATCTCCGAGAAAGCTCGGTGTCTGTAAAGGCACCCTAAGAAACAAGGCCAAGTCAACTTTGAACAGGTCTGAAAACATTCAACCACGACTTCTCCTTCCCCCCTTTCGTGGTTTTGGTGGAGGCGGTGGCTCGCTATGGAGATGTCCAAGCTCTTCTGTCGCCATTGTGTTGGTCCAATCGAGACAGCGGAAGTGTATTGGTTCTGAATTGGCCTGGGCCTTTGTTCGGGTACTCATGCGCTTGGATTCCTCCTTCTTTTCCGGCTCTTTCTCATTGCCCTCACCCTCTTGAGAGCTGATATACTGAGTTCTGTTTTCCATGTTCGCCACAATTTTGTCTTTATAAAGAAGTAACTCCTTGCGTAGCTTGAGCTCGTTAAATCCACGCGGATCTAGCCAATTCAGTAGCGAGTCCAACTGACTAGGTTCAGAGTAGTATCCCCATTGCCGCGCATTGAACACACTGGTACGTCCTTCTTCAAGCTTCTTTCTTTCCGGTACTGTCATCTTAAATTTGGCCTTGTATTCATCTTGAAGCTGAGCTGGCATATCGATGTACCCCTCGCGTTCCATATCGTCCGGACCTTGAACCCAGATAGACCCGTTTGCATAGCCGGCGTGGGCGGTTGAACTGTTGGGTAAGCCAGCATACGGCATGCCGTTCCGTTCAAACCAGTAATATCGATTCCAAAATCGATCCTTGCCCAAAACGCGAGTTCTTCCGCAATCGGCCTCACGCAGGTCATTATCAATGACGGCAATCTCGTCTTCACAGGTTTTTATATAGTCTTCCTTCTTCCGAATATCTTTCAAGAGCTTCACGAATTGTTTCGACTGCTTTGGAACCTTGGCCGCCAACTCAGCTTCTCTCTTACGTTCCAGCTCCTCGCGCTTTCGTTGGCGTTCTGCTGCGCGGTCTCCGCCACGTCTAAGGTGACGGCGGGCTCGGCCATCATCGTCGCTATCATTCCCATCCTCGCTAGGGTCATCAGGTGAATCATAATTCCCTGTCATCTTCACATCCCCGTTAGTTTTGGCAGCGTTAGCACTGTCAGGGGTCGGCGATGGTGGCATGTTCTCTGGTAGTAGAATTTTCCGCTGTTCATGGAGCACCTTGAGATCCTCCAGCCTGTACAACCGGTTAGTAGCCCACATGGGCGAGGCGGGGGACAGCAATTTTGCCAAGGAACGTACGCTTGTTTCCGATTGCGCTGCCATTCAATCTTCTCTTTCCGATATCCAGTCATGGTCTCGGCGCAATCATCCATATACCCCCTAACGGCCTTGGTCTCCATTGTAAGCATGCAGAGAATTTGTAGAATAGATATGCGAAGGTTGAAATCAAGATCTGAGTACTGGTCGCGGACAAGCTCTACACTGGGCTCTTCGTCCGGTGGTACTAGCTCCGCGAGTAACTCTTCACAGGCCTCCGTCTGCCGAGGGTTCTTTGAGAGTTGATGCAGAAGCCCAACAATAATCATCTCCCAGCCACCATGTGAGAAATTGCGCTGCTTGAGTTCTTCAATCCAGTTGAAATCCGCCAGGACTTCAGGGGCGCGATGTTTCACGGTGACCTCAGGTGTCTTCTCCCTCTCGGCCGCTTCCGCCTCGGCTCTAAGTCGCTCTGCTTCCAACTTTGCGAGGCTGCTTCTTGTGGCCCGTCCGGCTGGTTTCGGTTCAGGCTCTGGCTCGGGTGTCGGTAAGGTACTTTCGTCTTCATCCTCCTCCTCTTCCTCATCGTCCAATTCAGGCAGGTTCACTAATAGCTTGCCGCCGTCGGCCTCAGAGCTGACAATCTGCTTGAGAACCGCACAATGAATCTCGGTGAAAAGCTCGCACTGAGTGTCATTGTTGAAAACTTCCAGACCTTGTATAAAATCGTCAAAAGTAAAGGAGTCGAGTTTGAATATCTCGCAGTACACATTCAAAGTGTCCCATGTCTCTAATAAGGGCCCAACAGACTTCATCTGTATTTTCTCGTTTTGCGCGCCACTGTCTACGACACCTTCTGGCGGATCTCCACACAAAAATTTCAGTGGCGGCCGTACATAGTCGTCACGGGGCGGAAGTTGTAGGTCTTCAATTGGATATTTTGGCGGAGGTGGTGGAGGCGGTGGCGGTTCGGGTTGAGGGAACGCAACAGGGGGAGGGGCACTCTGCCGAAAGGGAACCGGAAAATGGAAAGGTTGGTCGCCAGGGACTGGAGGCAATGGTCCATGATCGTGATCGAGAAAGATATTTGGACTATGCCTGACCTGTGCTCCAGGGTGCTCGTGTTGCTGGGCCCTCTGGATCTTGTGGGGTTTTGGAGCAGGTTTGAGCTCTGGTAACCGCGTCGGACCTACACTATGGAATGCGCCATTCGTTCCATTTACATCATGTGAGCCATTGATGGGCTGTAGGGCGCGTTTCTGCGCTTGCTGTTGCTTGCGCTCAAGTAGTTTGTTGTCATATCGCAGATGAGGAGGAACCCGAGTGTCAATGTGGTATTGAGCGGCAACATCGTGCTTAACAAGCCAAGGCGCCCCATTCCAAGCTTCTCGCGTGACTGTCTTTTTAATGAAGGAGCGTAGAACCGATTTCGTAAATATCTTCCTATCTCGGAATATGTGTTCGCTATCGACAACAGCTTCCTCGTCGGGTCGTCCGTCAATACTTGTAGAATATCGTGAATAAGGTTGCGTTAACGTCCCATCGGGCAAAACCTTGCTCCCCAGTCGTGCTTTATCTCGGACGGTACCTGTCAGGCGTTCCCCAGTCACAAGCTGTATCGTTACCGCCTCGCCTGGGTAGTAATCGGCTTTGAACTCTTCGTAGATCATGTCAACGAGGGTGTCAATTCGCGAGATGGTTTGAAACTGCACCCGGCGAAGGACCGGGCCTTTGAGTGCTTCGGGGAATGCTTGATCGACTTCTTGTGCGCCAGCGAGCTACCCATTTGATTAGAGGCTGGTCCCAATGGTTCGCGAAAAGAAACATTAAGACTCACCTCACTTTTGAGGGCTTCGAAAAATGTTAGGCCGGAGTGGCCAGTTATTTGACAGATAAATCGCGGCTGAATTTTGGTTAGAATATGCCCAACCCATGTTATACACCAAAGAGAGGGAAATGGCAGATATTGAAGCCGCCTATGAGCACAAACCTGGCTATAAAAGTCAATTCTGCAAATCAGGACTGTTAGCACGTAGGTAGTACGCAATAGACCGAAACCGGAGTTTAATCAAACCTACCGGCCTAAATACTCTTCATAAGTCGAGAACACTTCACCAGTCTGAGGAACATGCCAGACCTAAAGCGACGAGTGCATTAGTCTATAAGAGTTGGAAACAGATTTGCGTAACAAGCAAGCGGTACATACCTCTGTAGATTCATCGTTCATTTGTGGCGGCTGTATGAACTGCACGGGTTTTCGTTTGAAGAGAACCTATCAAGGTAAGCCTCGGCGCATGACACAGTCTTGACAATCTCTCGTGGCCTTACCATGATGCTGGTGGTGAGGGCGCGCAAGTGCAAGTCTTGCGCGTTAGTGGTAGGGGAAAGGAAGATCTACAAGACTTCATGTCAGTCCCTGACATGGTAGTTTTGAGTTGTATAAGTGGGTTCCTGAAGCGGAAATGGCACGAAAAAAGCATGCCCAGCAAGAAAGACATGCAAGTGTAAAGAATTGGTGGCGGGATCCAAGAATAATTCAAGGATAGTGCGTGGAGCCACCGGGGGCCGTGACGATGCGCACTGGACATGGTCTGCCTCGGTCAATGGGCCGGGTTGGTAACGTACATGGTGCGAGGCTACGCAATTTATACCCAAGACGCGGTCCGAGGGGGTTGACGCGTTGAAGACATGGATATGAATATATTGAGCATGTGAAGTGGCACTGTAAATGGTAGCTATTCGAAGCTATGAGAACAGGGGCAGCGTGGCTACGATAGATATGTGCATGCAAGTAATAAAAAAATAAAATAAAAAAAGGTGAGGCTCCAATCAATAAGGAGGAGGGAGGGGGGTTTTAAAGACGAGCGGCCGAGATTAAGTGAGGGAGTAGTTGGCGTGGTAAGGGCAGACGGAGAGGTGAAGCCAGAGAAGAGGATGACGAGGAGTACAAGAGAAGGAGGAAGAGTAGAAGAAGGTTGACGAGGAGGAGGCGGCGGCGACGGCGGAAGAGGAGGACGGGGAGGAGGAGGAGGAGGAGGAGAAGGAGGACGAGGTAGGTTAGGTAGGTAGGTAGAGGTAGGCAGGTAGGTCTCGAGGTAGGTCGGCAGACACAGACTAGGTTAACTAATGAAAAGTCGAGGTGAGGCAGGTAGGGAAGGAGGGAGGTAGGTAGTGGCAGTGGTAGTGGTAGTGGTAGGTTTATGCAGCAAGTAAGTAGTAGCGCGTGTATAAGTAAGTAGCTCTTGAAAGTGGTTGCTAGTAGTTGCTTAACTAAATCCTCGACTAAATACCAAATAAGAATTGTATGGATACCCGCCATGTCAGGAAGTATACATACTTAGCCATGCATACTACTCTGTGTCTACCTACATCCATCCCACCTAACTACATAGGGATCCAGGGTTCATCCAAGCAATGCCAGTCCAAGCTCTGATTCGATCCAAGTAATTTTGAAGGCTTGGACTGAATTGCTAAATCTATAAATGGTATTGAAGAAATGCAGCTATCTTTCCCTTTCTCTATATACTACTACCTTCAAGTTAACATATAGCCAGGTCCCTTATTATAGGTAGGAAGAGGTTGATTATATAGATAGGTGTAAGTAAGTTAAACAGTAAAAGTAAACTGTTACTTGTAAGTTGCGGCAACCTTGATTTCATCCCATCCCATCCCATCCCATCTCTTACAATCAGCCAGGACTTCTCTTGCAGTTTGCAGTATTGACCGACCCGTCAGACTCTGCTGTAGACAGGACAGGACAGGGCAGGGCAGAAAGTAGACGCGAAGGCCAAGGGTCAAGTGAGTATGTTATGTATCTTCAGTATCTTCAGATACCTACCTGCCAAGCCGCCAAGGGCCCGGGGTCGACGGCGATTTGCCGACTGGTGAGTGGTCAACATGTGTTCCGACGGTGGGCCCGGCTGGCAGTTTCTTCGACGCTACCATCGTGGTGTTTATTATTTATGGGCATTGGCTGAGGTCCTGTCCTGCCCAGTCCTGTCCTGTCCTGATCCAGGTACTGGCACTCGCGCTCGCCATGTCGACAAGGTCGCAGGGTACCGCATGTGTGACCGTCTTTGCTGGTGCAACCCCAGTACCCGCCCCGGCAAGTCGAGGTACCGTCATGTACACGTACATCGTGGAGCTACTTACATACCTACTGTAGGTACCGTATTTGCTTTACTTAGTGTCCCTGTATTTTTGTGTTTTAAAAGATGGGGGGGGGGGCCTCGAAAGGGAAATCCACCCGCACCGCACGCGATGACAAGACAAGACCTTCTTCCTCCGACCGGGGGCAGGGGGGCGCCACCACCGTGTCTGCCCTACCTACCCCATCGTCATCGCCATGACCGTCTACCCGCTCGTCCTCGCGTCTGCCATGCACATTTTTATACTCGTTGCAATCGCCCGCGAGAGAACAACAAAACAAGCTATTATATGACCCCGTATCTCCCGTTTCGAGTCTTACTATCGTACTTCTTCCGCCGTGTCTGCCATCTCATCTAAACCTAGGTCTCACAGCCAGAGCTTTCCTCGACCACAACAACATGTTTCGCCACCAATCTCCCATGGTTATACAACCAAAACGGGTCCAACCCTGCACTTAAAATGTAGTGTATTGTTCTGTGTATGTTTTGGTGAGTTATTCGTGTCCGCCCGGCCGCGTTAGATCGGAATGCGTGGCCATGCGTTTCTATCGGCGTTTTGACCTCGAAACGTGTAAGTCGCCATGGAAGATCGATGGTGCCAAAAAAGAGGGGACCCAACCCCCAGTTGCTCTTTCAAGTGCAATATACACGATATTAGTTGGCCTGAACCTTGTTTGTTTGTATTCTTTCTTTTTTCTTTTCTCATTCCAAGTTATCGTTCCACGGTATGGTCACCCGCTAAATGGGAGGAAATGGGAGACTCGAGAGAGAGCGGGACCCAGCCGACCTATTTCAGGGCCGTGCTCCCTTCTTTTTTTTTACGGCCGCCACTAGGAACAGCCTACCATCTTCCTTACCAAACACTTGGGTATTATTAGCAAAATTATTTTGCTGTGCATTCCCTTGGTGAGAAATCGGTCACAAGTAGACGGTTGGTGAATAATTGGCTAGCCGGCTGATCTTGAATGAGGTAAGCCCTGTGTTTACTTCTAGGTACTATCTGCCGCTGAATCGAGAGTCCTACCTTCAGCACAGATTTCCTCCCAGTGCAGGTTGCATTACCATGTACCTAACGCAGATAATCAGAAAACACTCTCAAAAACTAGGCCGACTCTCTAATACCTCGCTGGGCCTATTGTACACCTAAACTAGGCTCTGCCGTTATGTCCAAATACGTAGAGACGCCGCTCTCCCGCAGAGCCTCAACTTGTGCAACACATACATAATTCATGGCCGCTCAATACAGAAAGCAAATCGCAAGGGCTACCAGAAATACTTCCACCCACCAAACTTCATCAATTCTCTACATGGATAGCATACAGTATTGCAGAATATTCCACGTGGAGTGTCTACCTACCGTAGCGGGCCTTTTCTTCTCCGACGTCCGTTTCACTTTTCTAGAAGCCTATCATTACAGTAGCAGCATAATTGAACCTTGAATGTCAAGTTCCAAACCCTGTTGGCACGTCATCCTATCGCTAAAAATACCATGCTTAAACCTTGCCTCCCTTCTACATTATATCCCTACCTAGCCGCGTTGGTTTCAACGTCACGCTTTATCGAAAGACAAGTACTATCGCCATGTTATTCTGAGAGACTTTATGTCTTACAAAAGCTATAATCTTGAATATGCCGTATCTTCAGGGCATATGTGGGATATAGGGACCCTGGCTTAATTTCATGTAGTACTGTAAATCCTTGAAAAGGACACAAGGAAGCCCTCGAAAGCTGCGCACTGGAGCGGCGGACTGTGATTCGGAGGGGAGGAGGGGGGGTTGAAGCATCTTCCCTAAAAGGAAGGCGGTGGGCCGATTACCCAATCTGATTGGCTGCTCCATCATCTTAGTACTTGCGTGCCACTATGCCCACCATATCGAAGTACCTCTATGTACCCATAGATCAGCAAGTTCAGTCTAGGTAAGAATTCAGTCCGCGGTCAAGTGCTATTAAGACATTGTTAATCAACGATTTTGCTCTATTTTATTTTGTCCTTGTCTGTTCTATAATTGCTATCTTGAACAAGTATAATAGGTACTCTATAATAAACCGGAGTAGTCCCATCTAAGTCTATCATCGCCAAAGTTACGAGGTAAAATACACAAACATAAACCCTACCCAGCTAACGACAACCCCCAAAGCCGAGTACGCGCTCATGAACATGAGTGGCAAGAACTCGTATCTGGCACCAAATATCATCTGGTGCAATAAGGAGCAGTACACGATCAACGGGATGCTCACGGCGATGTATAGAATCGTCAGCCTGTCGAAGAGGAAGAACCGGGGCCGCTGAGACGCTGGCGCCAGACGATCGAAGACCATGAGGAACAGAACAAGCCAGAAGACGGTGTATATCGTCTTGACGGGGAATTCAGCGGGGGTGAAGAGCAGTGGGAAGAGCGATACATGGCCGGAGACGGCCAGTGGCCTGAATGCGCTGACGTGGCGCCGGTCTTTGAGAGCAATGAGACTGAAGGGAATGAGGACGAGAAGAATGGCTTTTTCATGGACATGCCATCCGAATAGGAAGGAGGCGTAACCGCACAGCGTCACGGCTCCGATGAAAGCATCCCAGCTCGGACGGTTGAAGAGCTTCAGTAAGGGGATACCTTGGAAGAGGAGAGTCAAGGTGAAGCACAATCTGGGCGTGATCTCCGGGAGCACTGCAAAGGCTGTGTCGCCTACGAGACCTCTTGTCACGCTATTGATAGCTTCAGCCTTCACGGGCAGGCCCAAGCGTGGCGCAACTGATAATACGAATTAGTCATATAGCGAGCGCTGAGTCCGGATTTCTTACACTTACCAAAAATCAAGAGCCGGTCGAGGAAAGAATACAAGGCCCATACATTGGGTGCCCAGTATGCATGGCACAAGCCGCGCGAAAATGGGAACAATCTGCTAAGAATTTGAGGAATTTGGCCCTTGAGAGCAAAAGGGCCGAAGGCCGTAGCGAAGACGGCCAAGATACCAGTACCGAGCTTGACGCAATTGGCGAATTGGATTCTGAAGATGGACTTGGGCGAGAGACAGTAAACCCGGAGCAAAAAGACGAAATATGCCGGCGCGAGATAGAGATAAATGTGCTTCATGCACAAGAGCGCAGCGAAGGCCAATCCGCTGGCGAGGAGGGTAGATCGCTGGCGCGCTAGAACGAGCGATAGGAGTAAAAGACCATACATGGCGCCATTATATTGGAAGTGGATATGGTCGATGATGAGAAGGCCAGGCGAGAGAAGGACTGAAATGGCAGCGGCCTGGGCGGCTCGTTTGTCCAGGGCGTGCGCAGACTCGGCAAACCTGGAAACATCATGTTAGCTAACCGCTAGGATAACCAGTAGATGGGCCAAGTGTACCGTTGGAGGGCATATACTAGGACCAACTCGGTCACAATGACTGTGGCCCTCTGGAAGTAGATGGTCTCCCAGCTATCGTATCCCAGATTGCTAATGCGAAGCATGGCGGGGTCGACGAGCTTCGCGACCTGAGACATAAGCCACTCGAAGTAGGCGAAGAAAGGCGGGTAATCGAGAGTCCATTCCGACGTCTTCTCGTAGTACCACTCCCAGGGAGAGAGGCTGTTGGTGATGGCCAGCCAGTTCCGATGGACTTCGAAGTCGGTCGATTTACTATATGGCGCACACGGGTGGTTAGTCTCACGTAGAGTTTGTCGCAAGGATCGGACAGAATTCGTCTGCGTACTAAGCTGGGAAGAGAAGGATCTTGAAGGCGGTCGCGACAATTGCGCATTGCGCAATGGTCGGATACGTCTCGCTCATTGCGCCGGTAGTTGTTGTAGTATCATGGCCAACGAGGGATGGAGGGTATGCGCCGTCGAGAGGAGCGTGTGTAGGTACCTAATTGCTCATACCAAGCTTGAAGAATCGTGGTACGTAGGTATGTACCTAGGTAGCTATTAGGTATGTAAGCGACAACGATGCCAACGATGCCTCTCTTCGGACAGCTCTCCCCTCTGATTCTATCGTGAGAGTAGGTACAAACCAGATACGTATGGATTTAGGTAGGATAAGATAAGTGGCGTACCTCGCGTACCTGGTGTACCTGGTGGACCCTTGGCTTCAACACGGAAATTGCGACATAGTTTCTCGCGCATCACCTTTTGTTACTCGCGCGCCACGCTAAACCTACCATAGCAATTGTTGGGTCTCTGTCTATAACCCCCCTGTTTTCCCATATAAATTGGGTTAGTTATAGATATACCCTTAATAGCAATTATAAAAACAGTTATTTTTTATATTATTATTTAAGAAGTATACCTTTTAAAAAATAGTTAAGTTAATTAATTTTTTAAGTTTAAAACTTTTATAATAAATAAATTACTATTATATTTATTAATAAAAATGTTCCCTTTTAAAAGTACCTTATAATTTATTTTTTAACCTTTTTTAAAAAAGTAATTTATTTATTAATCTTAATATAAAATTACCCCTTTTACTATTTATTTAATTAACCTTTAAAGTTAAAGATAATATTTATTAAATATATATAATTTTTATTACTTTTAAAGACTTTAAATTAGCTATTATAAAACTATTATAATACTTTTTAATAGTAATATTTTATCCTTTAATATTAAAAAAAGCTATATTTACAGTTTTAAATCCTTTTCTTTTTAAAAGCCTTAAAGGTTATAATATTATTATTTAATAATTAAATTTTATAATATTAATAATAAAGGTGGTATTATTAACCTTACCTATTTATTTAAATTTATATTACTTTTTTTAATTATTATTTTTTATTAAAAAGGAATTTAACTATTTATAATAGGTATTTAAAATAAGTTAAAAATATTAAAAATATATATAAAGTATAAAATAGTTAAAATTGGATTATTTTAAAGTAATTTATATAGTTTTTAAAGCTATTATTTATTTTAAAAGTTATTAATTAATAATAAAGGGTTAAGTTATATAAAATTAATTAATAACTATTAATAAAATTTAAAGTCTTTTATTTTAAAGCTTTATTTAAGCTTTAATTAAACTTTATAAAAACTATTACTTTAATTAAAAGATAATAACTATTAAAAGGAATTATAATAATAAGGAATATTTTATTACTTTATAAAATTACTAATATATTTAAATAATAACTTATTAGTTTAATAAGCTTTAAAAGTTATTTAATATTATTTATAAGCTTTTTTAAAAGTATATTATAAAACCTTTATCTTTAAAGTTTAATTATTAAATATTAATGCTTTATTTATAATTAATTTATAATATATTTAATATTTTTATAATTGTTTATATTTAGCCTTTTTTATTATAATTAGGAATAATATTACTTTATATAATTAAAAGCTATTAGTTTAAGGATTATAAAGGTAGGTTTTTAATTTAATATATAAACTTTTAACTTTTAAAGTTATTTATATATTATAGTTTTTATATTTAATTATATAATAATAAGCTTATTATTAATATATTTATTAATAAATAAAAAAATAGGTAATAATTTTTAATTAATTAAAAAACTTATTATAAAGGTTATTTTAATAGTAAAAAGCTTCGTTTTTAATTTTATAATAGGCTATATAGCTAAAGAGGGTTAAAACCCTATTAATATTATAATTAACTTTAAAAAGGTTAAAAGCTTTATAGTATTAATAGTATTAATATTTTATAATAGCTTTATTTATTATTAATAATAATAAAGGTAATAAAATTTTAAACTTTTTATTACTTATATAATTAAGCTTTTATTATTAGGTTAGCTTTATAAGCTATTTAGTATTTAAAGGTTTAAAACTTTAAAGTATAGTTCCTTTTTAATATTATTTAATATTAATCCTAACGTTAATTATAATATATATAATATAAAGCTATAATTATACCTTTAGTTAAATTATTTTAATTATATTATAAATACCTTTAACTTTATTTATAATAATAATTAAAAGTATTAAAATATTAAATTTAAAGTATAACTTTTTAACTTTATTAAATATTTAAATATATAAAGGTTTAAAGTTATTATTTAATATTATAAAGGTTATATTAAAGGTTATATTTAATATAATTATATTAATAACCTTTAAAAATACCTTTTAAATTAAAAAATATTACTTTAATAATTAAATAAGATTATATATATAATTATTTTAAATTTTTAATTAATATTATACTTTTATTTTTTATAGGGTATAAAGGATTATAATACTATTTATATAAATACCTTATTCTTTATATTAAAGCTTATTAATAATATTTTTTAAGTTCTATTTAATAATTATATTAAAAGGATTTAAAGCTATTATTAATTTATATATTTTTTAAAGGAAGATAAAATTATTAAAACTAGTTTTAATAATTTTATAAATCTTTTCTATTATTTATTTTTAATAGTAAAAAATTATAAATAAAGATAAAAGGTAATTATAATAAGGATAATTAATAATAAAGGTTTAATTATTTTAATATTTATAAAGCTTTATTATACCTTTAAATTAATAATTAACCTTAATGTTTAAAGTTTTCCTTTATATAATAATAAACTTATAATTAATAATAATAATAATATACTTTATTATATATTATATATATTAATTATTAATCTTATTAAAAGTATTATACTTTATAATTATAAAGCTTTTATAAAGTGTATATATTTATTAAGCTTTAAAGCTTATAGTAAAGGTAAGAAATTAATTATTAAAAGGTAATATTAAAGGTATAATATTAAAAATTAATAATTTAATAGTTTAATTTAAAAAAAAATACAATTAATATAAAATTAATAAATAAAGTTAAAAATTATATACTTTTAATAAATATTATAAAGTATATAATATTATTAATAGTTTAAAATATAATAAAAGTAATAAATAAAAGTTAAAGATAATAAATAAAAGTTAAAAGTAATTAATTAAAAATTAAATAATAATAATTATTTAAATTAAATAGGGCCTATAAATATTTAACTAATTAAATAGCTTAAATTTAAAAATAATAGGTTATATATTGCTATTAACCGCTATTTTTAATATATACCATTATAACTTTTAATAGATATTATTTTTTTAATAGTTATTATAGGTCTTATTAGGAGATATAAGGGTTATATTTTAAAAAGGGCTAAATTAGGTATGCCAAGGACCGTTATAGGGGTATCAGTATGTACTGCCCTAATAATTGCTATAGTAGGTTTAGCGTGGCGCGCGAGTAACAAAAGGTGATGCGCGAGAAACTGTGTTACGGAAATTGGGGTATCGTCCATGTTTTTAGCGGGGTTCGCGATTGAAGGGTCGGCCGGTACCTGATGTACATGATATGTAGTGTACCCGCGATGCCGATGCAAGGTTCTAAGTTGTAACACGCATGATACCTGTCATACGCTCTAACAGCTGTCATTCATCAGACGAAAGGAATTGAGTTGACCTTGACATTTTCTTCTCTCTTGCATGTGCTTCTTAGAAGTCTACTTACTACCTACATAGGTATACATACAGACAATCCTTTCTAGGCGTCCCGGACACACGAGGTTCCGTACCTAGCAAAGATCTAGGTATCTTACTTAGTAATTAAACCTATTCCGACCAGATCCAACCATCTTGTCGCAAGTCTTTATACATTATGGGCCTAGTTGCGCGCGGGAACTCCACAAATGGCCTTGTACGGCCTCGTGCGAACTTGCTCTATTCGTAGCTGCAAAGTGTCCTCTTAGCCTGCTCGGCCTGGCTGGTAGCTCTTTACCACGCTGCACACACCAAACACCAACCACTTGCTGACCCGGAGCTTCAGCTGGCCCTAAGAGCTGTGCAAGGGTCTATCTACCTGTGAATCGTGATTGACATATGATGTCTATTTATATTGCTGCTCAACTTATATAATAATTTCCCGACGACGACGACGACGACGACAAGAAGAACAACAAGTACCGTAGTATCTAGCCATTGGCACGACCAGGTGTAGAACAACGAAGCCACTCCCAAGGCTGTTTGTTTGTTTGTTGTCCTTCCTGTCTTCGGTGCATTGTCTGTCGGCCTCTCTGCCTGTTCAGCAGCCCGCTGCACCATCGCATCATCACCTCTGTCTTGTTTTACCAGGACCTTAGAGTCCACACATTATTATTATTCGAGATGCGCCTCATACGACCGGACTCGATTCTTGCTCTGGGTCTGGCTACCCTGGCTACAGCTCGAGCCCAATTCTTAGTCAGTGAGCTTAGCTTTGGTTATACTGGGAAGTACGTGCTCATACTTCATGCCTACATATGTACTCGGGCATACCTTGCTGCACATGCGTTTGCTTCTGAACGAAGTAACGAACCCCGCCATGATTACAACCAACCATCAATCTACCCAATCTACCACGCATCGTAATGCAGAACTTGCTAAGCTCACAATCGTCATGCCAACAGGATAAACGATCGCGGAGAGGCCAAAGTTCCCGGGTTCACAATCCAGGGCACCCCGAACGTCCCCGAGATCCTCTCCAACAAGCTCATACTCACACCCCCTGTGCCCGGCAATGCGCGCGGCGCTGTCTGGGCCGACAAGACGAACCAGTATAGCGAATGGGTGGCCGACGTCGACTTCCGCGCCAACGGTGGTGAGAGGGGCAGTGGCAACCTCAATATCTGGCTTGCGCGACAGGGGAGTCAGGAGATAGGCTCGTCGAGCATTTATACAGTCGGTCGCTTCGACGGACTGGCTCTCGTCATCGACCAGCACGGCGGGTCCGCTGGCATGATCAGGGGCTTCCTCAACGACGGTAGCATCGACTTCAAATCACACCATAGCGTGGATAGCCTCGCCTTTGGCCACTGTTACTATGCCTACCGCAACCTTGGCCGTCCTTCGCAGATCAAGATACGCCAGACAGCCCAGTCGTTCAAGGTCGAGATTGACAATCGTCTATGCTTCGACAGTGATCAGATAACTATTCCCCCTGGTTATCAGTACGGTATATCTGCTGCGTCCGCAGACAACCCTGACTCCTTCGAGATCTTCAAGTTGGTCGTCATGACCCAGGATCTCGCGGCGAAGTCCAACGGGGCACCACCAACCCAACAGAAACAGCAAAACGATGGACAGAACCAAGCTAAGGCCCAGACGAGCTACGGCCGCAACAACCGGGACACGAATAACGCAAAGTCGGACGAGACATTCGATGAATCCATCCCTGACGCTTCGGCCGACACCATCACCAGCTCCAAGGCGCAATTCGCCGACCTACATAACCGTCTACAGAGCGTGAACCACCACCTCTCGACCATCTTCCGCCAGAACGCAGGCATGAACAACATGAACGAGAAGCGGCACGAGGAGACATCGCGGATGATCGACGACCTGAAGTCCAGCCTGTCGAAAATCGACAAGCTAGACAAACTCGACAGACTCGAGTGGCTCGTGGGCGAGGTGACCAAGATGCAGCGGGACATCCAGAGCATCAAGACGGACATGAACAACCGCATCAGCCAGTCCGAGAACAACCTCAAGCGCGCCATCTCCTCCAACCACGGCACCATGCTCGAGCACGTGGCGGTGCAGGCGACGCCGCGCCACGGCAAGCTCATCTTCGTCATCATCGGCAGCCAGATCATCCTCGTCGCGGGCTACATCTACTACGAGCGGAAGAAGACGTTGCCGAAGAAGTATTTGTGAATAGAAATGATGGGGATAGAAGTAACGTATAACACAATCACCACGAGGGGGGAAGAAATCGAAATCGGAATGAAAATAAGTATTCGAAATCCATATAGTGAATCTGGGAAACAGGGCGAGTCTCGAGGATGAAATGGAGAAACGCGGCGGTACTGTAAGGAGACAGACAGAAGAAAAGAGACCATAGAGGGATGGGATGGATAAGGAAAGGGAAACGGGGATGAATGGATAGGTTGGTTCAATTGTATAAAAAGCCAACCAAACCACCATAGTACTACCTATCTAGGTGTCTGTGTCTGCCTTGTCTGGTATGAACACTCAGCATCATATTTTACGACTTAGCGATATTTTTTGGGGGTTTTGTTTTATCTTAGGGGAATAAAAATGATAGAAACCATCCGATTCTTATGTATATCCAGTTCTGCATCGTGATAAGTTGTTTTGCTGGGATACTTTCTTTCTTTTTGGGTTTAGTTAAGTGGTTTAACTGGTTGATGGATTAGTTGGTTGAAAGCGAGCAGATTGATAGCTAAGGCTGCATTTATAACTATACCCAGGAGTTATTGTAAGATGAAATAAGATAGTTATACTTAGCTTGTAAAGAAAGTTTTATTTATATATAATAAGTTATTGCATTTAAGATTTACTATTGCTCTTAACTATCTTTATTTTTACCTTTCCTGTTCAGCCCCTATTCTTAAAAGATGGGCTATATATATACCTATATTTATAAATAACACCAGCAGAATAAGAAAGCAGGTTGAAAACTCTTATATATACTTACTCCTATATGGAACGTGTAAGACGCCAACTTGCTAGTTCAACTATACCATACTATACCACTTCAAAGCACCCACTAGGCCACCAGATGTAATTCCCATGAGACGAAATCCATAGCTGGCATGACGCTTCGCGAACTGAACTCTTTACTCTTTCCATGAAATCCTCATCATGCTGCGCGAACCCTAATTAAAATCTACTCTATTGTATATATGAGATCCAAGAGATGTCCGCCTTACACATACGTTCCAATACCGAACTTTTCCAAAGAATATAGTTGCCCCTATCTATCTATTCTATGATGTAAAACTACCGGAAATACCTACATTCTCTCCGCACGCAATTTCCTACGTTATCTGTGTACTCACGCATAGACGGTGCCGTCTAGTAGAAAGATAACGGCAAAAAAAAACCTTAAAAAAACTTTCAAAAGAAATAAAACGTACAACACCGAGGATTCGCTGGTCGTCACCGACCCAACTACTAATTCGGCGCTCACTAGCTTATCTAAGGGGGGAGCGGACGGGACCCCGAGTTCTCCAGCGGCTATGGTCGTACGTGACATCTTTGGTCATTGTCAGGGTATATATATCCCTTCCCTTCCCTTTGCTTTACTACCTTGCTTTCCCCCTATCTACCCCTATACCCACTCACACTACACAGTCAACAACTCATGCAGGTCGGTACATAAGTAAGAAGAATCAGTTCGCGACCCCCAAGATCCTCAACAGCTCTTCTCCCTTCGGCGCAGTCGTCAGATTCTCGTACCCCTCAGACGTTACGAGGATGCAATCCTCGATGCGCGCGCCGCCGACGTCCCAGTACCGCTCGAGCACGGCCTGGTCTATGTATTTGCTGTGCTGGTCGCTGCGCAGGAAGTATGCCTCGATGTACGGGCGGCAGAAGTAGAGACCTGGCTGATTACGCGGGGATGTAACGTTAGTATTGTATTTACTGACAAGGGAGGAAAGAAGAGGAGAGGAAGGGAACTGGTGCATGGAAGCTTGCTATCTGGTGTTGATACCAGGAGAGGGGTCTCGTTAAATGACAAACTGGTATCGTAGGGAGGATGTATAAAGGGGTCATAAGAAGCTCGAGGCCGCTCACCTCAACAGTGACAATCATGTTTGGCTGTAATATATGATTCTTCGGACTAGCAGCCTCGCTGGTATCGCCACTTCCATCTGTGATGGCAGCTTGCTTGATCATGGCGCGCAATGAATTCGGGCCGACGGGTCGTCTTTTGCCCCATATGCTCTCGCCCACAGGACGTAGAAGCTCCTGACTCAGAACGCTTGTGATTCAAGTTAGTCAGGCGGTTTTACAGAACAGCGAGCCTAGATAGACAACCAATATTAAACGTTGAGTGAGAGGAAGAAAGGACGGTACTTACTCGTGAACATCGAGACCTACGTGGTGGCCAAGTCCATGCGGGAAGAAAGCTGCTCCTGTCCCATTTTTAAATATTTCATCGGCGGTGCCGTTGTGTAGACTTAGACACGGAGAATTAGCGATCTTCCACTTCTAGGGAAGCAAATTCTGTTCCGCAGTATGCTGCAGGAAAAGTAATATAACAGCAGGCAACCACTTACATGCCTAATCGCAGCAAGCCTTTCACCGCGACGAGAGTAGCATGGAGCTGCAGGTCGCGGAACACGACCCCGGGACGAATGCGCTGGATACACTCCTCCTGCATCTGATGCACGAGATCATAGATCGCCCTAGCCTCGGGAGAGAACGTCGAGCCGATGGGTAATGTACGCGTCACATCGCTCGCGTAACACTCCCATTCCGCGCCAGCATCGAGCACGACAAGCTGCCGACCAGCTAACGGCTCGTTATTTGCGTCGTAATGCAGCGTCGAGGCATTCGGTCCGGACCCGGCGATAATGGGGTAAGATTGGACGTGGGCGTTCTGCGCCGTACATGACCCGAGAAAAGCAGCCTCGATCTGGCATTCGTTCGACAGCCCATACATCGACGTGGCTACCTCCCTATGCGCCTCCGAAGACACGGCATTCGCTTTCCGGATCATGTCGATCTCGTACTCGGTTTTAATCACTCTCAGCCCGTCTATCGCGGGCTGCAGCGACGTCGTGTCGATGAAGACATGAGGCTTGAGCTTTTCGAACTCGGCAGACTTGGGCATCTGAGATGCTCGCAGAACATAGAGCGTCTTGACCTTGGCCAGCCGCGAGGTCAAGTATTCTGACAGCGAGTTGCTGTATTTCACGTCGTGCACGTCGGATCTGGCGAGGCAGTCCTCCGGGGACGGTGTCTTCCCGAACCAAAGAATAGTCGCGGGGGGTGTATAAGGGATCCAGAGCGTCAGCTTATCAGCCTCTATATCGTATGTGACGCTGCACCCTGCGAAATTTACTCCGGAAAGATAATAGAAGCTGACGCCTTATGTTAGTGCCACATGCAAAGGAGGCAGATTGTGGGTGGTTTGGACTTACTAACGGCGCTGACGGAAAGCTGGTCCTTGGTCGGCATCCTCCCATGTCACATTCCATTGTCCCGGCAGGAAAATAAGACCATCCTGCTTGCCTAGCTCTCTTGCTAGATTTCTTGCGTGAAGCTTAGCTAGTGAGGTTGTTAGCTTTCAATTATAAAGTAAGGCAGATCCATAAGAAATCTGGGAGCGACGTCTTTATAGAGATGTGTTCAGTCATGGGGGAGCATTGAGTCGAGCTTGTAATGTAACTATTGAGACCTATACAGCAAAATGTAGATGATCCAGTGGCAGGGTAATCAACTCAAACATCTCCAATCTCTCTACTTGGAGTCGAGAGTTTATAGAGTTCAAAAGGGACGTAGTTGACTAGGTAGTCATTCCGCGAGAAATGTAAATAGCCATGATCCCACAAGCATACCCGTGAGCACCGAAAAAGAAGAAGACACATTTCAACGACACTCCGCATGTAAACCAAGGGTTACTCACCGGGATATTTCTTAGCGACTCCAGAGTGGACAGGACCAGGAGCCTTGATTTCTATAGAACTGTAGCAGATGATTAGCATTCGATGTCTCTAGGAGGGAAACGGCAAGTAGTAAGTATGGATAAGGACATGCATATAAAGCACGCAAGAGACCTACAGAGCATCAAACTCATCCTCAAGCACAATGCGATGCTGGATGTTCGTAGCCTCCATCTCTAGGGTACCTAGAACTGCCAAGGCATATAAATCTGGGAATACACCTGTACGCCTTCGCCTCGGAAACTAAAGACACCCAACACCAATAAAACATGAGATTCTTCCAATGAATGAGATCTTCGGTCTTATCTTGTATATATCGTGTTAACTGACGATGAATAGGCTGTTTGTAGACGGGAGGATAGCACACGGCTGGGATTTGGATTGATTGGTGACGAGGATCGTAAGGGGTAGCCTACCCCATGGGGACTTAGCTACCCGGCAGGTACTGTTAGATAATTGGTGGCTTATATGTGGCGGGGAATGAGGCTGGGGAGTTTACGTACTTACCTAACCTCCTAATCACCTCAACATCGCAATTTATATATAGAATCGCGTTTCCTTAATAGCTTTACAAATTTGCATGCTTTACAGATAATTGTTCTAATATTCGTCGCCTACAATAATATCACATGGCAAGTATTTACATAGAACATTGATCACATCCACGTAAGCATACAAAGGCGCTGAGCATGACTTGAAAGATTGATTTCTCCTCCCCATAAACCACAGTTCATAGACCTGATAATTCACTACATAGGTATAAAATATACTTGCCAAAATACAAGTTGCGCCTCTATGCTCTCTTGTCTCATGAATCGTCACAGGTGGTATATTTACACAGAAATCTCCTGAGAACTTCGTCTTTTTGCCGTCAGTACGGTCCCTAAATCCCCAGTTTTCCAAGGTCTCGCAGGTATGTCTGACGTACGCAGTGGGTATCTTTTTGTCTCCTCTCTCGTTATCACTCCCTCTCTCTCTCTCTCCTTTTGTACCGGAATCTCTTGCACCGTAAGAAAATCAATGCTATCACTCCATTCCATGCTGTGGAAACATTCCTTGCCAGGATGAGGGGGCAAGCATGTGGTCATAGTCTCTTGGTGGTCGTAGTTGCTCTTGCTCCATTTGTAATCCTTGAGGATGGGGACGGTGCATTGATGGGTGCATGGGATGTGAGGGTAGCATTGGGTCCGAGTACATGTGTGCCGCGAACCCGAGACCTGTGTTCCCCTGCGGCTGCATTAAGTACGGCGGAAGGGGGCCTAATAGCTGGCCCTCGATACCGTCATAGAGCTGAGGTACATAATATGACGAAGGGTCATGCGGTAACACATCTCCAGGGTTTGCGTGATGCAGACTGGGCCCATGGATTCCAAAGTCAACTCGCGGCTGGTTCGGGTAAGCCAGTGGATCGTCCGATGGGAACATCATGGCGTCGAGTCGATGTATTTGTTGGGCCGCCCCTATCGTGCCGAGCGGTACCTTAGCTGTGCTAGTACCGCTTAGACTGGCACCTGTCATCGGGTCCTGAGGTGCTGATAATTGTGGGGAGGGGAAATGGAACGAGTTGAACATTGGGTCCATGCTTGGACTAGATCCGTTCTCATCGCCAAATAACCCTGTGCGTGAGGCTAACGCCGGAGAACGCTTTTGAATCTTGGCGGAGATGGCCTTTGATAAGCTGGGACCTTTGGTAGCGCCTCGAGATGACGACGGAGAGTTGATTTTCTGGAGCGACGGACTAATCTCGAGTTTCAGGCCCGGCCGGGCTCGTTTCTTTGAAGGCGCAGTCTGCACGTCGAGCTCTTTGAGCTGGTCCGGCAATTGAATGAAAAGAGCCTGGATAGGTCAGTCACCTGGGATTTCTTTCCCACAGCAGCAATAAACTTACTTCTAAAGAACTGAAGATTCGGTCTGCAACCATACTCTTCGGTGCGAGCTCGCCAATCATGTTTTTCCCCGCTATAGCATCTGCGAGGATTTCCTTCGATCCTTGCTTATTCTGATTTTCCAAGACATAGAAGACTAAAGATATAATGGCGAAGTATTCCGAAAAGAGCGTAAACCAATAGGGCCCCACGAGAGATACCTGTTTCCGCATCTCAGTGCCAATATGCACAATATTACGGGCGACTGAGATGTATGCAGCCCCACAAGCGTACGCGCGTTCACTAATATCCTTGCCAGCACAGAATCTCGGAGAGACGTAGTGGAGGAAGGGCCTGTAAAGAACCATCTGGACATGGGCGTAGGCAAATCTCAATAGATTACGGATCCTAGTGGGAGTTAGCGTCTCATTCGTTGTAGGTCAAGTATGCGCCAAGAAATGGAGGGTGAGGGGCTGTGGCTCGCAAACAATTGAAACCCGAGATTACTTACCGCACAACTTCAACTGATCCCTCTGGACTTGGCCGCCAAGCAAAGGGTAGTTGTTCGTTCCACTGCTGAAGCTCCTCTTCCATTTCTTTAACGCGTGCATAGCTAACCATGTAGGAGGCACTTTGCGATTCATCCTCGTCTGTTACTTTTGGATCCGCTCGCTTTAAGGGGTAAACATTCTTGACGACTTTACTCAAGAGATCCATCAACTTGACGTGCGCATTGAACGCTTCAATATATGAAGGGGTACCAGATGGTGGAGTTGTAATCCCTTCTTTCGTAATAAAATCGTCATCCACGGCGGTTGGAAGCAACTGATCGATATCATCGTCGTTCAATAACAAAGGAAATCCCAGGAGTGCAGATACATAGGTATCCATCTGTCGACATATATAAAAGACCCTACGCCTCGTTTCAGATTCGACAGGATCCATCTTGATATATGGTAAATGGCGATGTAATCCCATCCGAAGCGCTGATCGCAGGGCAATGCCAACAAATCCATAACACGTGCTCAGGTTCGACATAGACTGCAAAAATAAGATCATGAAAAGCAAGGCCTGAAGTGAGGTGAGGTCTCGGCATTCAGTGATATCCTGTAATAAAAATCTAGCGGAGCTATAATAGCTAAGACTGTACCAAAACAATGTCAGATATCCAATCAGAGGTCATCGGGGTGGGGGATAAGTACGCTTCGTCCGTAGACCTTTTGTAGGGCGGTGAATTCATTACCCGACCATCGGGGACATCATACATGCAACCAAGTGCCATGGCTGCATACGCGAGGGCCAAGTTCCTCTTGTCTTCTATTCCGAAGTCGTCACTAGGTTTATCGTACAAACTATCTAGCATGCTGTAAAAAGTAGGCTTGTGCACAATCCGTAGCAGGCAAGTAGCATTGTCTAGAGACTCGGAGCAAAGCGCAAGTGCTCTCTCTTTCGGGGGAAGGTTGTATGTGGGAGCGCTGGAAGTAGTAGACCATGGAGAGCTGGGTACTGGCCGAGGGGAATCGAGAGTTGTAACCCCGGCAGGCCGAGGAGGCCGTGGCATGAAAGGGATCTGATAATCTCGCCCCAGCAAGGTCTTAAAATGCTTCTTCATTTGCTTGAAGAAAACAGACCCAGAAGATGTGCCATGGAAGTCGTAGTCACCGCTTTCATTGAGATCAAGTTGACCAGCACTGGATATCATAGACTGTAACTGACCTTCGGAAGAACCCGGCTTGGGCTGGTCTTTCCTTTGGGCAGCGGCGGCTTTCTGTCTCGCCTGTTCGCGCATCCTGAATTCTTGCTGAACGGCAGGATCTAGGTTAGGATCATTGAGGTCAACATCAGGCATGAACTTGCGAAGCAGCGTCTCGGCTCTTGATAGCTTGTTCTCAAGCGCTTCAATATATTGTGGCGCTGGGTTTCGCCGCCTATTGGAAGGCTTATCATATGTACATTCTGTGATGTTAGTAAGCAAAAAGGAGACAACGAGAGTGGACAAGGTCAAAGCTACCTACCATAGCTGTAAACCTGGCAGTGTGTGCAAGGTTGTTTCCCATCACACTTGATTTTTTTGCGACGGCATTCATCGCAGGCGCGCGTTACACGGCGGCGCTGCTGTAGAGGGACGGGTGCCCCTGGACGGGACGACGAGTCGGAAGGGCCTTCAACATCATCGCCGGGCGTGTCGCGTGGGGATTGAGTTTCAGTGGCCCGAGTAGTAGTGGCGGCATCATTCTCGGTATCGTCTGGCAGGTCAGGCACGGACGGGCTCGCAAGACGAGCTATAGATGGAGATCTGGGGGACGAGGTCGCTCGATCCGCCGGCGGCTGTGAGGGGCGCGGAGAGGGGGTCATATCCGGCTGAAAAGAGGCGTGGATTGACTCTTTAACCCGGGGCGACCAGACAGAAGGCTCGTGAGACAGACAGACAGTCGTCTTCCCTGTCAGTCAGAAACAAATTACTTGTTGGCACAGGAACGTGCTTGTCGCATTTTGAAGGACTTTGTGAAAGGTCGGGTCGACGAGATGACGAGATGACAAGATTGAGTCGTGGAGTTCGTGGAGAAGCGACGAGTCCCAGAGAACGAGTGTGGTAAGTCGACTTGTCTCGGGTGCGTGCGTTGTGCAGAGAGAGAGGGAGAGAGAGCTAAGGGTGACACGGTAGGGGGGGCGCAATGGGGGACGGTAGTGGGTAGTGGTACCTAACCTACATACTAGCTACAGTACTAGCTCGCTAGCCTACAGTACCTAGAAGTACCGACCTTGCTCGCTAGCGTGATAGGTCGACAACGGTCGATGGCGGCTGGATTGGGGCGGTACTATGTATGTATTTCTACCTAAGGAGGATATAGGGTATTCCAATAGGAGAGAGTCTGGGAGAGCATGGTAGGTAGATCTCTCTTCAGGAGCCTGCCCACGATACCTACAGTATTCTCCGCACATGGGTGACGATGCGCCTTGTGGATCCGAATACGCACGAGTTGGCAGAGCCAGAACAAAGGCAGCCCAATAGGAGGCCAGCGGGATTGAGGATCACAGTCGGCCCCCGAGAAAGATGTGCACACTGAAAGGCGCTGGGCTACAGTCAACCACCGACGCTGGAGACCAGTTAGAATGGAGAATCGGGACAGCGTCGGTATGTAAGTATGGGTATGTATGGATGGATATGTACGGGATACCTACCGTACCTCACTGCATGTGCACATGCAGTTGACCTTGGGTTGGCCTTTACATGTACTTACACCTACATACAGATATATGTACAGATATATGTATATGGGTGTTGGTGTTGATGTCGCGCGGGATGTCATCTAATTGACTCCTTACCTACCCTACAGTAGGTTTGTAGGACCTTGTGTGTATGTTGGTAGGTATGTTTTGAGAGGTACTACTACTTACAATTGCTGTAAAGGGTTGGGATTTTCCTACCTTTCTACACTATGTAAGAGAGGGTTCTCCTTACCCATACCTACCTCTGACCTACCTAACCTCTCCCCTGCTTACCTACTTAGTAGGCGAGGTAGGTAGCATAGCAAAACCAGAGCATCAAGTAGGCCAGTACATGATAATGATGGTGTCTACACTAACTATGTAGTATGTCTTTTACTTAAGTGATATCTATCCTTCAGATGGGATATGGGATATCTATCACTTAGACAAGAGGTAAGTGGCCTTGTACGACTAATCCTAGTCAGAGAGGCCAACTATTAGCTTGATGATATAGCTCACAACTTCCCTGGGAATATCCCTTGTCAGATGTTGTGTGCTAGGTACTACTATGCGTTTTTTTCGAGTCAAGACACATCATGTACACCGCCTACAAGCAATGTATGTGACAGATATCTTGTCACACCTCGACTCTCGCTGTGCGCATCCGCATCCCATAATCAGTGACGATGTTTGGGTAGCGTGTACAAAGCAAAGGGCTTGGAAGCGCAGCCCAGCCAATTCGTCGACGCACCTAAGCCCGCCAATACCAGTATCCTCTCGATCCATCAGCCCATTCGTGGCTTGGCTTTCGGGCGATCGCTCATGGCAAATCAGGACAGTGCGGAGTGTCTTCCGAGGGGGCAGTTGCCGGCATCTATCGAGTATCGAGGTGAAGGAGGGCGAGATTTCATCATCGTCAAATCTGTTGCAGGCGAGGCGAGGTAGTACTTACGTCTACTGTGTAGGTAGCACTGTTACTCCAAGAGCACCGAATCATCATCCCGACAGTCGATCTATCAGCCACAAAACGACGTTGTCTCTTTTTTGTCATTGCCGCTGGGTATTGATTACGTGCAGATGAGTGGTTAGACCTACATAGCTGCTGCAATACAAGGCGAAATGAGTAGGTAGGTACCCACGCTCATATAACCACCATACTACATCTAGAACGCAATACACACTCAATTTCGGCGTATCAGTGGCTATGAACATACTTGGCGGCCTGCGCCTCAACGCATATCTCCCATCTCCCCGCAGTGTTGTTGTCTGAGTGGTTACTTATACCTACTTATGTACTCTATCCGGCCTGTGCTCGTCGTCTAGTCTAGAGACAGTTGTAAGTATGCGGAGTGTATACATACCTAGTACTGATGTGGCATGAGTGATACGGTAGGTAGGTATACTATGTAGTAATAAAATACTCGAGCGTGGGTGAGTTCGGTTGAGTACCGAGCCGTCCGTTAGGCTGTGTAGGTAGTGTAGGTATGGACAAAGAGACTTCTAGATGAAGGGGCTCGTGGTTTCAGGCCCCTTGCTATTCCACCTGACCTAGTGGGACCTGGGGTGATTCAAGTTCGGAAGATACCAGGCTCGGTCAAGTCTCCAGGTGCTATGCTTCATACAGACCTACCCAAACATATATGTAGACGTCAGTGTCAGGAAAGTTGGCCTTGCATATCTACTTAGCATGTTATACATATGTCTGTGCACTTACTTGGTAGATAATTGGCTGGTGTGGCCGTAGCACTTTGAGTTTCAAAAGTTGTCAGGCACCTACCTAGACAATATGTGCCTTCGATAAGTAAGTGTGTATGTAAGCATATGCACCATATTCACGAATTTTGCTCGTATATCTAGGTGACCTGATGGCTCAGACGCTTATCCCATCCATCACCCAAAGCGGAGAAAATGAAGCATCTCCAGTGTGTAGCCTTGTAAGTAAGGTAATCTCTATGGCATCCCGGAAAAGCGGCACGTGGAGAGACTATGCCAAGAACGAATAACCGGGACGCGCAACGGGCTGCCTCTCGCGCCGCTTCATGCAGCCCAATCTTGAGCAACTCTTCGGTAACTCCGGTGTGTCCACTCGGAAGCCGGGACTCGGCAGCAAGCCTCGTCAACCTACGCATCCATGGAATATGGAATCTTCTCTAGAGAGGAGCTCAAGTTGGTCGTGGTGTCGGAGAATCAACGACATTCTTTGATAATGAAGAAAAACCGTCGGGTTGGCTACTTAGTCAGTCGCTTTAGGCGGCTTCCGAATTCATACTTGGCGAATCAGAGTTCGTTCAGTACAAGTATAGATTTAAGCTTACACGTTTGTAGTATGGCTAGCTACCTAAGGTTAGATACCTAGTATCTTCGCGTGCACTGCAAGGGCCTAAAATTTGGTTTTACTAGCACAAGAGATAGAATTCCCAAATCGAAGGTTAGGATCTGTCTTAATACATACTACCTACCGAGTAGTAGTACATCCTATCCCCGACCCTGGGCACGGCTTCTACTTAATTAGAACGTTTTTTTTTTCTTTTCTTTATATGAAAATTTTAACAAGCAGCAGCTCTGACAGGTGACGGGATCGTCGAGCCGACCCGTTTGAGAGTTAACTCAATGTGCATCTTCGGTGCTAAGGATGCAACCTGCACAGTCCTTTATCGTAAATTCCCGAAGAACCTACATATTCGACTACTGTACTTGTACGCGTAGTCGATGTTGAACTGCAGATGTCAGGACGTATGGTACCATTCGCTCAACAGGAATCAGTAACTGCTCTTCGTGCTCAGGCACGTCTTCTCGGTAGAAATCAGTGTGCGAGCTAAAGGGAATAAGTAACTGGTAAGGGAAGGTCGCTAACGCTTTGGTTGCCCTACTTGCATTAGATTCATCGCAAGCTAACTGTCCCAGCTTGCTAACTGCCGTCAAGAGTTTACCTACTAGTAATTCATTTACACTTGGATGTAGTGCTTTCTATCGACGAGTCAGATGATGAGATGAACCCCCGAGCGACGATACCTACAGTAGGTAGATCCCTTAGGTGTCCAGAACCCTATTCTGCCCTATGTACCTACCTATCTACTTAGTAAGGTGCTATGATGATGTCATCGAGTCTCTGGCCTGCTCGGTAAGTAAATTTAGACAAAGTTACAGTCTAAAATACAGTGTCAATGATTATTATTTACTGTATCAGGGTCCCTTATCTTATCGCCAAATTCAAGGTCGAGATGTTGAATAAGAGAAAAATATACCAAGTATCGCAACTTTGCCTGGCGCCAATAATGCAGATAGGGACAAATTACTACTCCGGTAGCAGGAAAATATCTATCTAGTACATAGCTCGATTGCATAATGCAATCCAATCTCATCATAATCACATGACGATGCTGGTTTGATTATGTACCTGTATCCTCACCTCGCCCATGTCTCTCTATCACGAGACAGCTGACATTCTGTCGGCGCCAGCCTCGAGCGGCAGTCTGAAATCCCGTCTGTTCAGTAACAAGAGCAAACAGCAACTGAAATCGCCTCCGCAACAGATCTACGCCCTGGCCTCGGAAACCTGCAAATGGAGCGCCGTGCTAAAGGAGATTATAGACAACTCGGAGCTGCTCCGTCATGAGCGCAAGGTATGTATGTTCAAATCCAAATATACGGAGTGTAAATGAAATCTCACCAGTTCTTTCATAGCTTACGCCTATACTTGCCCTCCTACTTGTCCACGATTTCCTCTTGTCGCGGAAGGGTATCGCGCTTCCCGCCTCACATGGCTTGAGAGCGGCCGTGGAGCGTCACAAGGCTCGCCTGACATCAGAGTTAACGCGGGCCCGGCTACGGAGGAAAGCAGCGTCTATTGACGCGCTGCGCGAGCTAGTCACTATCGAGTCGCTCGGCGAAGCTGGGCTATATCCTCGCTGGGTCAGGGTGAACACCTTGAAAGCGACGTTGCAAGAGCAGCTGGACACGACATTCAAGGATTTCACACGGGTTTCGAGCGTGAGAGACGTCATCGCCGCTTCGACGACAGGGAAGTTGCTCTACGTTGACGAGCATGTGCCGAACCTATTGGCTCTCTCGCCCACCTTCGAAATCACCAAGACGCACGCTTACACTTCGGGCGCCATCATCCTGCAGGACAAAGCCTCGTGCTTCCCAGCATACCTACTAGACCCGCGGCCCGAAGATGGGGATGTCATTGACTCGTGCTCGGCCCCGGGGAACAAGACGACCCATGTCGCGGCCATCGTGAAGTCGCGGATTTCCGCGCATGAAAAACGTCCGCGGAAGGTGTACGCCTTTGAGAAAGACCAGCACCGCGCGCGCACGCTAGACAAAATGGTGCACCTAGCAGGTGCGCAGGAAATCACGAAGATGAGCCCGGGACAAGATTTTCTAAAAGTCGATCCCGATGCGCCCGCGTACAAAAACGTCGGCGCTCTACTCTTAGACCCCAGCTGTTCCGGCAGCGGGATCGTCGGCAGAGACACCATGCCGACGATCCATCTTCCCGAGCAGCAACCAGGCGCGAAACAAAAGCAAACAGCACCAACGAAGAACAAGAACGGCAAGCGGAAGCGAGAAGAAGAAAATGATGATACCCAAGAAGACCGGCGGCAGAAACAGAAGCAGATCCTTGTCGACGACGACGGACAGGAACTGGTGGTGTCTTCCGAGAAAGAGATGAAAGCCCGCCTCGAAGCGCTCTCGTCGTTCCAGCTGACTCTCCTCCTGCACGCGTTTTCATTCCCCGCGGCCCGACGCGTAACGTATTCCACGTGCTCCGTCCACGCCGAAGAGAACGAGCACGTCGTGCTGAAGGCGCTACAGTCCGATATCGCGCTGGAACGGGGCTGGCGGATCATGAAGCGGGATACGCAGGTGGAAGGCATGCGGAGCTGGCCTGTCCGCGGATCCCTCGAGGCCAGTCGCGGAGACGAAGAGGTCGCCGAGGCGTGCATCCGCTCGTATAAAGATGACGGGAGGGGCGTCATGGGGTTCTTCGTCGCTGGGTTTGTGAGAGATGCTGGAGATACAACGAATGGGAATACCCCCGAGGTCAAAGGGGCGAAGAAGAAGCTTCGAGGCTCGGGGATACCACATGTCACCGCACAGAATGGCTTAGGGGCTAGCGAAACCGAAAGCGACGCCGGCGAACCCGATGGAGAAAATGATGGTGATGATGATGAATGGGGCGGCTTTGCTGATTAAATATTCTGCGCGTAGCGATCTAGGTTAATTATCTAGCTGGCTATCTATCTACTTACATACCCTACGCACATACAAATACCACTACTGACGCCTTGAGAGAAGACCCAGTAGTATCCATATATTCCCCTAAACTCCAAGGCTCACAGTCCTGTATGAACCCTGTGAAAATAGGTAGCAGAGGATAGTGCTAGATCGTCCATCTCCTTCGTCATTTCGTTCGAGTGGGTATGAGTTACGCAGCGAGTAAGTAAGTAAAGGACTCGATAGATACCTACTTAGCTAGTGTTGCCGAGCGATGTCCCAGAACGATCTGGTAGTAATGAGTATTCATATATACGCCTGACATGCGAAGCGTATAAAACCTGTGAAGATGAGTAGTTAGGTAGTAGAGATTGGGAGAGCAGAGGATACCTAGTTCTAGAATGTCCCATCTCCCTGCTTATTTTCGTTCGAGTGGGTAGGTATGATTCGACATAGTTGAAGGGAGTCGATAGATAGTGGCAAGCAAAGTCTTTGCAATAAAGTAGATAATAGCACACTCGCTGTATATTAGTGTAAGTCATTCATCACACACCTAAAGAGACGAAATCCCCAGAGTCTATCTACACCACACTTTCTCTCTATGAGAATTTATCATATCTATCAAGCACTGCGAAAACGATGAAGCCATAGAAGAAGAAAGAAGCGCATCGCTGTAGGTCTTTTCATTGTATGTTTATAGACCCGATGATCCCGAAGGATCCTCCTAAACGCCCCTGCTGAATAACTAATTAAGCAGCCCGTGACATTTAAAGGTAGGTAGGTAGGTAGGTAGGTATATAGGTAGATATGTATATACATGTGTATATATATATATATATATAGCGGCTGGTTTTACATAATAACGATAAAGGAGTAAATACCTACTTACCTACCTATCTACCTCCTTAGGTGTATTTCACTCACTCATATAGATATCTAGATCATGAACAAAGAAAATGATGAAATTAATTAATTAAATTACTTATTTACTTTCGTCCACAAGTCTTTCTAATTTTATTGATGTTCTTTATAGGGTATTTGATGATGTATGCGGATGACATGGTATACATACATACATACATACTAACGCTCATATCGAAATGATATGAAGAGGGAGAGAATCTTATTAGAATATTCTTCTACATGTGACACATAGCCAACAATAGAATAGAATACCAATATTACCTATCCGCTACTAATATGCCATGTTCTTTACTAGATTTTCATGAGCAAAAACAATTTTGCACCAGATAACAAACACATCAATCTTAGACACTTACAACTTCAGTGTACATGGAACGGAGCATCACATAATCTCACCAAAAGCAAGAAGTCATATACCATGAACATAGGCCTTGTATTCAGAGCCCATAGATCGAATCAAAGAATATACAAACGAAGCGAATCGAAGACAATCACTTGCCTCCCTGCCCTACCCTGCCTTCTCTCCTTGCTATACCCAAACGCTCAACTAATCAATCAATCCACTTTCACAACGCAAAACCCCGCAAAAAATTCCAAGTGGTTAAGAATACCTCAAGCAAATTTCCCCTTTCGCTAACGTATGCACACTTTTATCTTGTTGCAGGTGTATCTGTTTCGTAAGCCTTCGTAAAATTTGTGCGCCGTCTTTGAAAATGAAAAAACCTAGGGAAAAACTTTGCTATTTCCCTTTCCCTATAAACCCTTTGTATACACGAAGATGAGAGAATATTTCTCACAAAGTAAAGCTGGAAGAAATAATCCTCCTAGACTTAGCGGCGAGCGGCGAAGCTGCCGAGATGTCGGGCAGCGTGACCGTGCGAGTGCTTGGGCGCACGTCGGTGTAAGCCCTGTGTAGGCTCGGGCGCGGGAACAGTGGTGGTCAGTGTGACGGTGACGATATCCCAGATGGTCTTGATTTCGGGGTAGCTGCCGGGTGTGTCGGTGTCAGCGGCGGGCGTAGCGGCGGGCGTGGTAGCGGGGGTTTCAACGGCAGCCACTGAGGTGCTTGAAGACTCGATGAAAGCGCCGCCAGGAGCACTCTTCGTAGCTTCGGCCTCAACAGTAGACGAAGCCTCGTGTTCCTTGTAAGTGGCAGTGCTAGCAGCCTCAGTCTCGGCAGGGCTAGAGGATACAGGGGTAGCGTCGGCGGCTTGAGAGGATGAAGCCTTAGAGGCAGTAGGGGGATCGACAGAGCCACCGCTGACGCCTCCCTTACCCCAACCAGTAACGACTTTACCAACTACAGGAAGATCGGTGAGGACTTGGCCAGCGTTCAAGATGTTACCGAAGTTGGGCTTGATCTTGCAGTTCTTGTTGTCGTTAAGACCACCGGGGATCTGAGGGCACTGGTCCATACCAGCGTCACCGGCATCGCAAGTGTCGATGATGGTTTGCAGAGTGTTCGTCTCCCATCCAGCAATGAAGTCAGCGTGAGAACTGTAGCCTGTAGCATCACCGTTGGAGAGAACGAAAGGCTGGTTCTTTCCATCAGGGGTCCAGAGGTCATCGAAGAGAGGAGTGTTCCAGTAGACCTCGATGAACATGTGGGGGACGTGTTTGGTACCAGCAGGGCAGTTCTGCTTGAAACCCTCATTGTGAGGCCACAGCATGTTTCCCTTGTGGTTATCCAAACCGGCGGTTTCGTTGTAGCACGAGGGGAAGTGAATATCTTGACGGAGAGGCGAGGCGTAGCCATCGCAAGGGTACAGAGGGAAACCGGCACCAGAGCCCTTGTTGTTAGGATCAACCATGCCAGCAGTAGATCCGTCCGAGTTGACGGGGTATGAAGCGGGGTTGTAGCTTGACCTGGGGCACGTCCATTGCACAGGGTTGATGGGCACGCCATTATCGGGATCAAGATTCAGGGCGCCACCAGACTTGGGGGCCGCTCTCGTGTTCGCGTCACCGACCAACATCTTCAGACCAGGGGGGAAAGCCACGATCTCGTCATCGGTTGCCTCAAAAAAGTAGTACACGTTCATGTAGAATAGAGGAACCTTTTGGAAGGTACCGTTTTTGGGGTCCTGGAAGAAGAGGGCAGGAACCCAGTAGTTGCTCTTATCGTTCTTGATCTTAGCAGTAGTGCAATCAGAGTCCAACAGCTGGTTTCCCTCGACAGTGGCACCAAAGTTGCTTCCTCCCATAATGCTGTGGTAGTGGCTGGACTGAATACCGGGGCTGACGACGGGATCCATGGGTCCCTCGGTCAAGAAGCCATCGCCATCGAATCGAAGAACAGCAAAAGTACGCCCGCTTTTGGCAGCCGAAGACAGGGTAGCCAAGGTGGCCAATGCAGTAGCGGTAGTGAATCTCATTTTTTTTCTTTCTCCACGTCTTGTGGTTAGTGTTTGTTGGTGTTTGCGTTTAAGGAAGACCTTGTTGGAAGAATGTGCCGAAGAGGCAGATGTTAAGCAATGGTCTCCAAAGAATGGAAGGGTTGGGTTGTTCTCGTGTAAAAGCTGATACCGGAGCAGCGCTGAGGAATGGAAAATGTCCTGACAGAAAAGGCCAAACTATGTAATGGCAAAAGATGGCTGGATATGAATTCAGAGTCTGGAGGACTTGTCAGGGAAAGTGGCTCGCCACTATAATGAATGGACCAAACAAAGAATGTTTTGAGGTTGAATGAATGGAGGGCTGAGCCGGCAGAGCACGGAAAGATTGAACAGAGAAAGGATTGTAAAAGGCAACGCGCCTAACACACAACGAATCTTCACGAGGGAGATGAGATGGAGGGAGAAGAAAGGGAAGGCAGGGTCCTGAGGCTGGGAACACGAACGAAGTAATATACCAAGGTCTGCTAAGGCTAGGTAGTGCCTGGTCACATCCCACCCCCTCCCTCTGCCCCTGCTAAGAACCCAGGTACCTTTATAGACGCCATAGACTAGACCTCACTGAGCAGACAAGGTACTTACATTAGCAGGGGCGGATGGGGTCGAGCAGGGGTCGATGGGCCATCTGGTTGGGATCGAGAATGTGACCGGGGCCCGTAAGCCGGATTTGCGCTCCACCTGGCAGGGCAGAAGCGCCGCTCACGCAAGCCACGATGGGACTTTGGCGGATAGTGCTGTCAGGCACAAAAGCCAGGACAGCCCCTGGAATCTGTTGACTTGCCTGCATTGGAGGAGGTCGGCACAGTACTTGATTACGTGTTACTACTTAGTACATATGTAGGTAGCATGGACAGATAGGTATGGAGGGCGATATGCAAGGGCGAGAGAAGTACCACCCTGTGTCCTTGATTGTCTTGATTTCTTGCTTCTGTCTTCACATCAGCCTCCATTTTGAGGATTTGACGACTACCTGTTCCGGTCTCGTGTGCTTGAAAAGAGAGAGGGAGGTGGAGAGAAAAAAGGTGGGCAGATGGTTAGCTGGCGATTGTGCGTGGGATTGGACGAACAGCAGGGAAGTACCCCAAATTCACACCACACTACCTACTTAAGCACGGAGTTAGACCTCACCGCATGATGACCGCGAGCGAGCATTACACAGCAAGAAAGCTTGCATCGACACAAGTGAAAATCAAGTTGCCAACCTCTCTTTGCTGTCACCGTGTCACCGTCACTGGAGCACCTGACAAAGCCGGTTGCGAGAAATCAGGGCACAAGAGCCAAGTGTAGGCACGTATGCCATTACCACAGTTACTGGCAAACTGGCAACCGGGCAATGCTACACCAACCAGAACCAACAAGGATGAATAGAGAACTCATGAACATGATGATGAACACACACACAATATGACTTGGGGTCAATAGGAGTCGATGGCGGAGGTGTGGGTATGTGGCGTAATCTGAGACAGCGGGCTTACGCGACCTACCAGATTCTTTTCTAGCTCGGTGGATTGGCGAGCCCATTCCAGGCGGGAGGATCACCAATTCACTAAATACAGGTACGCGTCCATGGCACCTCCTTAGTCTAGCAAGTAGCCGCCGCTAGAACTTTCCACTACCACGGACATTGTTACCATTAAATCCTCCTTACATAAGTACATATTAGGTAGTACTTACTCACTTAACATACAGTAAGAGTCTGCCGATTTAGACTACACAGTTAGGCATTTGAAGTCACATGTGAGAGTAAGTATATTGGTAGACGACGTGTTGCGATAAGCCGCTGGATAGATGCCAACAACAGGGAGCCTTGGAAGGTACACGTGGGTAAACTATTTTACCTTCTATTTCGCCATTTGAAACAGATGTCAATGTGTCCAACCAATCAAGGCCATCTGTTGCCCTGGGCCCCGGCCAGTTCAACCCGGCGCCAAAATGAACAAAAAAGCTGCAAGGTACGCTACATCACCCCTACTTTTACTTACTTAAGTGCAATGCAGCCAAAGCGGACAGCTGGACGCAAGGTACGGGCAGTACGGGTACGATATCCCTGTCGATAGTCATGACAGTGCTAAGTACCCTGACCATAACCCCTGAGATGATCGTTAGTGTGTACCCCACTGATAGAATTAGAATCATTGATCTTCGCCTTTGTTTCTACGACATCCTCCGTAATTGTAGGTAATTCATGCAAATCACATGTGGACAAACGGTTAATACTACATTACTACTACTACTAGCAATATGAGGTGTACACAAGTGGAAGCTTAATTGAGCCTCATATAACCGTTCCTCACAGCGTGCATCCTGGGTCTATCCTGGGTATCTACAAGCTACCTGTTAAATAGTATATCAGCGTGGCTGTAGCGTGGGCCAAGAGAGGTCAGCCACTCCTCCAGCTCACCATGCAGCATCGTCAGCAAGTTCTACCAATCACCAACACGTCAACCTCCTTTCTCATGATAACCAGTTGCAGCACTAGGTACTGCAGTAATGTCTGGCCTATGGGCTATAGGTAAGCCACAATACCCACGAGAGACGGAAAGAAAAAAAATTGAACAAGGAAGGGGGAAAAAAATATCAGACACATCATGTAAGTCCCCACCCAACTACACACACACACACATTTTCAGTTTGTAAGCATTACTGTGTGCTTGCTGGTCAGTCTGCAAAGTCCGCGTCCTCTTTCCCAAGATACTACGGTAAAGTTACACTGCAGTCTCCTCACGAGCCTGATATCTCTGGCGTTTTTTTTTTTTTTACAACCTACTTACCAAGTAACAAGTCATGATCGAAGTGACCCCAATAAATGCACCAACTTTTTTTCACATTTTCCACCATCATTGGCATCGTTTCCAACTGCCTGCAGCGCTGATCACTGGAACGGGGGGCGATCGATCGGGCCAGGTCCGACTATCACTGGATACTACCTATAAACTACAGTTAGTTAGTTAGGTACAGCAGTTACCTAGTCTAGTGTAAGTAGAGCGAATCGCCCGCGCCGTCAAAGGCCGCCGGTGTTAGCATCCTTGCGCAACTCTTTGTGCGCCACCCACGAAAGAATAAACGTTGGAAAGGGGGAAAAAAATCTTGGAATGGCTGGAAGATCTTTTTGCCCCTGAAGAGGTAGGATCTGCTAAGGCTTGGCTGGGCAGAGCTGGGAAACATTCCGAAACGTACTATTTGTGCACGCTAGTCTAGGGTACACAGCACGCAACACGTGTACGTGTAAAGTAGTGCTGTAGCCATCACTTACTATGTACACTAGTCATGTTAGAGAGGAGAGTGAGTTACGTGTACTGAGATCTAGATTAAATAGGTACCTAGATTTTTGCGATTTAGCGTGCTGTCATCTACAGATAGAAATGGCTTTTTGAATCGGCCGTTGACGCGCATTTGATAGTGGGCCAAGTGTCCAGAGCGTAGGTACTGGTAGGATATTCAACTTCAAACACTCCCTCTCTCTCTCTCTTTCGTGACACCGAACCAGATATCTCGCAACCAAACCTACATAGGTAACATGAACCGTGATTATGATTGTGAATGGGAATAGGAATAGGAATATAACTAGGTAGCAGCAAAGTGTACCTCGGCTGTTGTTGCAGGATGAACACTTTTCTCGAGGCTCGTTCATTTTCAACCTTCCCCCCATGCAGGCTCTTCCCGGTCCTTCATCTTGACAACTGGGGCAAATGTTCATTGATCAATTTAAAGCAACATGCCAAGTGGACACGCAAAACTGGTAACTGGGATTACCATGTATTGTCCCGCAAATGAGTCCGACTGTAGGGTACACTACCTACTGTATGAGTGAAAGTAGAGTGCTTACATATCCAAATCTCGATGGGACGTTCACACCAACTACACTACAGCACGCTAACATTATACTGAACCAACCTCCGGGTATCTACCAGTCGCCTCCTCAACTCATGTCTACTTACATAGTAACTAAGTAACACACCACAGACTTACTTCGTAGGTATGTATCCGATAGGAAAGAAGGCTGTAGTACCTATGGAAATATAACCGGCGAAAGCGCTTCCCCCGCACGGTATGCTGCGCCACGGAACACATACCACAACCGCGTGTTTGTATCACGCCGGATGCGCATTATAAACTCGACCAACATGCCACAGCATACTAAGGTTAGCTACCTACTTTTGATAAAAGGATGCGGACAGATGGGACTGTGCACGAAGAGAGAGGGGAAGGGGGCGAGATACGAACCAGGTCCTTGGACCTCGAAAAACCGGGCTCCCAACCTTCGTTCGTTCGTCTCCTGCATGTCTTACTTGTCCGTAGACTTCATCACGCTGTGTGAGTCCGACCTGGTCGATCTTTTGTGTTAGGTAGGTATGTAGGTAGTTCTTCCCCTAAGTACCTAGCTAGTAGGGCATTTTCCACTATTTTTTTTTTCTTTGCGCGCGGCTGCTGATGCGGCGCTCACAGCTCTTCGCCAATCAACAAATTTTTCTTTCAGCTCCAGCAGGACCGTCGTAGCTGTAGGTCTAACTTACCAACGTAGGTACTACCATATGTAGATAGATAGGGGTTTGGCTGGCTGGCTGGCGATGCGCCTGTTGACTTACACTAGGGCGCTGTAAAACCCGGCCGCGGGAATTTCCAATATGGAGGTAGTTTTGGTATTCAACTCTGGTTTATCCAGGTTCACATCCGACCATATTGCCAAGTTTCTCGTCGTATTGTTTTGTTTCGTTACTCTAGACATCGAAAACCAAGGCATCAATCACATCATACGCATACCTAACACAGAAACGGCTTTCCGCCAGCAATGTTATCCAGCCCATCGCAGTAATGCCCGCCTACGCCACAACGTCATCGAGGTTCCCCCCCTCTCCCCCGGCCACCCTCAGCAGTAACCTCCTATCTGCTCCTACCTCATCTCACGCTCAGTAACGTGCCGTAGTCCTACGTGACAAACCCCCCTCCCACACCCAATCGGCTTCCACGCATCTATCCTTGTTTTAATTTCTCGTTACTACAGTAGGTATCACCCCTTTCAATTCGGGAGAAAAAAAAGGGTCACATTTCCCAATCCCCGTTGAAACAGGAACGACTTGTTCTGCACCCGCGGAGCGGCGCGGCGCGCATACATATATGTATGTTACGGTAGTTGTTGAACCCCCCTTGGCGAGATCCCTGGCTTGATAAGAATTGGCAAATTGTCGTACACTACCAGTTCGTGATGAGTATGTGGTAGACATGTGTGAAGAAACCTGTTGTTCTGTTTACGCTGTCAACGGGAGGTAACGTATCATCCCGGTGGCAGAAAGAAAGAAAGAAAGGAAAGGAAAGGGAAACGGCGATCTGTTTGTTTCCTTGCTTTCTTGCTGGTTCGCTTTACGAAATTAGGTAGGTAAGTAGGTAGTCCCTCGTCGACAAAAAACACCCCCGATTACCGGCGACCATCCATGGCGTTGAGGACAAGCAGGTAGACAAGGCTGCTGAAGCGAGCGAACATGACGGAGATATCATAAAGGCTAGTGTCATTTCGAAACGGTAGGTAGTTGGATGAGGCTTTTGCCCAGTGGGAGTGAAGGTCGGTAACTACATAGGTACGCAGGGCTTTCTCGAAGAGAGACAATTCAAATCATTCTCGTATATCATTAAGTATGTATCACGCCATCTAGGCCACTAAGTGAGGAGAAAATGCAGCCAACCTGAAAAATTGTCAGATTGTTGATTCGCATGTGATATTAATGACGGCCCCCCTCATAACATAGGTATGACAAAAAAAAGCCATCGTGAATATATCTGGCGTGGCTAATAGTTAATTTAACTACGTGTAAATTACCGCAACTCGCTATTTTTCGTAGCTTGGAGGCTTTACCTTTTTCTTTTCTTTTGATCGTGGCTAATCATGGCTGAACACGAGGTGATTCAACGGCGCAATTGAGGCGTTGGTAGTCTTGTCTCAGCCAGCCGGACTGTCCCCCTCATATCCGAGGCCAGGATAGGTAAGGACCTCTTACTTTCACGGCTCGTTCATGGGAAAAGTTGACGGACAATCTCAGAGCGATGATGTTTTGATTGATTCTCAAGTTATCATCGGATACCGGAGTGGTTTGGTACGGATCACTTTGCTGTTGTAGTGGGTTGTTCGTACGCAAGGTTCTATGAACCAACAACACATCGAATGAAACCCAGCACAAGTCACCCCGGCGTTTGGCCTGGGTCGATCTTAACAGACAAATATGTACTAACTGTTTACACATAACTGTGGCTCCTGGATTCCCTAGCTTTGATGTATAAAGTAACCGGTACGACGTAATCTTTAGTTAAAAGTGAGTTTGACATGCGCCCATTCAACCATGAGACGGTACCTGCAACTAAAGAAATACGCCAGATCAATGACCACACCTATCCATGGGAAAATCTACATTTCTACAATGTCACATATAAGATATTTAGAATAGGAAATTCTTAGATCGAACCCTCCAAATCGAAGGACCACCCAGCAACGAAGTAGTGAAAATGCCCATTGGTATATAGGTATTTATCCTGACCGCCCCAAGCAGACCCAAAGATAGGAAACGCCATCTCAGCTCAAACATTCACATTAGAAATCAAGAAGAAGATCAATCAAACCCTCCGGGTCCTCAAAGAAATCCATAACAACAACGCCCAGCCTCTCCTCCTTCAATTCCCGCAGCAACGTCTTCAACCTCTCATTCACACCCACCACAGCGGGCGGACCCATATCGCCCAATCCGCCCTGGACCCGAGGGCCATGGTCTCGGGATACACGGGCGGGTCGACCTCGACGTGGGTGCCGGAGGTGAACGTCACGAAGAGGCTATCCCGCCCCTGTTCCCGCGCGGCCGCCTGCCGGAGGTGCTTGTCCACGGCGTCGAACTTGGCGTCGATGTTCTCCGCTATCGAGGTGGCGTTGTCCGGATGGTAAAAGTCTTCGATGAAGGCCGTGCCGGTATCCGTAGTGCTAGTAGTCGTCTCGTTATAGACGAGCTCGAAACCGCGGGAGTTATCGGTCCACTTTCCGGGGGACATATGCAGGCCTGGCATGGCGGCCTCGTATTCCGGCGGGAGTTTGTCTAGGTCGAAGCGTCGGAATAGCACTGCATTTGTTTCCCTTTCGTGTAAGTAGATAATTGAATTGCCTGCGATGTGGAAGGGAGGTACACCAGGGAGAAGCACGGAAGACTTCTGAATAAGACTCAAGTCTGGTAGAGCCTTTATTCCTTCCACAGATTCATCCATGCTCTCTGCTCATGAAAAAACACAGGAAACGTCGTAGACACAAAATAGAAAGAAAACAAGAGGAAAGAGAGAGAGGAATCGCCATAGGTACTCACCAATCTTCCCCCTAACCTCCCCCAACGTCCCCAGCGCCCCCCGTCTCCGATCCACATACCGCTCGGCGCCCTCATCCGTAAGCGCCTCGAACATCAATCTCTGCACGCGCTCATCGCTAGTAGCATTGACCCTCGTGCCAGCCTCATACTGGAAGCTCAACAGCACGAATTCCCCGGGATGGTCATCCAACCAGCTGTAGAACCCAAACAGCACGTCGTCCACGCCCGCGCGCGCAGAGAGCAGCGCGGGGCCGTGCCAGAACACGAGCTTCGAGTCCGCGCCGTCGAGCGCGAACCGCAGGTCGAAGAACCGGATCCCGGACTCCAGGCTCGCGAGGATGGACTGCGTCTGGCATCGATACGCGCGCGCGGCCCGCGGCGCGACGAAGGACTCGCAGTCCCGCGTGGACGAGACGAGGGCGTCCTGCACACCCTGCGTGTAGTTCCACGTCGCGGCGTCGTGGGTCCCGGGGATCGTGAGCTGCGTGAGCGGTGTGTCGTCCGGTATGCCGGCCATCCAGCGCGCGTACTTGTTGTATGCGTAGCCGTGGCCGTGGCCGTAGTTGAGCTTCTTCTGCTGAATTGGAAAATCCCCTCCTCCTCCACTACTTTCTTGGTCTACTAAAGATAAATTACTGCTGCTGCCGAATACGTCGCGGGCGTCCTGCAGGAGCTTGTCGAGTGCGAGCTGGCCTAGCGCCGTGCTGCCGGTGCTCGCGACGACGTCGACGAGACATGATGCGGCGAGGAGCACGGATGTGCTGCTGCGTGGGAGGCGCATCTTACGTTTTTATTATGGATGAGTTTTCTTCGCTGCACTCAATTCACCCGCCCACTCATGTTTGACCTGAGGTGAGGAAACTCAATTGAACTTTTGAATTTCTTGGTGCACCCGCATGTACTTCGACGCACACAGTATAGCACTGTGGTGCTGGTGAGGGGTTCTGTCAGTAATCCCCATTTTGTATAAAGCTCTTAAGAATACCTGGAGAAAAATGGAATATCTTGCTTTCTTCTGCCACGCCCCGCCATTACGTATTGTGATTGGGTCCTCTGCGCATCGCCTTCACAAAGTCTATAAAGCCTCATCCGGCCGATGTTGTTCAGATTTCTTTACCTAATATCTGAGTCTCTTCATTGCGGCTGCGTTGCCTCTACACCACCACTCAATAGCTGTGATAGAGATTCCAATCATCGACCCATGACCCTTCCACTCTGTGATACGCACACCTGTAGAGATACTGGTGGCGCATGCCAGTGATGGCAAGCCGACACTGATTGAATCACCTGAGCCTTTTCCCTTCTCCGGGAACCTCAATGTCCCGGTAGTCTAGGACCAGAATGCCGAACCCGACCGATTTGCCATTTTTACTAGTATACAAAGTCATACCGACTATGATTTTGGTTGTGAACGCCACATTCTTCCGCAGTGCACGCCGAAGCCCTAATTCCGCCATATTAACCTTCAGTCAAGCCAATACCAATTGCAATATGTCCTACAACAGCAATTCCGAGGATGCCAGCGGCGGCGACGAGGACAAACCCCCATGCAGCCTTGTTCGTCTCGGCCATTTATTTAGGCTTTGTGATGTCAAAGAACTCCTTGAGTCCTTGCACAATGACCTCCACATTCATGTTCACCAATGGCATCTTGTCGTAGCTGTCTTCCTTCATGATCGCCACCAGTGCTAGGTATTTATCCACCTCGCGCAAGATGATCGGCTTGTTGCCGTCACTCAGCACCATACAGCTTTCCGCCCAGTTCGATGCTACCTGGTCCTCAATCTTCTGACTCCAAGGTGGCGCCTCCAGTGCCTCGCGGTACTTCTCCGAGCGTGGCCAGCTACCGTAGACCTCCGTGACGTCTATTATGACATCAATGTAATCGGAGCAAATCTCGTAACTCGTCATGTCAGCTGGTGCGCTATCCGTTGCGATATAGATCTTGGATGTCACGTCGAAAAGGTAAGCTTTCTCGAAACGACAGGTACGGCAAAGATTGGTCAGCATGGCCTCTAATATTCCGAGGCGCGGTATGAGTTTTTGTATGACCTTGCTGAATGCCTCGAATATACTGTGATTGTAGATGCTTGTCAGATGAAATGTAACGGGCGCATTCTCAAATCCATGGTCCGAGAGCTCGTCTTGAATCCGTATGGTAATGTCCCTCTGAATATCCAACTTATAGTCGTCCGATAGACCATCTACTTTATGAATGAACACCTCGATTTTGATGTTAGGATAAGTTTGCTGAAGGTTCAATATGGTCACATTGAGGCGTGCTACGGCCTCCATGTAATCATCCTGGGCATCGATGACCCAGATCAGGGCTCCGATCTCTCCGAACATGGCGTCCATGTCAAATGTTGGGTTTTCAAATATGTCGATTTGGCCTGGGAAATCCCAAACTTGAAAGTCCATGAACGAGCTATAATAAAGAAGAAACCGAGTTAGCCCAAGCGCTATATGCGTACGTCTTTCTGATCGAGCGCACTCACGGCAGTTGGTCTTTCTGGATCCGTGCTGTGGATTCCAGGAATAGCGTTTCGCTAGGTGGGAGCTTGTGAAAGACAACGCTCGAGATAGATGACTTGCCGCTCCTGCTATGAGTTAGCCAACTGATCAGGATGAGATGAGTGATCCATTATCATACCGCCTCTGTCCCATAAGTAGTAACCTTGGCTTTCCCTTAGGCGGCGCATCGGGAGGATGTTCATTCGCCTTAGCAGCCATATTCTTCTGTTGCTTCTGCTGATTCTGTTCAAATAACCGTGTCAGATTCATTTGAGCTGGAGTAGGAGCACTGTCCTCGGCTTGCGCCGTTTCTTCACTGTCCTGGGGCCCAAAGGAGACATGTCGTCCGCGAAGGCGAGAAGTCATATTGCTCGCAAGAATTGAAAATAAATCCAGAGCGCAGATGGTACTTGAGACGCTTGTCTAAACGGCTGAATGTATAAAGTAGTTGTAGAGTAACAAAGTGATCCCAAAATCGAGAAAGAGGTCCTCAATACATGGTGCCTTTGGAGAGCACGGATCTTGTTCTCTCTCCGGATATCACCACCTCATCGGAATGTTCCGTGCCTCTTTGTTTGTACCTCGTCAGCCAGATAAGGTATTGGTAGGCTGGGCGATTCACAGAAGATGCTGCGAGTCGCCTATTCCGCTACGTAGTTAGGCGAGCGTAACATATGACAAGGACGGGATGGCGCATTCAGCTTCAAGTCAGATGCAACGACATTAAATAGCTGGTGCAGTTATCGCCTTCTTGGATGAGCACAGAGATTTGTTTCACATTGGAGTTTCGCCGACGTGGATTCGTGGAAGGGGGCTGATCCGGATTTTGACGCTGATCTCACGGTCGTACAACCAGCAGGTGACGAAACAGAATGATGTTGGCAGGCACCAGTAGGGACTCGACTTGCAATTACTGGGCCGAGGCCACTACCGCGAGGGTCGCATACTTGGGTTGTGCCAGGATTGTTATAATAACGGGCGAGGAGCAACTCGCGGAAACAGGCCAGCCAGCGGTGAATGGGGCCTTGTTTTCCATAGAAGCTAAGGGAGAGGAAGACGCTTGGGGGGGCCCATGAAGAGCCATTTAATCTAGGCGGTGAGGTATATATGGCGTGTATGTATGTGTTGGCGAGGCATGTCGGATCATGACGACGCTGACGACAAAGAGGGAGAGGCAGCGTAGAATGGGATAAAGTGAATTTGAAGCAAGAGTGAGATGCATATCACGACAAGGAAGATGGTGTTGGAGTGAAGGAGAGGAAACAAAAAGCATCTGATCTCACCTCCATCTTGCGCAATGATTGACCGGAATGACAGAGACGACCAGAAAGGCAGGCCCGCCAGGATAATCAAAAAGGTCGGATGTGTGATTTGGTGGCTCAGCAAACGCGATAGCCCGACGGTCCCCTGTCTACCGCGGCATCAGATGGTCAGGATACCCGGCCGGCCTCAGGCAGATACGTAGTAGGGCGAGAGAGCGGTGACCCAGCAGCCAGTGATGCCTGATCTCTCGTTCGCTATAACCTCTGAGTCAGCTCGCTGTAAGTACCATGTGGGAGCGGCATGCTAACATTGCTAGCAGCTGAGCTGACTCACCTTCAGTCGTACCACAGGATGCTAGAGCTATGACGGCTGCTACTGGTTCAGCGGAACGGGTGGGCGAGCCAACAAGTCGTGTGCTTGGTGGACTGGCAGGACTGCCCAATACGATGGCCAACAACAAGGATGACACTGGTGATGCTCGACGGACCCGTCTCTAGTCGACGGGCGATAGGCTATCTTCTTGGCCTTATCGTCCGCACACGGACATGTCTCTGGCGAGCATGTACGTAGATGGACCGTGTCTCAGAGACGTTCCGGGCTGTCACGAATGGGGGGTGACGGCGGGTTCGTCCGGCGACCGAAATATCTCCGCTAATGGATGGGACGCGGATGGACGCTGATGGACGTCTGACAGGCGAGGCAGGTGAGCAAAAGGAAGTGCGGGGATGAGATTGGACGAGAGAATCGTCGTGAGAACGCCACGCGCAGAACCGCGCAGTTGGAAGCGGAATGAAGACTGACGATCGTGGTGAGCTTGACAGTCGAGAAGCATGCAAGCTTAAGAAGAGGCCCGTTGCGCTTCTTGACACTTGCAGTTGGTAGTGTAGCAGCGGTAAAGGTGGAGTATTGGATGGAGGAGGGGGTTGGTCAGGTACTTAGTTGGTACTGTAGGGTAGGTATCAGGTAAGTAAGTAGGTACCTGCAGTGGGGGGATGCACCTACTGCAAGCGCATCTACCTACTGTACATACCATAATCTACTTAGGCACCTACAGTAGTAGGTACCTAGGTGGTCCTCCATCCAGTCCCTGCCCCGCCAGCCGTCAGTCGTGCGCTGACAGCAGCTACATCACCCCGCACAGTACATATATACCTACCTACCTAGGTATTACTTCGTATACAGCTTGACGAGGCTATACATCTACTATAAATAATAGGGTATCGTGAGCATCACTTAGTATGGCCGTTTACTTACTTGCTTCTTCAAGTGCCAAGTTGGTAGATAATACCTTATGCTTACCTGGTACATACCTAACTACAATATCTAGCCGTCATCTGCCTAAGCGCCTCAAGTTGAAATCTTTCTTTGTGCACGCGTTATCAAGCAAGCTAAGACCTAACTGAGTAGAATTCACCTTCGGTACCAATATCATAATCACTGGCACACCTGAGCCATAAAAACGTTACCAGGGGGGCAGAAGTCCGTCGTTGTTACCCTACCCAGCGGCACGAAACAAATAATTAGACCGGCAGCGTGGCCAATGATGTCTTCAGCACCATATTTAGTACGTGTATAGCCTAGATAGATGCTTAAGTAGATAGTTGCTAGCTTGCTAGGGACTGACCAGGTGACATCCTAGGTCCGTATACAGTAATCGTATGGTAGGGATTCCGACGTCAACACTGCGGCCCAACCAACCAGCGGTGCACGGTTCCAATATGATCGGCGAGGGCACGCGTGACACTTAAACCCCGAACTATGTTACAGCATAGGTATATAGGATGTTTCGGCACACCAGGCGGTCATAGAAACCCGCCGCTTAAGATCGGCTTTATTCACTGTGCGCCATGGCATCTCCGAACCAATGATAACGGGGACGGCAGCCAGGACGCGACTCAATCCACGGGCCAGAGAACCCGTCACTAGATTGATCGTACGGACAGTCTGGCGTCTCTCACTTGTCGAGTGTAGTCTTGGGCCCAAACAATGGGAACCGGAAACTTTTGCGACGCGGTGCCTCCTTACGTGGCTTCTCTTCCACCTGGCTTGTCTTCTCGTCATCTGGTGGTGTCGGTGGCACCTCTGGGATCGTCGTTATGCGTGTCGTTTCTCCCGAATTGCTTGGTGGCGGGGTTGGTACCTTCTCCGAAAGGTCAATCATCGAGTGTGCCTTGAAGCTGCCTAGAGACTGCGTGCAATTTAGCTCGAGACCTCTCTGAAAACCTCTGTCTCACTCATGCATTCATTCCCCTTGCGTAGGACTTACCTTGACGCTCTTCATGATCGCTCGACCGGATTTAGATGGCTTCCTAATCACGCCGGCCTTCAGATCAGCGCCGTCCCGAGACAGACCCTCAATCTCCGCTGCAAGTGTCTTGCCGCCAATAGCGATATTCTCTTCCGGCGTAGCCTCAAATCGAACGTAGCAGCGCGTGGATAAGACACTGAGTGTCTCGTGAAGATGCCGCTGGACCAGTGCCGCATTCCGCCTGTTCGTTGCTGGCTGGAGCAAGCCTGGCAACGCATGAATTGCCAAGGTGCACGCGGGCTCAAAGGTGCCTCCAAACATCATACAGATACCATGATGGAGGGTGATGACGATCGAGGACACAGGCCGTTGGTATCTGTCGGATAGAAGGTAGGCGAAATCTGTGATGAAGGCAAATTCGTCACGTATGATTACGTTTGTCTTGATATCTGCAGTGACTATGGCTTCATTGAGGATGCGAGCCTTGGCTGGGTCATGAACCCGGCCAGGGCTGGCAAACTCGGCTTCGAAATAGGCACTTTTCTTCCTACTTGCGTCTGGGTGGAGTTGCGTCTTACGGCGTCCGACGACGTCACCGGGGAGAGGGCGATCAATGCTACGCATGACGTTGTTGCCTTCGACGAGGACAACATCTGGTTGTCGTGGTTGAAGCGCCTTCCTCTGAGCAAACGAAGCACCAATGCGTGGCGGTTTGCTGACGGGCGAATCTGGGCGACGCATACCTGCCACGGCCGATGTAGAATTCTTCGCTGACTTACGAAGCGGATTCTCGAGCATGGTCGTTGTGAACAGGTATGGACACAATTATCGACTTGCGCTTCAGACTGGGAAGGATGATGACAAGCTGCGCCTTTCCGTTTGTTTCAGGGTTTCTGAGAGGGAGCAAGGTACTAAAAGTATTATTGTTGCGTCGAGAAGATGGAATACGTTGGCCGTATATTGTAAGATTGTAGAGCGAAGAAAGTACGGCGTTAGGTTTTTTTTCATATGAGGATCATACTTGTTGAGAGATCCTCGTGGAGTAAGATTTCGGCTTGAGGTCGCCTGGGTGGGAGGGTAAGAAATGAGAAGATGTTTGCCTTGCCACCTGTCTGTAGCCACCTCTTGCTACTCAAACCAACAGTGAATGAGGTAACTAACTTACCTCCGGGGAAGAAATGATGATTTATCTAGCAGCTCTGCTGAGATATAGAATGAGGTGGTGGCTGGTTAAGTTGAAAGTGGAAAGACCAGGTGGGACAAGGTTTTCACGATGAAACAAGACTGTGGTGCCTCGAATGCACGAGTGCAATGAGATACGGGTGATTCTAGTCCGTCATTCCTTCTTCTGCCGTTTCTTCGGTCTTTCTATCTCTCTGGCTGTCTCCGTTGCAGGCCAGGTACTTCGATATGGCTGAGAAAGGCGGGCAGGGAGATGGATGGGCAAGTCAGTCAACGCCGGGGCTCATTTGCTTGTGTTATACTAGACGTGTACTTTTGAAAGTCGTTTTGAGGAGTGCAGACGGGAGTAAGGGTGTTACACGGCGATGCAAACCTTCGCTTACCCGGACTGTCACCTGTGCTTTAGATCATGGTGTATTGGATGTGGGATGTGTGCATGCGTGTTGAGCACAGCAAGACATCCATCTGAATGCTGTACCACGTCGCGCTGGGTTGGTGCCCAGGTAGGTGATATGACGGACGGCAATATAGATGGATATCTCGCCGCATGTAGATTGAAGCTGAGCCCCGGGCAAGCAACAGCAAACGGCGAGAAGGAAGTGCGCATGTGCGGGTGCATGTGCGTGTGCGCGCACCCGGAGAGGAAGGACATGGCGCATCTATAAAAATAACAGCAAGCCAACGCCGTCCAAGTTGGGCTTTGGCCTTGGTCTGCCTCGCTTAAAGAGGCCAGCCCGGATCTCCCCTCACTCATCTCAACTGAGCCATGATAGACATATCCGCCACCTCTCCGCATCTGTCAGCGACGAATAGGTAGGTGGGCGTCGCCGAGGTATGTGAGGTTATCGAGATACGAGGTAGTCAGATAGTAGGCTTCCATTCTTGTTTACCTAGGTGGTATTGAGGCCGCACCCGTCTGCATATGTCTCAATACTGCGACAATGATGCCAACACCAAGACAAGAAACAGGAAAGACTTGCAGATACGGCCAGGTCAATAAGGCTTTCGACTGGCCACTCTCCTCGACTGACTCCATCCCCAAGAAGGTATACCCGGAAACATGACAATTTGCTGAGGCAGCCTCTATGCACGTATCTGCCGCGATCCGTCAGCACAGCTGATGTGGCACAATGTCGTACCTCTACTTACAGTACCTACGTCAGATGGCACTGCAGCTCTGTCGCTCGAACCCCTTGATATTAAGCCTACACCCACACGAAGCAGCCAGACAACCAATCAGCCGACTTACCACCAGCGGAGTTGTTCTCATTACTTTATCAGGTCGCCGCCACTCATCTTCACGGCTCTCCGTCCTCCTTCTCGGCGGCCCGAGAGTATCAGCAGAGTTGCAAAAGAACACCGAGTCCATCCGGGCTTGCTCTACTACTTTGAGATTCGTCGGGCCAAGGAACGAAGCGAACGGCGATTATATCTCTTAGAACTGACCATCCTAAGTTCAATCAAACTCACAACCATGAGACCAGATTCCACTGATGATCGAGAATCGAACAGAATCTGGTGTAATCTTTTCAAGGTACGTGCACTACTTCGGATAGTTCATCCTTCACCTAGAACCCTCGTATTACCTAACGCTCTCCATTTGATGCAGTCATATAAATAACCCACTCCGTCCAGGCAACATGAGGCAAGTGGAGCGGATGCCTTGAGAAACCCCTGCTCTCCCTATTCCCTCGCACCCGGAACCGAGTGTGCGACCCGCAAAACAAGCATTGAGATGAGTAATTAGGGGCCGGCACATCCATGCCTGGGAAATTAGACTTCGTGAAAATTTAGGGGATTCACGTTCATGGCTCGTTGTCGAGGCTAATCTTGTGAAGGCAAGGTATTTAAAATCAGAGGACCAACAATCGGCTCAACTGTGGCGCGACGTGTTCTGCCTGCTAGGCTGCCCGGGGAAGAGACCGGAAGAGACCGAGACATGGACAAACACTGTCAAGATCCTGGATGCCAAAGTGCCGATAATAAGAGTGGTGACGTTCGAATGGAAAGCAGTAAGGTAAAAGGGGTAGTTATAAAAGGGGATGGTTCTCCCTGAATTATATACAGATCGTCTATAGAAGCATCATCGTCACACTTAACTACTCACCCTCATCTTCAAACCTCTTACACGCCGTTGATAACTCCCAAATCAATCAATCAAAATGCAATTCACCACTCTCCTCGCCCTCGCACTGCCCCTTGTGGCTGCCCTGCCCCAGGTAAATACACAACCCCCCAATACATCGCCAACTCGCACATACAACTAACATTCTCCAGGCAACATCCACCACCAGCGCTCCCGCGCCCACCCAGACCGCAGATCTAGAAGCCATCTGCGAGTCGCAGGCCGGCAGCTACGCGTCGTCCTGCCCCCAGTGCCTCCACAACTGCGCCAGCACGGCCTACCCGGAGCAATGCTTCCTCAGCGTCTTCACCGTCATCAATGGGTACCAGGCGAATTGCGAGGCCCGCGGCGGTTATAACTGTCGCGATATGGCGATCAATACGTACTGTTAGATTTTCTAGCGTGTGAGAGGCCATGGGGAAGGGGTGTGAAGTGGGTGAGTTGAACGGTGAAGAAGGAGGGCTGTGATGGTTTGAGTAGAGGGATGGTAAACCTTGAGAGTTGAGGAAGGGATTGGCAGATTGGATATCATGTTGAGCAGCGGAGGTCATGGTGTGTGCTTGGATTTATCTGACTTATGTACAGGAGTCAATGAAATGAAGGAGCAATCATTTAGTCATCGATGACATCTCTAAGGGAATTGTGGATGGTATCACTGAGATATGACAGCAATACTTGACAACCGATATAGAAAGAGGCCAGCGAATAAGTCTCATTTACCGACCTTGGGTCGTAACTCATTCTCGCTTTACGTGTATTGTTTTGCGATTATTATACATCGTTATATCCGTATGAGCGCTCGCCGACGCCAAATATTGTAGATACTAGTTCCCCATAAAGTAGTTCTCACAACGCCAATTATAAAATATATGTCGAAGCCAAGCCATCACATCATGCTTGCCCCTCCCTTCTCTGCTTAGCATACCATAATAAGGCGCCGTACCTAGCTTACGGTGCAAGCCAAGGACTAAACTGATATCGCACCATAGTTGTATTCTGATATATCCGTGTCTTTACGACAGAGCGGGACTGCTGGGCTTGCGCTCCGGGATAAACACGCTCGCCTTCCGCTCCAAGCTCATCTGGACACCGGCAGCCGCCAGTATGACCAGCTCAACGGGGACGAGGATGACAGACAAGTACAACGCGGTCTGGCTCTGCCTGCACAAGGTGCCGAAGTAGGGCTCTATGCGCATATTGACGGAGCTCCAGCGGCAGCTCCAGCTCTGGAGGGTGTCGACGGTGGAGGAGGCGTTGACGCCATAGTAGAAGGAGATGCCGATCAGAGCAGCGACGAACCCGACGAAGGGCGCGATGAAAGTCAACGAGGTGTGCATGACTCTCTGGTTATGAAGCTAATGAGACAGAAGATGTGTTAATCAATTGCATGAAGAAGGTATGAGGGCGAGGTGATGAGTGGTGGGTCAAACTTACTACTTGGACTCTGCTGAATATGAGGGAAACCAGGCTGGCTAGTATTATGATCGAACTCCCAACGACCTGGGCCACGGTGGGGCGGAGGTCAAACGCCTCTGGCCACAGGGCCAAGTTAAACGCACTCGACACGTGGGTGTTGTTGTACACCAAGATTGCGTTGGCGGATGTTCCCAGAATTGTTATGCCGCTGACCAGGGCGAGGGCGGTAAGACCGACACAAATGCCATTGAGCAATCGGATAGTTCCCTGTTGCTGCTGGTAGGTGATGTCCCGAGGATCAACCTCGAAGTTTGAAGCAGACGCCGGGTTCTTTTGTTCGAAAGACATTATAACGGAGAGACGGAGTAAGTGAGATATATTGGGGGGTTAGATGTGTAAGTAGGTAGGCTTGGAAGACCCCAAATGGTTTCAAGAGAAAAGCGGCAAAAGGAGGAAAGAAAGTACTGTGTCAAAATTTATATATGCAGCGAAGAGAAGGAAGGTCAGTCTACCAAGGAGACAACAGGTTTAAAAGGCAGCAGCAGCAGCACAAGGGCAAATCGAAGAGAATTTGAAGATAGGTAGAAAGGAAGGATGCCAGAGTCAGTCCACGGTGACGAAAAAAGACGACGGATACAGATAGTTATGAAGGACGAGCAGTCTCCTTAGCCGCCGGAATAAGACAAGAAATGAGCAAGGATAATGACATCTTGGAGTCGATGAGACAGTGAGCACTGGGGTGTGGAAAGGGAGGCAGATACTAAGGATAGCATCGCGAGTGGCATCTTCGAGGGAGAGACGGGAGGTGTGGTATCTAGCGATAGCGCCTATGCACATTGCAGAGTCCATCTTGCACGTCTTGGACCCCGGGAGACCAGTCAACAGGCCGGAAGCTGGGGCTCTAGCGCGAGAGGCTTGCAAAGTCTGGAGGTCCGGGGATTGGTTTGGGCGGTGATACGGCGTAGTAGGGGGCCAGGTTGATCACGGATTGGCCGTGTGGTGCCGTGACGGGCCCAAGGTTGGGGCATCACCGGCGCTTAGACGAAGTAGACGAAGGGGACGCTGCTGGGGAACGAGGCCAATGAGACGGCCCCAGTGCCGCTCAATCTGGATGGGCTGTCCATCTCGCTTCTGTATCGAGACTAGCGCCATGAAGTGCCGGTATGTCCTGCAGCTTTCGCGCCCCAAGATTGGCCGCTTGTCGCGTATGCTATATGGTGTAATAAGACAGATATTGACAAGATCTACCTATAACGAATAACGACCTCAGTCTTTATCTGTCAAGTTGTGGTCTTCGTTGGGTCCAAATGGGTGAAGTGGAGATTATCAGATTGGCGATATCTTCTAGTGGGCAAGGGGTGGGATGAACGACTCTACCTACCTAGGTACTCTACAGCAGATATCGATGATAACCCCGGGTTTGACAGTCTACCTAGGTATACCTAGGTACGGAGTACTAAGTGATACTACTCTTTGGGAATAAACCGGTGGGATACTCCGATATTCTCAGTCTATACATTAATTGTATACTTCAATCTCGCTGATGTGGTTAGGTAGTTTTATCAGTGCTACCGGTAACGAGCTACCGAGATAGGTATTGTTCTCATGAGCGAGATAGTGTCCCCTACCTCTGAAAGGCAGCTGTGTAGGAGACCAACTCCACGGTTTACAATCAATATCATTTGCATATAATGTCTCCATTCTATAAGATATAAGCTAGTCGGTAAGGATTCCCAAGAGTTTCAAGTTTGATGTGTGCTGCAACACAATGACGCAGATAAGCGCTGTAGCGACCTGCTAGTCAAGTACGCAGGTATTCACGTAGCAGTGGAGAGAAGGTAGTCAATTGAGTGCTTCTGTCCGTAAACAGATGGATGCATCACAACACCTCTGAGCTCTCACGATAATTACTTCATTGCACGATTATTTTCAGCCCAACTTAAGTTGTGGATGGTATTGTGAGGCTCATGATAGAACTACCTGGTGATTAGGCTGCGGGGTGTTGCTGTTGACCCCGCAGAAGAAGGAATGGCGGGGGTGATTCACTATGAATCAGAGGGATCTACGATGCCGTGATAGGGATATAAAGACGCATCTCATATTGAATTGAGACTGATGAAACGTTCAAATTAGAGAAGAGAAAAGACACAATTCACAGCTTAACCATCGACACAACTCAAATATGGCCGACGAGGTGACATCAAGTACAAAGTGGGATATCCCCGAAGGGGAATTCTGTATTTTTGGCACAGTATATACACCTGCCTGCTCTCTCCTCACCCACAACCTTTAATCCTCCTGTGACCTGCGACTTATACCTCACTTATCTAACATTTCATGGCAAGCCAGGTCTATGCCTATCCCGACAAGGCAGACGCTCTTGAAGCAGTCTATACTGAAACGACGCGGCTTGCACAGTCGGAGACGGGTATCGTCTACTACTGCCTGGCGCGGGACAGAGACGACACCAGCGTCTTTCATTTTTTCGAGAGGTATAAGAGCCGGAGGGCGTTCGAGGAGCACAACAGCCAACCCATCATTCAGAAACTGTTGAACGAAGACAAGTATATCAAGGATGTGACGGCCAAGTTTATGAAGCCGATTGGGCTGGAAAGCAATTGAAGCGATCTAGGCGCTTCATGAGAAGATGGATCGCTACCTACGTGTAGACTATGAGGGATGGGGCATTTAATCAAAAGACTGCGAGATTTACCTCGAGGACCTTTTACAATTGGACCCTGCGTGTGGATTGAGGGCACGAGCCTGAGAAATGGATGTTATTGCGGAGTATGGGCTAAATCATTCATGAGAGTCTTGTAAGATGAACAAAGCTTCGAGTTGAAGGTCTCGTTCTATGCTGATCTCAGCTTCTGGGAATCTCATCGCCATCTCATCACGCAGTCTAGAAATGCTGTTCACATTCGTCACTTAAGTGCTAAAATGCGGTCATCTCAGATTAATGGGTCAGACAGCTCATGTGATGCAAACACTGTGCATCATAAAGAAAAGCGAGCCGCAGTAACTCAAAGTGTGCCAGAAGCATGGAGGAATCTACTGGTATCCTAATAGTCCTGGGAGTTGCCGCTCTTCTTTCTACTTAGGTAACCTCCTTTGACTTGCACCTTCGTCCTTGGCAAAGTCTCATCGATACTGGACACTATGGCCATATTCCTTTTGGACAATCGAACACGGATTGAAGCATCAATTGTGCTCTCGTTTGTCTGCTGCCACATATCTCACGGGACCTAGCGGTGAGGGAAGGTTAAAGTTACACATCCAAGTAACTACCAGGTACTAGGTACGCTAACCTTCATGTACCTGGGCTTACTTACCTAGGCTTACCCTTGCTTAAGCTACCTAATGAAGCAAGAAAATTCACTTCCATCATTCTATCATTAGAATTGATGGTGTAGACCTATAAGCAACAAATACATGTGGCTAGGAAGCCTATCGGGCATCTGTCAGAAGGTGTCTGCCTTGTGTACTTACTTACCTTCCTTGACCTATCTAACGAGCGACACCGACCGCCGACACACTGACATGACACACTGACATGCGAGTGACCAAAGCGCTGCCATCGCGACATGCAATACCCATCCATGGATGAAGCAGATCTTCCTCCAACAATCTCCAACCTTGATACCTTGGCTCTTCAGATGCTACTCTACAACTGATGATGGCAACCACCGCAGCGCCGTGCATCTTCTTCCCTCAAGGCCGTTGTAGGAATGGTGATGCCTGCCGTTTCAGCCACGATTCTCCTCCACCCGTGAACCCCCACCCACGGCCAGATCCCCGAGCCCAGGTGCTTTGCAAGTTCTACTTGCAGGGCATCTGCAAACATGGGGCCAAATGTCCGTACCGCCATGAAGCCTCGGATTCTCCAATCGCAGTGGAGGCGTCCCATGAGCCGGCCAGCGAGGTCGTGCGAGTCTTTCGTGGCGCCCTCATTCGCTTTGGTGATGGTGCCTGCGTCACCAGTCTCTCTCTTTCCTCCGAATACTCGTCGGTCCGACTGGATGGTCTCGCAGCTAACACAACTTCTGCCGACGTCATCGCCATCTTGGAAGCACTTGGTCATGATGTCGAAGTCGATGGTCTACGAATTGTGCCCACGCCCCAATCCTCCCCTCCACTCTGCAGCGCATATATCAGTACACCGGATCTTGAATTTCCCACCGCGTTGTGCGATAGCCTCTTGTTAAGTTCTACGTACGAAAATTTGACAGCAAAGCCAGTGCCTCCCAGGCTCCCAACATGGGCATCTACTCGGCGAGCCCGTTGCAACAGACTGCAGCTAAGATGGCCGTCGCCCCGTAAGGAGGTTTGCCTCTACTTCCTGGCCCACCAGGCTGCGCTAAGAGTGAGCGGGAAGTTCAACAGCGGTAAATATATGGTTCGCAACACACGCATCCATTGCGATGAGCCTGAGTTGGAACACGGCGCCTTGTGGATGGTTCAGGCATTGGGGCTACCTGGTTGTAGCTCTGAGGAGATGGTGCGCGCTTCTATTACAGCTGACTACGACCATCCAATACTTATTGCTGGGTTACGTCAATCGGCCAAGAAAATATGGACGCTGGCTTCTGTTAAAGACTTTCTCGGTGGTTTTGGCACCATCAGCTTCATGTCAGAACCGTATGAGCATGCCGGAGCATTTTTGACAGCTACGGCGCACTTTAATGACGACTGTGCCGCCCAGGAAGCTGCTCGATCCATTGAAAAGAGTTCCGACGATTTGCCATACCACGACCGCCTTACCGCAAGAATTGTGTATAACTCTACGTTCAAAGTATCGAATGAAGTATACCATCATATTCAGAAACACCTCCAAGACTGTCTAGAGGAGCTGAAAGCACCGCGAATGAGTACTATACCTCGGGAGAATGGCACAGTTTTGAGTCTTGATAGCTGGAGCTCCGAAGATAGTGCAAAATATGCTAACGCAGTTGAAGACATTGTGGCTGGCAGTGTGATCGAGGGAAAAGATGGCAAGCCGTTCTGGGCTCCCCAACTTGCGTCTAATGGGCCCGCTTCTAAAGCATTGAGAGAGATCCAGCAAGAACATGAGGTATTGCTTCTACCCAACAGATCAAAGCGCGAGTTGCGATATTTCGGAGACTTGACGAAGCAAAAGGCAGTTCAAGGCCATGTAGTTCAGTCTCTCACGGAAGATGCGGAGCAGCGCTATACTATCGAATTAGACGATGCCGGCTTCTCCTGGCTTTGCACTACTGGATTGAACTTGTTGAAGATCGCGGTAGGAGATAACGTCGTGTCTCTCCATGTGACTTCGAAGCCGAAGAAACTGATAATCACTGGCACCGAAGAAGAACAATGCGAAGTTATGGCAATACTGCAGATACATGATATTTCGTTCCCAGTGAAAGAGGTTACATCGACGGTAGAACAGAATTGTACTATTTGTTTTACGCCAGCTGATGACCCGGTAGTGCTCGGGTGCGGACATACTTACTGTGCAGACTGCTTCACCGCGCTCTGTCGGAACGGCTCAGCACAGACCGATGTACGCGTCGCCTGTTCAGGCGCGGAAGACATATGCAAGAACGCCATCCCACTCAGGGAGATCCAGGCCCACGTCGACCCGTCGACATTCGAACAACTCCTAGAATCATCTTTCAATACATACATCTCCCGCCGCCTTGAACAATTCCGCTACTGCCCGACACCGGACTGCGGCTATCTCTACCGCCCAGCAAGCAGCACAACTTCTGCGAAAACGTCACATATGTGTCCCAAATGTCTGAAACGCATCTGTCGCTCATGCCACGCCAACCACGACGGCCAGCGCTGCGACGAGTACCAGGCCTCGGCTACCTTCGAGGCCTACAAGCACGAGCACAGGTCCAACGTCAAGGATTGCCCGAAGTGCCAGACGACGATCGAGAAGACGGACGGATGTAACCATATGGAGTGCGGCGGGTGCCATATCCATATCTGCTGGGAGTGCATGGAGACTTTCGAACAACCGGACCATTGCTACGATCATATGCGCGCCGTGCACCGCGGGATTGGCGTCGGCGACGATTGGGATAACGAAGAAGAAGACGAAGAAGAAGATGAAGAGGAGGAGGCGGTGGTGGAGGAAGACGACGGTGAGGAATTCGTGCTTGATTTGCGCAGGATGGCGGATGAATTGACGAGGGCGAGGGATATATTGGATAATTTCCGCCGCATCGTTTGATGAATTGTGGGAAATTGTTCGTTTCACCCCCTTTCGGATGGAGAGATGAGATGAGATGTGTTTACTTATTCTTGACGGTGCCTACTTCATGTTTATGGGGAGTCAAGATCTGGGGCGTGGGGGAGAGATAGATCTCGCTCTGAAGTTGAGTTGATGGTTCTGTGCTGAGGCTGAGGACATGATCTTTCTACTTATTGTCTTTTACTTGCTTGCTGGAATATGTACCGTGCCTTAGATACCCGACACTAGGTCTCGATTAAATGCAGACTTGTTTGACTGATGGATGTATGTAAACTATTTTTATTGTATGCTTGTCGTACTTGTGAAGTAATGAAGGTTATGCTGTGTACAACGTTGTCGATTGTTGGTATCGATATGCTTATGAACAGTGTATGGCTCTCGTATGAGTCCTTGCGCAGAGGTTAGGGCTTGTTCTTGCGTTGCGATGCTTGCAATATGCTGTTTTATTTATCTAGAGGCGAAGATAAAAGTTCATGATCAGCTAGTGTCTTATCATCTCGCCCCTCGGATATCTTGTGAAAACGTCAGATTCCCTTTTACTCTTTCCCCCTACCCCTTATCCCTGAGAAATTAAGTAATACGGGTGGATAATACAAAGTTAGTTATGAATACATTATACCATCGCCATTTTGATTTCAGAGCTCTTTAGCCTTATGTTTTTTTTTATTGTTATCATAAATTGGTGTGAAAGAACTTCTGCTTATTGTATGCAATAGCGGTAAGTATTTGTCTTGTCAGTTTATATATATAGGCTTGCTGTTAGAAATTGTTTCCTGCCGTTAGAATAGAAATTTCTCGTGATAATGGCTGGCTTCGAGTATGAGTATATATCAGCTCGGGGCGAAGGCATAGTTGTAGCGGTAAGGTTGTTACATTGTGCTTGATACCCAACATGTTATCTTGATGGTTCCTTGCGGGATATTTTTGCAATGTCAGACGAAATAGGAGGTATATATGGAGGTAACTACACTAGAGGTTGGTTGAATAACATCCTTAAGCTACGGGATATATTGTTCTTTCTGCTGCGGCGTCTTTATGATAGCTGGACCGCTTGAATCGAATATACACATGCCCATCAGGCTCACAAGCCACTTAGACACTTTACTCGGCATCTTAGTACGTATTACATAGAGTCTCTGCTTCGGTCAGGCAAGAACCGTTGCTATGGAACCTCGAAGAATACATTAGATATGCTTAGGCCGGCTTCGAGTGTTGACTACACGCCTGCCTTGTAATTTACCTTGGTTACCTAGGTGAAGCGAGTACGTACCTAGGGAATTCGAGTATCTTCGAAGTATTTTTTTTGTTTGTTTGTGCAGGTTAGCTAGAACCCTTTGCACTCACTTTCTTTTCTAACAAATTCTCTCTTCCCATTCCCTTGACTCTCACCTCACTTACATCTTCTTCCCCACTACATCACCGTCAACTGCGATTGGAGACACCTTTTCATCATGGATCCAGTCGAGAAGGTCTTCAGAGACCTACCAAGCCCTGATGCTGATCAGGCTACTCAGGATCAGCATGGCGAGTATGATCAACAGCGTTACAAGCAAGTTTTCATGTCCTTCCGTTCTTCCCGCTCTCAAGACCCGGACCGTGAGTTAGTTGAAAAGTATGTCAGGGCTCTCTCAGAGTCTTTAGACGCCACTACGCTGCGCAGTGAGCTCGGACGGCTCGCCCTTGAGAAGCCCCAAATTCTAGATGACGGCTCAATGAAGTCCCAACAGCTCAAGTACCATGCGTGGATTTCCCAGGGACGTAAAGACGAAGCGTATCCTTTCAAGCCCAAGAGTTCTTCAGAGGAGCAATAGGTTGATCTGCCCAACGTCAACCATGCCTTTTTGCCAGCTAAGTTGACAGACACCAAAATCTGTGCTAACTGCGCAAAGCCCAACGCCAAGGCCGCATGTAGTGGCTGTCGAGTCGAGCTCGACGGCCATGTCGTCATGAAGATCGCATACTGCGACAAAGACTGCCAAGCTCAGCATTGGGAACAGCACAAGTCCCAGTGTTTGGGCAGACGAAAGGTTTGCCGTGCGGTATCCTTGCTCTACGACCTATTCGCCATGTTTCAAAAGAAAGCTTCGAATGACAAGCAAGTGACTGGTATTGTTGAAAAGCACGGTATTACGAATATTCTTCACGGCGAGCCGAATGACTGGGCATTGCAAGGGAAGCATTTTGTTTGCAACTTTCCAGTTGAGATGGCGCCGACTGAAGAGCATGCTCTGGCTGTGTTGTTTGACAGCGAGTGCCAACAGGTTTTCAGCACCTGTCAAGGCCTTGTCAGCCTATTCTTGCTACGTGAGAGGACCCCTTCTTGAAGATTGTGTATCACTATAGTTTAAAACTAACAAGAGTGGCGATAGCGCTTTGCAAGACCGTAGAAGAAGTGAACATCATTCCCCGCAATGCTCACCGTCCCACGAATGACCTGAGACATGGCATGGCACACAATGCCATGTATAACGCTCACACCGTGTTGCGTGCGACGCTCAAGTCTGGAGAACAGATGGCGATAGATGTTACCGGTGCCCAGGTTAGTTGTCTGAGATTCTTATCATCACATGCTGCGTTGCTACAATCGCTATGTGCCCTCTTCCAAACTCGGAGGAATGTATCATCACTGACATTCCTATCTGGATAGTTTGGCTGGCGTGAGACGGTGGCGCTATGGAAAACCTGGACCACCCATCGTGTGACCGGCAAGGCTTGCCCAACGCCTTGGGGTCACGCTCAACAGAGCATGCAGACAATGTACCCATTTCTGGCTGCCCAGTTTGTACAGGTCAGCGAATCGCAACGTTCGTCGTTGGCACAGATTATGCAGACTGCTGTTGAGAATAAGATGAAGGAGCACAAGGCGCCCTCTGCAAACCGATTGTACAAGCTCGGCGATGCAGCCTTTGCAGCATGCAAAGATGCCATGATGTCAAGCGCAGAGGAGGCACTTGACAATGGTCTCCGCGACATCCACGAGTCGGGGGTAGGCCGCTGCTACATCGATGCACGCGGCATGTGGCAGGCTACGACGACTAAACAGCAGGCTCAGGCTCTCAAGGACGTGTGGCTAACGGACGAAGACGTGAAGAAGGCGGTGAAGAAGGGTAAGAGCCTGCAAACGATGTACCAGCTGCGGTGCCAAGGCACAGCCACAAGACAGAAGTTCAAGGCTGCGGGCTTAGATATGCCTTAGACATATCTACTTCTGTTGAGGAAATGGCTCAGGTGTATCGAGGGGCTTCGGATGCGAGCGGGAAGTCAACGGCTGTGTGCGTGGAATGGCACACCAAGCTTCCAAAGCTGTGATCAAAACCTCGTGGAAATGGCGAGGACTCTAGGTTAATAGCATTTGGTCCGGGATAGGTACTAAATAGGTACTTCAATCAACGTTTTGCAATGAGATAAGTGAAATCACTCGGTTGACTTCATTAAATTGATATTGTGGAAGGGATAAGACGTCGAATTTCTCCCAATCACACTTATTGTTTATATCTTTGCGGCCGATAAACAGAATAGCCCTTCTGATATTCTACTTATAACTCAGGTGGATTCTTCAGAATATCCATCAGATTTACCACCGTCGCCGAGAATGGCGTGTGAAGGCCAGCACCCATATCATCAAATGTCTCCCCGCCGTATATCATCAAATGATCAGGATGCTTTTTAAAGATCTGTATGGCACGGCTATAGACGGCGCCAGCCGGCGTGGCATGTTCTTCCCAGGCACCGACGTCTCCGCCAGCTCGGTTAGTCCAGACCTGTCTACGATCAGCATCCGAGACGACGATGGTTCCATTGGGCCCGCCCATGGGGCTCCAGACGACGTAGGGGCTAGCGTTGGGCACGATCGTGTCGTTCACGACGATAGGCTGCCCTTTGCTTAGCCGGAAGTCGAGCGGATTGTCCGCTGTCACGTAGTATACGGGGTAGTTGGAGCCGTACGACGACGAATTGCCGACGGGTCGCTCGTGTACGAGAATCCATTTGTCGATAGGAGGGACGTATGTAATTACCGTCATCCCCGGACGCGCTTCGTATAAGTCGTAGGCGACGTCGTCGACGGGCGGGTCCCAGTGCTTCATGTCCTTCGATACCTGATGTGCCAGTTTCTGACCATGTTTAGGGTCGCGTTGGTCAGAGTAGTAGACTACAACAGAGCCATTATATGGTCTTTATGGGTTTCGTTTAGCAGTGTGACGCTTGAGGTAAAGATGTGAACTATAACCTACAAGATGAACGGTTCCCAGATCGGAGTAGCGCCGTTGGTCGTATTCGGTCGACCACCCTCAGCAACATGGCTGACGAATTCCCAGGTCCGCGCTTTGTCTCTGCTGGCATATAGATCAATTCTAGTACCGTTGTTACTCCAACTGTTTCCCGCGCCTAGAATGGTGCCGGCTGGGTATTTTCCAACGCGCTCTGTGAGTTCGGCCAATGCTGGCTGAGCAGACATTCCCCAGCCATTGACCTGGTCAGTCAAATTGGAGATATACTCCCAGCTGGCGCCGCCATCTTTGCTAGAGAAGATGGGAAAGTAGGCCGGACTGTGGCCCCCGAAAGAGGTTGTTGCGATGATGGTGCCGTCTCGGAGCTCAACGTATCGTGGGTAGGTAGCGCTCTCCTTGTCAACTGTTTCAAGGATGGTGTTATTCACGAAGAAACCCCACGGACGGGGTTTGTCGTGAGTAGGTTTCGCGACAGCATTCTGCATCAGGAGTGTTGTGAGCACCAGGGAGAAAATCATCGTCGTATCTTAAGGTAGGATCGAGCGAGAGGGTAGAGTTTAATGCTCCCCCGATGATCCCCTAGCACCGACGTTGGGATTACTTATGCCTTCGGGAGATCTGGAGAGACCGTACTCTCCATTAACGCTGTGCCAGCCTGGAAAGCTTCAAAATATGCGCTCCAATAGACTGGTGCGTATGGACCTGTCGCCTCCTCAGCTCCTATGCACGGCTATTTAGCCGTTTATCACCCCGCGTTTTCAGGTGAGGGATCGACGAGAAAACGTGTTTCCCACGGCAGTAACATGATGTGCTACGGCCTCAAGTTATGCCACCAACATGGCCATCTAGGAGATTCCACCAATACCTATCTGCGTTGCAAGTACGACTATGGTATAAGCTACCGTCACCCGCAGTGCTATCCTGTTACAGCTACTAGAATCAATACCTTTGGTTAATACCGTCTTGTTCATTTATATTGACACCATGGGGAAACACTACATACAGGTTAGGAAAAGAAAAAAATAAATTGGAAATAAAGCATAGACTGTTCTTGAATGCATTCGGCGGTACTCTGTCTAGTGTAGGTACAATACTCATACAGTATACCCCAGCTCCTACTCATCAATGGCGAGTACGGCGCGTGCAAGATATGCTTAATGTTCAGTTGCAGCACCAACAGCACCAATTTCTATTGGATTCGGAACTGCTCCCCAACTGGCAGCAAGTAGAACTGGTTTAAGCCTGGTGACGATGCCATCCTCAAATTAGTGATAACGTAATTGCCGCCACCACTACCTGGCTACCAGGTATCGACGCCGAGGCTAGTCTATTCTCCGTTTTAGTCACTGAGAGGTTGCGTGCTGTTTCCTTCATCGAGAAGGAGGCTATTGCCAATTGCCTGTGTGAAGAAGCTCCAGGTCTCTCCAGGAGCCCAATATTGCCCATTGGAATCTCTGGGGTCGGGGACGTGGTCTCCGCTGTGCGCAATCCACCAGACGGGAAGGCCGGCTCTGCAGCTATATGTGGTCTTGATGTGAGAGCCTGATCCCGCTCCTGGCTCGGGCGCGTTCTTAGATTGACACCCGTTTAGCTGGAGGAACTTGTCTCGGAGTTGGCGGCCAAGGTTTATGTTGAGCACGCTGTCAACCACACCGTGGATGCCGAGATACGGGACCGGCGTGTTACCGCCTGAGCATCCGCTGAGTTGTGCACCCGAGATGACAGCAACAGCACGGAACACATTGGGTCGAGAGCAGGCAAGGGAGTAGGACATTGCGCCGCCGTAGCTCCACCCTGTCGCGAAGATTTGCTTCTCGTCGACACACAGCGAGTTCTTGATGGTATCGACCATCTGGTCCGTGAAGGTCACATCCTCGCCGCCGTTATTGGCCCAGCCATTGCCTATGCCTTGAGGAGCGACGAAGATGGCGGTCTCCTTAGCCAGATCCCGAAGGCCGTAGTAGCCAGGAGCCACATTGTTCATCGTACCATCGCGCCAATGGTATCCAAAGATTAGCTTGTAAGGTGTATTGGCATTGTAATTCGAGGGGACCTGCACGATATATTGACGATTCTTGCCGTTAACCGTCATCGACTTGGTTCCGCTAGACATAGGGCTTTTGCCGCAGCCGGCACTGGCCGCAGAGATAGTCGGGACTATCGCTGCAAGCAGCCCCAGTGCAATAGAGAAGATTTTTTGCATTCTGAAAGATGAGATGAGGAGCCCAGCTGAAGAAAGGCGTAAGAGATGATGGGAGGCTGGTGAGAATGCCGTGTTTGTTCCCGATTGAACTCCATCAATTTATAGCTGATCTTGCGTAGCGCTCTTGAAGACCTCTTCATCCGGGATCGAACCTGTATTAGGAAACATCATGGACATATCAATAAGTGTCTCGGCTCCGCCCTTAGACATAACTGAAAATCCCGGCAGAGTCGGTATACTCCGTGTAAAGCCATATGATGTCCATCGCGCTCCAAGGATGGGTATCCATGATCGCGGGGAAAGGTAGAGACACCGACAAGGTGTACAAGGTGCAATTCTTGCTAGTTAGCCGCGAATATACAGCGGCGGTACCAAAAGGATAATATAGTGGTGCGGTTACTAATTTTCCGCGAATGGTGGAAAAGCTCCACGATCCCGGAATCGTCTCGGCCGTCCCTGAAGCGTAATCAACCTCAAACACGAACGCAAGTCGATCGGTATGTCATCTGGTTGGTGCGCATGGAACAGTAACTTGGTATCGTTATAACAACATACCGTACGTAATAAACTAACACTCAAGTCCACATAGAGTAGGTAACTCACGAGTCTGGAGAAGGAACTCGGACGTACTCCATATGTGCGCTTAGAGAGCCGGTAAATACTATGTAGTATGCCCAGAGAATTGACCTTGTCAGGCACTCTTGGCACGTTAACCTTTGGATCACCACGCAAAATGTATCTCACACTCATGCGCTTTGACGGAAAACCCCCCTGTACAACTCTCTCCGAAAGTCTTGCCCAGCGCAGATGCCGGACTAGACACCTCTTATAGGGGGTAGGCCGGTACTTACCTAAGAAGATACGGAATGAGGCCCTGCTTTCAAGCTCCGGCCCATCTCTCTTCCAGCTACGGAAGTCCTGCCCCGTCCGGGTACACGGTCAGACTTACGATATGAAATGTCTTGTCTTGAGATTAATCGACAGAGTAGTCGATACACTATAACCATTCGTGTCGAAATAGGGCCGAAAGGAACCTCGTGAATATGCAAGTATCATGAATGCCTTCGATATGCTCTTCAATCATGACCTCGACGAAGACTTTCAGAATGACTATATCAACCCAGTCCTTCGTCGACCTGGGCAATACATTCACATCCATATAGACAAGCAGTTTAGGTATAGCTTTATATCTATAGGTTGAAAAATATATAGTAACCCTGTGAAAATGAGAGGAATCTCTGCAGTCTTCTTCGCGCTTGCGCCCGCGGCACTAGCACAGTCTCAGACACTTTGCGGCCAGTATGCCTACTATGCGAACGGTGGCTATGAGTTCAATAACAACATGTGGGGTATGAGCTCTGGCTCTGGCTCCCAGTGCACCTATGTCGATCGCGCCAGCTCGGGAGGCGTTGCCTTCCATACTACCTGGCAATGGTCCGGCGGCGAGAACAACGTCAAGAGCTACCCCTACGCCGGCCGCCAGCTTTCGAGCAAGAAGCTGGTGAGCCAGATCGGTAGCATCCCGACCTCGGTATCGTGGAGCTATAGCAACACCAATATCCGCGCCAATGTGGCATACGATCTTTTCACCGCCTCAGATCCTAAGCACTCGACGAGCAGCGGTGATTATGAGCTTATGATCTGGTGGGTCTATAATTCCCTATTAGCCTTTTAGGCGTCCGCGAATGAGTGGCTCTGACTTGTTGTTCCTGTAGGTTGGGCAGGTTCGGTAACGTCTACCCCATTGGGTCCTCAGTCGGCCGCGTCACGGTTGGCGGCAATACCTGGGAGTTATTCTCTGGGTATAATGGAGCTATGAAAGTGTTCAGTTTCGTGGCAACCAACCCCCCTGTTACCTCATTCAGCTCCGATCTCAAGCAATTCTTCAATTACTTGAGCAGTAACCAGGGGTTCCCAGCAAGCAGCCAATACTTGATTAGTAAGTTTCCCCAATTCCTGTAGCTCCTTTCCTCAGTATCGTATGTTCATGACGCTAATACGCCGTGAACAATATAGCTCTCCAATTTGGCAGTGAGCCGTTCACTGGCAGTTCTACCACTCTGACTGTCAGCAGCTGGTCTGCGAATGCCAACTAATTAAGCCAAACGGCATCAGCGCGCCTCTTCTGCGGTTCCATTTTGATTTATGAGAAATGCACGATCGTTGTGCAACGTTAAGCAACGATTTCGCGATGATTCAAGCGCGCAAAATGCGGCTTGACAGTTGTTATCTCCTTTGTGGAAGCTACCAGGCATCAAATTGCATGCAATCGTTGTGAAGCCGGGATACGCGTTAACTTATGAATATTTCTTCTCCTATGTAATGACTTCTTCTTGGCGATATAAATAGTACTCTGCCAATTCATTTCCTAGTATTTGGTTTGCATAGTTTGATAACGTGAAAATCATATAGGCGAAGGAAACATTGATGCTTGTCTTAAAGTAGGTCATATAGACAAGCGGTGAGACACGCGCTTGAATGCTATCTTCAGACAGCTGCATACCTCATTTTCCGTTCACGATCTAGTACCCGGTATTCATAGAGCCTGAATGATATACTCTGTACTGAGATCTTTGGGATCCAGGAACCTCATAGCCTCATTGTCATGATGTTCAAGCACGTTTGCCCAGGAAAGGCCAAGAGACAACAGGTACAAGCATTGCGAGCCGGGTATGTCTAAGCTTCGCGTTTCGGCAGTTGACATCAGCCACGACACAATTAGTTATGTTCAAATTATTGATATTCCGCACCTGCTGCAGTGATCATGCCTTCTCGGTTATTCCTTGTGCTTGCTGCTTCGAGAGTGTTGGTTCGTATGATTTGATAAGCCATCACCAATTTCGAACAAAATCCCACTGCTTCTCGATGCATTCCTAAATGAGACAAGTTGGCATCAAAAGAGACTTTGGCTTTTTAAACTGCCTATTACTCAGACTTCAGCGGTATAAAACGCCGAATGATAGCAATTGCCGCCGAGCTTGGCTATCTACCTAGGTATCTCTCTAGACTGAGTTCGCCTTACTGTATGTTATCATGGAGTTCGTGTCAGCGCAACTAGCAGACAGGAGCTTTTTGTAGATTCGGGAGTTGGTTACTATCGTTGAGTCAGTGTTTGTAGCGTAGTAACACTTGGATATCCCCCATGTGAAACTACTTAAGGGAAAATACTAAATATTAAATGAAGCTGTAAAATCATTGTCTCGCGTTACGTTTATTTCGGGTCGGGCTTAGGTGGATAAGGGGGGTCTGCGCTTAGTTGAGTAACAGACAGGTAACAACTAGGTAACATTTATAGGGCGTGCGCCTACGTCACCGTCACCTGAAAACGCGACCAGCACCAATAATTTGGCCCCACCTTTGTTTAATGGATTTCTCTTTGACGCGACTTGCCGCAACCCACCTCGCGATACCGTGTTACCTGATAGCCCTCGGCAAGTTCGAGAAGCCCCTCGGACTCTCATACCTCCTGCAAATCTTCTATAAAACCGGTTATGTTCTGAAGTCTGGCCAGAGCATCTGTTGGTCATGCTGAAATCGCCTCCCACTTCCGAGCATACCCTTTTTGTCGACGATGACGACGATGGCGACGACCATCATTCCGTCAATGCCTCCCGACCCTTTCATGGCCTGGTCCTCTGCTGTACCAGTATCGAGGCTGATCACCGTGTAAGTCCACCATTGAAGCTCTCATAGTGGCTCCCATCGACTAATGCTCCATGCTGAAGAGCGAAATCGCCCGAATCACGGCCGATATGGGCGGCATCCACAAGTACGACCTCACCCCCGATGTTACCCACCTTATCGTTGGCGACTATAACACGGCCAAGTACCGCCATGTCGCCAAAGAGAGACCCGATATAAAACCCATGGCTGCTGGCTGGGTTAATGCCGTGCGGACACTATGGGTTGAAGACCGAGAAATCGATTTTGCTGATCTCGAGCACCGATTCACCCTGAAGACCTTCGAGTCTGGCGGTGGCGTCCCCAGAAACCTCGACCTATCCCATTACGAGAGGCAGAGATTAATATGCTGCCTAACTGGCTTTGAAGACAGTTCGTTACCCCACTCGCTTACGTCTTGATCGACTGTAGCTGATGTATGTAGATAATGTGCGGGCTATGATTGAGGATAAGGTGACACAGAACGGCGGCGAATACGTTGCCGACCTTTCACGACGAGTCACCCACCTCATAGTTTCGAAGCCCGAGGGTAAGAAGTACAGCGCCGCCCGTCGATGGGAGATCCGCTGTGTTTCGATTGAATGGCTACACGACAGCGTAGAACGAGGTATGATACTCGACGAAGCCTGCTACGATCCAACCCTCTCTCCAGAAGAACGGGGTGTTGGTGCTTGGTCACGCCGAGACCTTCGACGATCTCTCGGCAAGAGAGTGCGAGATGATTCCGATGCTTCTCTCCAAGATGGGAGGAGAAAATTGAGAAAGAGCGCGAGTATGAGGATGAACAGTCAGAACAATAATCTCTGGGGGGATATCTTAAACCAGTCTGCTGGAGATCTGTCACGGGACGACGATCGCCATCGGGATTCGAGTACGCCCGCTGCTCCTTCGGTTATCACTAACCCGACCACATTAGCGACCGAAACCACACAAGCTATAATACAACCGGCGATCCAGCCGAGTGACAGTACTTGGCCAGCTCTGAGGAAGGGTGTCTTTTCAGGTTGTCGATTCTTTATCCATGGGTTTCCGGAGCCGAAAGAGCGTATTCTCCTCGACTTTCTCACTTCACATGGAGGCCAGATCTCATTGTCTCTAGAGGATGTTGCGTCATCAAATCATGCCGAATCATCAAGCCACCGTTACCTACTCGTGCCGCAGTTATCTCAGCCTGGCAGCCATCCAAAACTTCCGGATGGCGTGCACATCATCACCGAGTTTTTTATTGAACGATGTATCCACAACAAAACACTCTATTCCCCGAGTGACCACGTTTGGGGCCAGCCATTTCCACAATTTCCCATTGACGGATTTCAGGAGCTCACAATATGCACGGCTGGCTTTATCAATGAACAATTAAATCAGATTGAGAAAACCGTTACACAATTAGGAGCCAACTATTCCGAAAAGCTGAACAGACAGATATCCTTACTTGTCTGCCCGGACTTGGGTGCTTTGAGGGAACAGAAGCGTGATCTTGCTATCTTACACCGCATACCAATCATCAGTGTCGAATGGTTATGGCAATGCATTACATCGGGGTGCTTGGTGCCGTGGGACGAGTATCAATTTGAAGAACTACTTCGGAACATGGACACTATTCGTGCTAGGTTAGAGCGGAGAGAAGAGAATAAGAAGAAAGGGAGAGATAGTCTCAGCAGATCCCGATCAGAGCCGGTCATTACGAAGCCAGCTGTTGCGAGACCTAACCCTAGAGTACAAGCGCCACCTTCAAGAGCTGGTATAGATACGACTGCTTTCGACAGTGGGATGGCGGGTGTTGATCACCGAACGCCCTCTCTTGCAAGACAGGATACACACGAGTCACATTATGAAACAGCTCCTACACATCCACATATAGGCGATGCATTCGCAACAGCCCCACTCTCGGAAACAAAGGCAAGTAATCTCAACAAGTCTGCGTCGCCACCGAAACAGCCCAAGGACGATAAAGCACAGCAACGCTTTCCTAACGAAGGCGAAGTGGGCGATTCCGAGGCGGGGGAAGACTCGGACGCCACAAGCCGAGCAACATCAAAACAACCACCGTCTGCCCCCGACGCGGAGGCGGAACGGCAGCGCAAAGTGCAACAGGCTAAAGACCTAGAGCGTATAGAACTATCAAAACGGCTCACCACTCTCATGGGCAGCGATGATAAGGCGCCGGAGAAGAAAACCACACTCCTCCAATCAGGCCTTCCGGGGGGCCCTCGCCGTCGGACACGTCAGATCCTAGGCCGCGCCACAAGCAATGTATCCGTCGCATCTAGCGCGAGCGCGGATTCGGCTACTGTCTCAGTGCAAAGACAACACCAAGACTCGGCGCAGTCTGCTGGGTCAGGGGGATCTGAATTCGATAAATTCCTCGAATCTACTACTGGCATAGCGGAAGGCAGCGAAGAGTATCTCCCGCCATCGACGCAGCTTGAGTACGATAATCCTGAGGCCAGGAGGAAGAGGAATTTGGTCATGGAGAGGTTGGCTTCTATGGGAGATGAGAAAGGGAAGGCGGTGAAGAGTGAGAAGGAAGGTAGGGATGGAAATGAGAAGGGGTCAGGGATATCCTCGATGAAGAATAGTAGTAGAGTGAGGGATATTGATCCTGTTAGACGATCTACGAGACGGGGTGGGAGGTAGTAACGGCTACTGTTATCCGATTTATAGGGCTGTGTCTATTGTCCGTTGCTTGCCATGTCTTGTCTTGTATCGATAGCGTTCTGCATCGAGGGGACTGGCTGGCAAGATAGAGTAGAGGGTTCCCGTTACTGGGACTTCTTGACTCGTATGGATATGGGAGTTTTCTGTCACGGCTGTCTGTGTCTGTGTCTGTGTCTTTATCTTTCTTGTATTAGTTGGTTATATCCTACATCTTGTTCAGCATGAGACGCATGGCGTGGGATGGGACGGGATGGGATGGAGTCATTGTTTGGCGCAACCGCGGGGGTTGAAAATAACTCTAGCATTTGGGTTTGAATTGTATGTCTGATAGATAGATGGACTTGAACGATGTCATTGATGAATGGAAGGGAAGGGAATGGAATAAATTATCATACTAAGGTTGATCGGTTGATGAACATATGATCGTAGGGAATATTGAGTTGGTTGACTGGTGTTTGATTTGATTTCGAATCCGGACTATAGTACATAGATAGATAGGTAAGAAGGGACAGATTTTGTGCGATGATGTCCCCTCGCTTCGCAGTAAGGATATATATGCCCAAGTCATCAAGATAGACGAAGAAGTTCATTCTCAATTTCAATATTCTACGCATACATTACACACTATCACACCTTAAATACAAAAACACGCAACCGTATCAATAGACAACTAGTTCCATTTATTTCTGAATTTATGCGATCAATCTCATATATTCCATGCGCTCGATCATCTACGAATCTGCAGATAAGAACGATTTCATTTCCATTTCCATTTCATCTCTCTGCGTCCCATCAAACTTTTTTCAATTCTCTCAATTCAATACACATAAATTTCCAACCCGCTCAACCCCGTAGTATGCCAACGAGTTATAAGAAATTGGTATCAAAAGAGTGAAAAAAATGAACGCCGAGAAAGAGGTATGGGTATGATGAGCGTCATGTTATGCCAGTAATCAAATAGAATGAATAAATAAATAAATGGTATCTCCAAGCTCCGATCAACTTAAACACAAAAAAGTAGATGTCAAGTCTGGTATCTGCTTCGCATGTCTCCAGATACTCCAACCTCGAATGAAAAAGAAAGAGAATAAGAGAGGCTCAGGCTAGTAAGGGTGTGGTTGTGCTTGTTTCGTAGCCTTTTACGAATGAAGGACTACAAGCCTGCTGCAGCCTCTGTCAACACACTCAACAACGAGGCGGCAGCACCGCCGATTCCAACTGCGCGAAGGGTTTCGTTTCGAGCCTTCTTGCGGGTTCCCCTATCGCGGTCTCGATCTCGGTCGCGGTCACGATCATCTCGGTAGCGCCGGTCATCACGGTCGCCACGTCGGCCACCGGAAGTACTTGTATAGTACTTGCTACTGCCGCCGCGATGCTCGCGCTCGCGATCTCGATCACCATCACGGTCAGAGCGACGTTCTCGATCGACATCGCGATCCGGTCGGTGCCTTCTGTCCCGGTCCCTGTCTCTCATGCGAACTTTATCCCGATCTCTATCTCGGTAATCTCGTTCGTTACTCTCTTTTCCCCGGTCTCGCCGCCCGGCGCTTTGTGACAAGGAGCTCCCATAGTCGTCAAAGACTTGGGGCTCCGGATCGAATCGCACATGTGGATCATCATTCTTATTTTTGAGAATAGGTTTGGGCTTCACGGTCGCCGAAGGGCTCGTCTTTTCGCGACTCTCCCCGTTTTTCTCCTTTTCTACCGGCGAAGGCACAATAACCGGGTAAACTTTGGTGCCCTTGTCATCGCCATCAGCGGATGCTGCCACTCCAGTTGATCCGTTGCGGTGATTATACTGCTGGCGATATGAGGGTGGATGTGCCTGAGAAGGAGGGGGGTATGAACTTGGGCCGCGACCCATTGGAGGGTGACCATAAGTATCTGAAGATGCTTCATCATCGCTAGAATCCCAGATATCGCCGGTGGAACTGACAGTGCTATTCGCGCGATAGCTACGATGGGGGTCGATTACGTAACCAGGACCATTCTGATTGCGTCGACTCTCAATAACATCCCAATTCCGGTACTTATCGGGATGGTAAGCATCCTCTGGCCGCTTTCTTCTCCCATCATGGCTACCTGGCAATGGGCCACCAGAGGCATCCGCCATCCCTCGCCTCCGTGCGTTGCGGACGTCTGCGGTTTTCCTTGCCAGCTCAGCAACATCCTCCCTTTTCAGTTCGCCGAGTACGGCCACAAACTCCGGTCGCGCTTCGTAGCGTAGGCCTTCTCGCGCGAGGACTTCAGGTGACACTAGGCTCCGGCGTATACGCGTCCATTTAGCGTCAGGGGGGATTTCTCGACCTTGACTGTCAGGTCCTAGGCGCACAGGTCGATTGTTTTTGGATTCCTGAGATGACATTGCCGCTTCTTTCCCGATAAGAGACGGCGCGGATACCGAATTGGCATTGATAGTAGGCGGAGAGTTTCTGTTAATACCAAGCGGAGGGGGCGGCAGTGAAGGGACATATCGGGGAGGTGGGTCATGTTCATAATCATATGGCTCATCCAGAGTGAAAGTACGATTAGAAGGCGAAAGAAGAAGCGGTTGTGATGATGAAGGAGGTAAATACTTTTGAGGTCGGGAGCCAGACGCCACATAGTTCCCGTTTGTGGACGGTGGTATATTTTGCATATGCATATTGCCCATCACCATGGCTAAGTCATTGTTTTGTTGGTCTAGTGCCATAAGTTCGCGCGTGGATATTAAGGCCATTGAGCCTGTAGGCGATCCATTCTGATCATCAGATGATTGGTGGTCGTAGGAAAGGCCGGTATCTCGACTTGTTAGTTGAGTAGGTTGGGATGGATAATCATCATATTGCAGCCGATCCATCTTCATAGAAGAAAAATACTTTTCATTGTTGAGATTGGGACTATAAAGGTCTCCTTCGCTGGAATCAGTTGAGCCAGGATGAGCTGGGTAGGGTGGAACAGTGTCGGAATCTGTTGGTGGTGTATAATTTTCTAGAAACCCCCTCACAGAAGGAGCACCACCGCCAAAGGCTGTAATTTGCTCGTCAACTTGACGGATATACGCTCTTAAAATGTCCTACATTATCTGTTAGAAACGTTGTTCTATTTGGCAGTGGAAGATGGATTTGAGGAAACGTCAAGCTTACTTGGTTCTTCCGCAACACATCCTTCGAAAATCCTTCCTCTTCGAGCGCGTCTCTGAATTGCTCCCAGAGCTGATCCTCATTTTCACCAAAGCCTGAATCCTTGCGCTGACAAAGGCGCGAGGCTATTGCGTCGACCTTGTCCTTAATAGCTTCGAGGTCGGTGCTAGTAGTGTCCACTAACTGACGTGATTTACTGGGATTGTGTAATTGGATGGTGTCGAGGAACATGTCGATGCTGAGCTTCTGACTCGCAAGCTTGCTGCGGATGAGATCAACCTTATCGAGCTCCAGACTGTCCAGCATAGTCCAGCCCTTGTCACTATCGTTCACTATGACATGGCGTTCACCGTCTCCGCTGACACTAGATCCAGACGAACTGCCGTCGAAGTACCTCTCTAGGATGGTGTCGAGCTGCTTCAGAGCAAATTCGGCATCCTCTATCATAGGTGCTAACTGTCGTGTGTAAACGGCGCTAGTTTCGCTGTTCAACAGAGATTCGGGGTCCTCCGCTTCGACCTTAAGATGCTTGAGCACGGTGTGCAAGTCACGAACCACAGTTGCGACAACCTCAAAGCTGGAGCCGGCATTGCGTGCGCGTCTATAAAGTTTGCGGGCGAACGCATCAAGCGTATCAATAGAGGCTAGTATCGCGGGCGATGCGGACTTGACTTCATCTTCCAGATGATAGGCCGCCATGATGGCTACCCTTTCAAGATGAGAAGTTGGCTCCTCTGTTCGCTAAGCGAATACACAAAAAAAACCAAAGCTCAGTGAAGTTGGTAGACGGAAGCTGAAGTAAGAGACTGTGAGTTGTTGGGCAGGTTGATATATGCGTATTTGGCCAATAGTGCCTCTTCCTTTTGTGATAGGCTGAGATATTCTAGTCCAGTAGGTATATAGAGGCTACGAATGATTTGGCGTTGAGATCGAAATCAATACTTCGTAAGTTGTGTGCTAGCTTCCATATTAGTTGTTACCGAATCTCTGCTGTCTTTCCTATACCACTAATACGGAATGTGGGACCTCGTGTTGAACCAGCGGGCCTCAGGGCTAACATGTGTATGGGGCGACAATGACATACATTGACAGTACCAGGTGAAGATGAGTGGACCGTAGTAGTAGTTCACTCGCCCTGGAAATAGCTTAAACAGATGCGAGAGAGGAAAGTCGTACGCGGTAGCGACTGTTGATGGTTTGTGAGAGTTGGTGGTATCCGGTGTGACGTATAAGTGCTCGGTAAGTCAACGGTGGCGGGTCAACGGTGCTCGAGGGATGGGCGTCCCACGGCTGGCTGGGGACGGGATGATGTATGTATCGACAACAAACGAGGGCGGCGTTTTCTCCTATATGAGTCGCGGGTGGTGCTGGTTCAGTCGAGGTCGAGCTAATCCGAGTATCATGGTCGGTGATGAAACTCGGCTAGGGAGTTGGGTTCCAATGCTGTTTGCCCTCGTCCCGGCGGCGCTTGTTGCCCAAGCCCAAGCGCTCGCGGGTTATGAGCAGGCCTGTCGTAGTAGAAGAGTATCAGATCAACATCGGACGCCGCGTATGTACATGCAATGCAAGTCAGACGCCGGGCAGATAGGGTATCCGGTGCAAGTGGTTCCTGGTCTACGTGAAGCGGGATTACTCGTCTGCCTCTACTAGTCTGGATGGGGGTTGTTTCCGTCGAGAAGAACAGGTGGACAACTCAAGGGCGGGCTTGGTATGTATGTAGTGTGTAGGTAGGTAGGGAAAGAAAGAAAGAAGAAGTCTAGGCGCAAGGTGCAAGTACTGGCTGTAGATTGCAGGTGCGAGTGATGCTCACGACTTGGGAATAATGTTGATCATTTCTGCTTCCAAGGTTATGTACACAGCTTTGTTCTGTACGCACGATGCCGCATCAAGTACACCACCCTACTTCAGATACATCTCGCACATTCGCGCCGACAAGCGCAGAGGTATGTATCTCTCTAATCAAGATACGTGAGCTGTTACTTGCCTTATCTAGCGGCGCACATGTAGATGTGTCCGGTGCGTACTAGCTGGCGTCTGCTCCCCTTCAGCTGGGAGAGCGGCAAAAAGTACTTGGGTTGATGGCAGCGTTGTCCACGCCCCCCATCGACGAAACGTTGTGACGTAGGTGTAATTGGGATTGGCCCGAATTTCATCATTACTCGCACCCTTGCGCTGGTTGCACCCTGCGCCGTTGGCCTAAGTCTGCCCAGATACAGGCGAGACAGGCCTTGCGTTGGAGAGCACAGCCTAGAATAGAACCGACTAGCACTCTTTAGTGTGAGATAATGGTACTAGGTAGTCGAGGTAGTCATAGCGGCTCAAGACCCACGGCTCTGCTCGCACCCCTTGATCCTTTTCCACGTTGTTCGTCTGACATCTACATACTGTAGGTACGGTACTAAGGAAGTAAGTACTACAGTACGTAGATTTATCGGCTATGAGACATTAGGTAATGAGGCTGGATGAGGGTTCAGATCTACCTAGCGCCGTTGTCATCATCGTCATACCTAGCTAGGTAGCTGTCAGCATCATCCTACTCTACAGTACGGTAGGTATGCGTGTGCGTGTGTGTGTGTGTGTGTGTGTGTGGGTGTACAAGAGGTAGGCATGTTTTGTCTTGTCGTCGTCTTTGGGGCGTCCGCAATGCTACTGCGTGCCTGTCACCGCAGGCAATACCTAGGTACTGTAGGCCATGTTTACCTTTACTCCATCATCCCAGCGACGTGGTATCCTCAAGTCGGCACACGATAGGGCCCAGCTTCATGCAGCTGGCTCGTCAGCTCCATTGCCCCATGACTGTGTCGGTCATCTAATTAGTTAGCTAGCCTCCTTGCTGGCCAGTCTCAATCTTGGATCAGCCTGCATACAAGTCTCATCGAGGCTGAAATTCCTAAAACCCCGCAGTTTCGACCGCAGCTGCACGCTGCTCCCAGCCAGTCTACCACTGTAGGTAGGTAAGTAAGTAAGATATTGTGCCTGGCGACTCGCGAGGTGCTCTCTGCATGCGTCTGTTGCTCAGTTCCGAATTCCTAGGTGAGTCCAGGTAGTATTCATAATGGTCGCATGTCCTGTCCTGTCCTGTCAATATCCGGTCTCTCTCTTGCCCACCTGGGCCAGGAGGCAGCTCGGTCTTTTTCCTGTTCTTGATATTGCTCCCCCCCACCTCTGCCTTGGTTCGTCGGAAGAGACAAGAGACAAGACAGAGAGGAAAATAAGGGAATACACGGGCAAAACACGGGTAGAGACATCATACCATGGAATGCTACCCTACCTGCGTACACACAAACCTCCAGTACTACGTAGGTACGCTAGGTACACGACAGGAGTATCAGTGAAGCTGCGCCACGGCCTCGCTTCCAGGTTGTTTAAGGTGGTATGCAGCAGCCGACAGCCCAGCCGCCCGCCCTGATTTGCATGTTCATCGCGGGGAAATGCAAAGTCGGAAATCCGCAATCGGGAATCGACTTGTTGCTTGACCTTTTGCTCGACCCTCGCCCAGCCGCCCAAAAGGGAAAGTGGGAGGAAGGAGGCACGGATACTCACATGGCGCCGTTTGCACCTTCTTCACTAACACAGCCAAAAGCCCCTGCCCCCCTCCAAAGAAAACCATCCCAAACCCCAAATCCGCCCCCGGTCTCCCGTCCTGTCACTGATGATACCCTCACCTCTGATTGATGTACTTCGCATGCATTTGCATCTTGCATATACTTCCTTACTATAGTATGTGCAGCATTTAGTAAAGTACCTGGAGTACCGAGCGTACCTTAGTGTGCTGAGACTAGGTAAATGTCAGGTTGAATATCCGCCTGGACAAATTCCCCTACATGAAAGCTCCTCTCGGCCCTCTCCGCGACCCCTCCACAATCCTCCTCTTTTTTTTTTTATTTCTCCCCTAATACTAGAGAGACTGGCTCCAATCATGGCCTAGTCAACTCCAGATTGCTTTCTAAGCCGTTCCCATAACAGCTTCATATCGGATGCGATGGGCTGTTCAGACACCCGACCTTGCCACTAATGTCGTTAGGTAATGCCTTGCTTGCTACATGGCCGCCCGAAATCCCAGCGGACAAAACACTCGCTTATGCCTCGCTGCCCTATGGAATTCTCTTGGTGCCGGCTCAAGCGCGCGTTATTCTACGATAGGGGGTAATCTCGGGCTTGGGATCGAGGAACGTGGCCCATCTTCTACCAATCTATCTGAGCCTTAGCTGATCATACGCTCTCATCGCTGCTCTAGCTGTTTACCTTTTCCACTTCGGCGCCCACCGCCCCCTTTGAGATCGGAATTATAAGCGTGCCGTGGAAATAACAAGCCCTCTCTTGCCTCGTTCACGCCTGCCGCCAATCATATCATCGGCGCTGTCCGTTTGTTCCCAAAGCAAGCATCGTCATACGCGTGTCATAGTATACAGGACGGAGAGGGGCTTCCGCCAGGCTGTATGACAAGTGTTTCGCAGATAATCTCACAGCATCACTTGACGAAATATCTCGGTCTACGTGTGTGAGGCGATATGCCGCCATGCGCGACATCCGCATCGCCAAGTGGCTGGTGCTCTTTTAGTCGTTTCTATGCCAAGTGCTACCGATCAAGTATTCAGTGAGGGGTCGATTGGGTCGCTAGAAAGTTAAGACCTTTGGAAGCTATCATAGACAAAGGCTAGATATCTCCTATCATTCCGCGGCAACACGCACAGAGCCTCAAACGACTAAAGTCGCGCTATCGAGGGAGCTGGGCCTATGATTCGACAATTCGAAATTTGGCGTAGAAATGACCGTGTCTGCCGACAAGAACGCCCTGCGGTTAGGCAACAATTGATCACCGCATCGAGTAAACGCTTGAAACTTTCGAGCCAATCAATGGCCGAGTTAAAGACTCTGATTGCTTACCCTCCTCTGTCTGTATTACCAAACCAGCCAAAAACCTTGTAATAAGATGGCTGAGCCAATTGGCAACTCAGACTAACGTACTTGCGCTCAGGCAACCTCCACAGCTTAGTCTTGGTTACACACAACGGGCACGGAGATTTGCATTAACTAACTAATTTGTTCTAGAACGGCGACATCCGTCAAGAGCTTGGGGTTAGTTATGGTGTGTGTACTTACCCTTTTGCAATACCGAAATGCGCGGCTTGGCGTACAACTGACTTTTCGTCGGTTCAGGGAAACAACGGGTCAGAAATGAGTAATCCGACTGTTAAGCGGCATCCAGAAAATCATGCCAAGATTTGTCACGAAATCTTTCATGCTGTCGAAGGGCAGGCACAAAGACTTCGGGTAGCAATGAGCACTAAATTGGTACCTTTTGGGCTACCACTCGAAACTGGCTTTTCACCCATGTGGCCTGTATCGCATACCCGTAACATGCTAGATGGGAAATACTTTGCGCCCTCCCTTTTTTTCTTTCATGTGCGGAGGGTTCAGGTCATGTCAGTCATACCTATGAACACGGCATCGCACGCGTTCCGACGCTTGGGTCACCATAAACATATGGAAACACGAGGTTTGGGAAGGATTTCGTGCGACTGATGCCCCTTTCCGTCCGAGGAGCAGACACGGTACTGTACTCGCCACTCGTGTGCCCGACTGTAGAGGATAAGAGGAGCGGTCTTTCATCTCGTCTCAACTCGTCTCATTATTGTCACTGTCATATTTTTCTCATGGGGCTAAGGTTGGTTGTACTTGTGGTTTGTGAGTCATCTCATCTTTCCCCTTTTTTCACCTGCTGTCGGCAAGTTCTTCCCCGTCTCTCTCGTTTTTTTATCATTTCTCGTATCTAAATCCGTTGTCGGATGCCCACCTACCAACATATCTAGTGTCGCCCCAGCGTGTGTACCTAGACGGAGAGGCGGAGTTGTAGGTTAGATAGGGACCCCAGCAAGCAAGCAATCAAGGTAGGTTCGCTTTACGTTGCACGCTGGATCACATGTTAGTAATGAGCGTTGAAAAACTTTTCATTTTCCTCTCTTTACATGTCGGAATACCAGGCTATCCAGCCGATGGAATAAACTGGACTTACTTTAAATCTATCATCTGATGATGAAATCAGGGAAGTGAAGAGGCTAGGACTTGGCGGAGTCGCTATCTATTTCCCTTGTTATGAATCAAACCCCCTCTCTGTACTCTGTATCTATCTATGTACTAGGTACAGTAGAGATTAAAAAGATAGACATGCAAATCTTGGATCTCGTGATATTCTCGTTGACGGTGTTTGGCAGATTATTTTAAGAATGACAGTTTTAAGTGTAACCAACCTAGTAAGATTGATGAGGCTGACTAGGTACGTAAGTGTATCTATCTATTTCTCTACGATAGTATTTCTTTCACTTTTGTTACTATATGTGCTTGGATTACTACTGAGCTGGAAGAGGGTAGTTTGACGGTGGTCTTTTGGATTTAATAGTTACTACTCACCTAATAGGTAGGCAGAACGGATTTACTTTCTCTTTTATATCCTTTATATATATAACTTGCTTTCTTGCTGTGGTTTGACTTTAATGCTCGGAATCTACCTACTGTAGGTGATATATAGATACCTAGAGAGGTTTAAGCCGAATGGAAGGAAGCAGCAGCAGCAAGGTAGTATGACATGATATGATATGATATAAATGTACGAAATTCAACCAGGGGTGCTGTGCTGCAGACGGTGCCGATTCGGGCTTGTTTCTTCATTTATTTTCTTGTCTGCTTTGTTCATCGCTTGGTATTTTGCCCGTGTTTAAGTACTTACTTACATAGACACTGACTCCAAATAAATATATACATCCAGTCGGCACAATACCCAGACAGGCATTCTACGCACGACATCGTGGATGTACATAGACATAATACTTACTTACTTACCTCCTACAAGTCCATATTTAAAACGTAATATAATAAATAAACACCCGCTCAATGGCCGGATATTACACATGGCTGTCACAAGGTACATTCACCAAACAATCCCGGCTCCGAACCAAGCAAGGGCAATCAATAACAGATCAAGACAAATCATTCATTTGGTCCGACATTATCGTCATTTATTAGAGTAAAAAAAACATTTTTCTAGATCACAATCCTCTCAAGGGAATACGATCCCACCTTCTGACTAATCAGATGACCCCGCTCCCTAAGACTCCTCTGGACGATCTCGCCGCCCGAGCCGACCTTGTGACTCGAGACCTGTTGGGACGCGGGCTTGAGGCCTAGCGGCAGGGTCTTGGCCGCGGGGTCCTTGATGCTGATGGCAATTGGCTTAGCATTGGCATCGGGCGCCGCGGCGGACACTGCTGCCGCTTTTCTCGAGACTTCCTCGCAGTACTTGACTGGTCCGGCGAGGAAGTTGCGCAGGAACGTCATCTCTTCTAATCCCTCGAGGGCGGCGCTGACCTCGTGCGTCAGCGAGCCGACGAAATCCGCTGCGTCGTCGCCCGCCTGCATAGCGTCGTTGAGGAGCCAGCCGCCCGGCCCTAGAGAGTCCAGGCAGAACCCCAGGAGGTCGGCGATGAGCTTTATGATGCCGTCGGGAGGGGCGTCGAATGGGGCGCCTTCGTTCTCGCGGTATTCCACCTCGAGATAACGATCTGTCCAGCCGCCTTTAACTAATTCGATTCGCAGTACGTACATTAGGGAGAGAATCTCTTGTGGCTTGAAGGTAGATCGTAGAGCCTTGACAGCGGAAGAATGTGGGCAGGCTCCAAGCTTTGTGAAGGCAGCGCTAATGCCCCTACCGCGGATGCCAGCATCCTCATTGTTAAGGTAAGACACTGTTTTCTGAATCTCGTCTTCAAGGTCATCCAGCTCCATACCAATATTCTCATTCTCGGGTGTGTCATTTTCAGATATGGCGTCCTCGGCGTCCTCGGCTGTCCCGTTTGTCAAAAGTTTGGGGAGAGGCTTATTCGGGTCATTCACTAGCCCCAAGCTCCTCATAAGAGTCCGGAGAACAAGGAGGATTTCCAAAGCACCTAGCTTAGTGGCAGATAGGTAAACTACCAGGAGTTCTAGGGTCGGGTCAATCTCTGCAAGTCTTGAGACAAGTTCCTCGGCGAGAAAGCTGTCTGTTGCTTCCTTTTCACCGAGTTTGCCCCGGAAGGCGGCTCGCAAGTTCGACAACGTCAAATGCCCGGCATCTACTAGATAGTTCAAGATGTTGCTCTGTGGTAACTGGAAAATTAGGCGAGATACTTTTGAATCTTCAAGTAGAGCGTTATTCCATTGAAAAGATCGGCTTATCGCAAATAAGATCCATCTCCTGTCCACGGGCGGGTAGTTTGCGCGTGATTTGGGGAAACGCCAAACTAGATTGGGTTTTCCTGATACGTCCGTGTTGTCTTCGTTCTGCACGGCAGCTGTTTCCACTTTGATACCCAATTTCTCAGAGAGGAATATTTCAAAGTTAGGGATATCGTTTGAGTTTAACAAAGAATCGGCATGTTCTTGATCGGCCGTCCATTTCTTCCAGTAGTCACCTCTTATCGAACCCGGAAGATAATTTGAAAAGACGGAGTCCTTAGGCGGCAATTTTGAGGATGAAGTTGAGCTCCTCTTTGTTGTGGGAAGGCCGCGTCCGATCGAATCGATAAGGAGACCTTCAGCACGTCGTTTCGCATGTCGATTCTTAGGTGCCTCTAGTTGAATGGCGATTAAATTAGATCCGACAATCGCCACAGCGCGCTCTAATGGAGAGAAGTAAGCGACTAGCTGACACGGAACAGAGCCACCCTCGTTCAAATTTAAGGCCTGCCCTTGAGATACTAGATCGATATCAATAGTATTCTGCAGGGATCGGTAGACTGGATTGAAAACGGAGAGTTGGGTATTGGTGGAGCATAAGAGAGACGTCTTGCTTAGTGGCAAAAACGAATTGGTGCCCTCGAGTTGCATGGTTGATGCAACTTTTGGTATGCTTGCTGTTAAGTCATGAATGGTAATCGTGTATTTCTGAAGCTCTAATAAAGCCCCATTGCGTGCGTCAAGGCGATAAGATCGTGAGCTTCCTTTTTTGCCTGTGGCAACCCCTAAAGGCATAACGTGAAGTTGTACAATGCCTCGGTTGCCCTGTAAAGAAGTTGTTGAAGGTAGCCGGCCAACGATGTGGAGATGCCGGCTACGCTGACCTGCTGAGCCCGAGACGGAAACCAGAACCAAAACTTCCATTTCATCGTCCAATTCTTGGCTAGAGTCAGAGAGGAGGCTGAATACATCGCTATTTCCCTTGAAAATACCCTTGGCCACTTCGGAAGCCGAGACGGAACGACAGTATTCGATGGTAAAGTCTGTTCTTGCATCTTCAGAAAGATCCTGAAGCATGGCTAGGGCACTCGACGCCCATTTTTGCTGTAGACTCTCCCCATCGAGGCCTATTATCTCGCCATCTGCTCTCACAACCAAAAGTTCGCTATTGAATGAGGCGTTCGTCGCGTCATTGGTAGCTCTAGGTTTTGAAAGAGGCGCAAGCCATACAACGGGGTGGCCTTCGCTGAGTGATACGGAGCGATTGACTTGATCCGTCTTACCCGATTCGCCTACGCTATCTTTGAAAAGAGTGACTTTGTTTGTCCGAGACTCACTCAATGCGGCGTACGTGTATCGCGATACATCTTTGGTTGAATCGGACTTGAATCGAATCGAGCTTGCTGGACAAGGGAAGCGCGACTGGGGTGGAATTGGATACGATGTGACGAGCCTTGAGGATGAGACCTGTACCGTATACGAGTTAGCACGATTGCACGGGGTTGATTTAAGATATTCATGTCACTCGGCGAACTCACATCGTATATGTTTATGGCTTCACCGTCAATGCCCACGGTCAATTCGGCGCGACGTCTCTTCCGTTTCTTCAATGCCGGCGCAAGTCCGTATACATCGCCAACAACATAAGCACCGGTGGCTGGATCAAGAGGCCTCGGCAGCGTAGTCAGCACGTAAGGCTTCTGGATATGAAACTGAGAAGCCATTGCTGCAGAGGGGGCTTAGAAGTGGCCTTGTGTGGTCGAGTTGTGGCACGCGACTTATCGTCCCAGTCGTTCACGATGCGCCATGGATGGCTCCAAGCTAGACCAGCCTGCCTCAGAAAAAAAAAGTTGCCCAAGGTCGGGCCTGCTGGTCCAAAACACCGACCATGGTGGGGCAACTACTAGACATGGGTACCTGCCGATTAGTACCAAAGCTGATACCACGGACATGTACCTACCTACCTTTTAGTATGTACCTATCGATAGGCTTTTATCGATAAGAAGCATCCATCTGGATCTGGTTTGAGGAAGCTCCCCCCTGGCCTGCCCTGGCCCCGGCCCTTCCTTTTCCAGGCGCAATTAAGGGTGACCACTCAATCATGACGCGCTAATCGCGTTGGTAGCATACCTCTGGAGACGCGACTCTCTAAGTGGTGCAGCCACACTCACTCTCAGTGTAAGTACGCATCTTTGTTCACTTCACTTCACCTCCTGTGCTCAAGTACCTGCTCATATTCTCCTACTTCGCGGGTACGCAGTTTATCCTCTCCATTTTACGCCATTTAAATCTATGCGGCCTGGATACCCGAGCCTCACTCTTTCCAGTCTGAGCACACACCCTATCTAGTACTCAACTATTGCATCACGCCTCTATAGAGCCTCTCCTCATGGTTTGCGTAGTTTAAGCAAGAATAGACTGCCTTGGATTCCCATTTGACCAAGGCAGCTAGCCGGTCATTATGGCTGAGGCTGGCGATGGTACCGAGGGCCAATTCAAGAAGTTTCACCCCTTCTTCTCCGGCCCTAGCAGTGTTCCTTCCAAGATCGAGAATGCCGTAACTCCTCCAACCCCCGACCCTTCGTGCAGTCCTGCTTCCGACGAATCGAGGAACGACCCCGTTTATCACGAAGACCACCAATGCGACCCGAGCGAACGCAAGCGAAAACGCCGGAAAACGGTCCCCTCCTCTGGCGCCTCCGAAACTACTCAATCTACGGGTTCTCGTCCAAAGCGCCGGGTTCGTGTTTCTGCCGGACCCGGTATCGTCACACACTTCGGACAGGAGATTAGCAAAGGCAATCAGTCAGGTGCTGAGCAGGCCTTGCATAGTGAGCGACAGTCAGCGCCGCTCACCTGTGACATCAACCCCATTCCCACACAAGCTTCGAGCTGTGCTGCTGAGGCCGAATGTGATACTCTGAAAGAGAAGGAGAACAGCGAAGCGCTCGGTTCAACGACCTCCCAAAAGCCACAGAAACTGCTGAAATTCAACCCAGCAACTGGCACAATTGGATCACCCCCACGATCTAAGCCATCAACACCTACCTCAAACTCAACATCGGGCAAAAGGCGTGGCCGAAAACGTAAATCCTTGGTCATTACTGTATCATATGGAATTGAAGCGGCATCACGAGAGCAGATTGGACAACGGATTAACGGGGTGCTTTCGGGGGCTTGGCGAATTCCTTTGCCAACATTAACAAAACAAACTCATAATACACCATCTGTTGGTCACGAAAACGACCATGTCAAGGCTTTGCCCAAAAAGCCATCACATCCCTTCTTCCAAGCCAAAGCCAAAGCTGCGTCCTCAACCCACGAAGATGGCCAAAAGGCAGCAAAAACGAGCAAGCCATCTAAACGACAGGTCATCTTTACCTCAACTCCCTGTTCACCCGGACGGGCTCGCCCTATGCCTTCAAGCTCGTCAGTCCCAAGCCTAAACTTCAAGAAAGGTACTGTAAAAGTGCCAGGAGCACAGCATCCTGCATGGCCCTGGCGGGAGGTGGTGCATATTCGCGGCAAGACGTCCTCAGATCTTGTCGATGGTGCCGAACCTAGAGTAGTTCCGAGAGACTCTAGGGGACGCAAGGCGAAGGGGCAAGCAATTAATATCAGCGAGCATGAAAACATTTTATACGAAAGCGCTGCGAGATTAACAGTTCGCCAATTTGCTGACGAGTTGAAATCTACCGACGACGAGAACTTCCGTCCTATAGCACCGCTACTTCGGGTACCTATCAAACATTTTGAAAGTGGTCGCAAGCTCCAAGCACAAGTAGCAAAAGAGCTTTGTACGTTGCATAACGGCGGCGGCTTGGCGCCGACGCATCCAGCGATTATTCACGCATACAACTCTATTGCAACTACGCTGTCAGCATTTGACAAGGCTACATGTGAATCTGTTGCTTGGGCCCAAAAATACGCCCCTACCTCTGCACAATGTGTTCTTCAAACTGGACGGGAAGCCGAGCTTCTAAGGGACTGGCTCCAGAGCTTGAAAGTTCAGGCAGTAGACACAGGGACGTCGGACAATATACCTAAATCTAAAAATGCATCTGCTCCTAAGAAAAAGCGCGGGCACAAGAAACTGGAAGGATTCGTAGTGTCTAGCGACGAAGAATCCAACGACCTGGACGAACTCTCTGAAGATGAGCCACAAAATCTTGTGCACGGCATTAAAAAGACGGTAGTGCGCTCTGGTGACGGAGTCGATAGGGGAGGCAAACCAAGTGGCCGACTGGCTAATACCGTGTTACTGAGTGGACCGCACGGCTGCGGTAAGACAGCAACGGTATATGCGATGGCCAAGGAGCTCGATTTTGAAGTATTCGAAATCAACGCTGGGGCACGCAGAAGCGGGAAGGATATTTTGGAAAGGGTTGGAGATATGACGCGGAATCATCTCGTGCGTCATCATCAGAAAGACGAGCATCTCCCCGATGCTATCCTAGAAGATGAGGTCGCCAAAGACACGAAATCCGGAAAGCAGGGCATGATGACATCGTTCTTCAAGCCCCAGCATCCCCAGCCGACGAAGAAGGTAGACCAGACGCATGAGGCTCCAGTGCCCGTATCGCAAGAGAATAAGCCCAGTAGGAGTCAAAAACAATCACTTATTCTGTTAGAAGAAGTCGATATTCTTTATGAAGAAGACAAACAGTTTTGGGCTACTGTTATCGCCATGATTGCCCAGTCGAAACGACCATTCATAATGACTTGTAACAATGAATCGTCCATACCTTTGCAGAGCTTGAAACTCCATGGGATCTTCCGCCTCTCCTCACCGCCCATGGACTTGGCAGTTGATATGCTTCTTCTGATTGCCGCCAATGAAGGACATGTTCTCAGAAGAGATGCCGTCAAGGCCTTATATGGTTCGCGTGGTTATGACCTCCGCGCAGCAATCACCGAGTTAAACTACTGGTGTCAGATCGGTGTTGGAGATCTTCGCGGTGGCTTTGACTGGTTCTATCCCCGATGGCCGAAAGGCAGTGATATTGATGAAGAAGGGCAAACAATTCGAGTTGTTAGTCAAGATACATACCACACCGGCATGGGCTGGCTCAACAGAGACTTGACGGCTTCTGAGTCATCACTACCCTCCGTTGTCCCCAACCTACATAGAGAGGCATGGGAACATTGGGGCTTGGATGTATCTGATCACCATGAGGTTGAAGATGCCGCATGTTGGGCTAGGGGAGCTATGGATCAAGCCTCTTCGCGAGCGACCCGCCTGGCCCTATTACAGTCTATCGAAACATTCACGGATATTATAAGTGAATCTGATCTTTATGGTACTTTCTTGCCACCTCTTTCAAATCACATTGCTCTTGACGCAACAATGCCACAGCTACACGCCAAAACGTTGGATGATTTTCCCATCGGTAATAAGGTTCTAGAAGTTACCCCGCTATGTCATTATACTTCAATCTCACAGGACTTGTCTGCTTCATTAAGAATCCTTGCTCAATCGAAATTGGTTGATGGTAAACTGCTCCCACAACATGAGAACCCTTCAAGTCGTCTAGACGAGGGGCAGATTACAGGCGATATCGAGCATCACCTCAGGATGATTTCACAAGCCGAGAAACCAATTACACGCAAAGACTACAGCATCGCTTTCGATCCCATTGCTGTATCCGAGAAGATACTCTCAAACAATTATCTTGACCCCTCCGTATTCGACAGGGAGATGACGCCCCTCTGCTTAGACGTGGCTCCATATGTCCGTAGCATAGTGTCGTACGATCTACGGCTCTACAACGAACGTCGCACGCGAAGCAATCTTCTCAGCGAGGGCGGACGGCCTGAGAAAAAGCGCATGCGAACGACGAGAGCTGCACTCTCGGCGCTAGAGGGCGGCTCAAGAGCAACTACGAGGCGGGAGAGGTACTTCGCGGCGGATATCAACCCGTATCTTGTGATGCGCACAGGTGGGAAGGGCTGGGAGGAATTAGTGCAACAATTCACTGAGATAGAACATCATGCTCCTATCGTGGCCCCAGAGACATTGGATACAGATATAATTGCTGGGGTGGATCAATCTTAGGTTCGCCATGTGAGTATATCGGATTATGTATATAGATAGATACAGGGTTTTTTTTTTTTTTTTTTTTTTTTTTTTTCAATCCAACTTCAGACTCTCATGGCGTTACCTGGTGGGGTGGCGCGTAAGGATCATGAGTGGATTGGTTTGTTTTGGGCATTAGCATTTACAACATATATAGGTAGTACGAGAATCGAAATGCATCGCATCTCAAATTTGGCATGTCTTGATATAAGCTTTTTAGGTTCGTTCCGATAGCGTTCACATTTGTACAGATATTGCATGTAATCATGTTTTCCAGTTTCGTTTAACCAACTACCTTAGCTACCTAGGTAGGTTAGCTGTGGACTGGATAGGGTGTCAATATGGTGGTTTCTCTTGGTGGGTGGTTGTTCAAGACTGTGAATCCAAGATGACACCTCTAGATCCTAATCCTACTTGAGTAAGAACAAGAAAAGTAGTCAGTCGAGATACTCACGTTCATTCCGATGAGAGTGAGGTTCCCTTGAGCATCGATCGACTCCCACGATTTCTGCACGTTTTGAGCCGTGCCGCGCCATCCCTGGATCCAAGTCGCAGGTCCTCAGTCGTGAAGTTGAATGATGACATTGAAGATAGATAAATTGTATATATATATTATTCTCATATTCAATAATAATAAAAAGGCATACATTCGGACGATTCAGCAACTCCAAGTACTCCGTCGCATTCTGACCCTCGAACATCTGGTTCGTGGCGACGGCCGCCTTCACAGCATCCGTGTACGTAGCGTTAAGCGCCATGTCATACAGCGAAGTTGAAATCCGGCACACGGCTCGAGTCGATGTAGTACCGGCAATCGCCCGCGAAGCTCTCGTTGATCTGACTTCCTACGATCTCACCCTGCACGCGTACACCGTCCGCGGCTCCTCCATCTTCAGCACTGCCCGCAGGTCCATCATGTTGTCTACCACGTACGTGTTGCTCTCGTACGCGACGCCGAAACCGAACGGCGTGCGGTCCGGCAGAGAGGGCTTTGAGCGGCCTTGCAGTCCTAGGATTAGAGATTGTCTGGCCGTTGTGGCGGACCAGTGCCTGGGGGCTGTGAGGAGGAATATGTGGTTTAGCCTCGTCGTGGATAATACCTCTTAGTCTGGTTTGACTTGACGTTGAACTTTCAAAGGTGCTTCGGACGCCATCTTGAAGATTTCTCGCTGCGACGCGTTGGTAAGTGTTTATCTATTGATTTCATATATCCTAGTTATCGTAGCTTTCTGCTATGCATTCACTAACTTGTCTCGGTGGACGGAATGTGTTGTAGCGAAGTTGTAGCGTTGGAGTTGAAATTCTTGAGTATCTACTATATTATATACATACGTTGTCCATGCATTTTTTCATATGTCAAGGAAACGATTGTTAATTCAAGACAGCTCAATTTGAATTATGTATGCGTAGAAAAGTAGTGTTATTTTCTACAGAGTACATGTATCTAGATGTTTGCCGGCCTCCGGTTCCAAATATTGCGATGACATCATCTAATGCTTCGTTGGCAACGGTTTTGTTTCCTCTTGGAGCCGTCTGTGTTTCCAGTGACGCAGGTTCCAGCTAGCTCACGGGTGATCGGCATATTCAGGAACAAGGGCAGTACAAGGGTAATCGCATTGGGAAACAAGCTTCTTCTGCTTGTTTAGCTCGGCAGAGCTATGACGCTAAGATCCGTCATCTGTAGCTATGCTTGGTTACCTAATATGTTGTGCTCTTTGTCATGGCTTTGGCCATCAACAGAGCATGACGATTATACCCTATAATAACTGACCTACTGATATAACTTGAAGGAAGTATTTATACACTCAAGTTAGTTCTTCTCACGCTATGAAGGAACAATGTGAACCACACCCCCGTCTAAGTGTCCAGCATTCCACTGTGGCTAAAGCGAGTAAGCGGAACACACACCCACGATGCCTTCAATGAGACTCTTATACCTTTTCGCCCATGCCTGCTCGGCTACATTGCTCTATTCAGATTATAGATTTGACCCCCTCGAACACTTGGGCGGAGTCGCTCCCTACTTTGAACCACGAGATCCTCCCGCCTCGCCGTCAGCGCCGCAGGGTTGCACGGCAGTGCGAGCAGCGTACTTGAGTCGGCATGCGGCCATCTACGCCAACGACTTCGACTACGAGGAGTTCATCGAGCCGTTCATCTCTAAATTAGAAAACCACACAGGAATCGACTGGTCCAAGATCCCGACGTTGAATTTCCTTGCCGGCTGGACAGCCCCTATCACCGAAGCCGAACAAGAGCTCTTGACGCGCGTGGGCAGAGTTGAAGCAGCACAGCTAGGGGCTACGCTGTCGTTCCGATATCCCAATCTCAAACTGCCGGCCCATGTCTGGACGTCGTCAGCCGAGCGCACGTATAAATCTGCGCAATCGCTCGTGCGAGGGTTAGAGGCGGACGACAATGGGATCCGCGTCATTAACATCTATGAATCGGAAGAGGCCGGCGCTGACAGTCTGACACCGTATAAAAGCTGTCCGGCGTATTCACCCTCCGCGGGTAGCGACCAACAATCTGTGTACCTTAAGAAATTCACGGCACCGATAACAGCCCGGTTGAATGCGCTGGTGCCCGATTTCAATTTCACTTCGAACGATGTGTACGGTATGATGGAGCTCTGTGGTTACGAGTCTGTCATCCGGGGAAGATCGCCCTTCTGCGACCTGCACGTCTTCTCGCCTGACGACTGGCTAGGATGGGAGTATACAGCAGATATCCAATACCACTACAATGTCGGCTATGGAAATCCGGTGTCTGGTTTCGTCGGGCTTCCTTGGCTAAACGCTACGGCCAACCTCCTGCTGAGCGACAACAGCAACGAGGACATGTATGTAAGCTTCACTCACCGAGAGCTGCCGCCTATGGTGGCTGTTGCCATGGGGCTCTTCAACAACTCGGCTTTCGGCGGTAGTGAGTCGTCAATCAACGACACGATGCCGCTAGATCGAATCAACCATCGTCGCGCATGGAAGAGCTCTCACTTGCTCCCGTTCTTGGGAAATCTGGCAATCGAGCGATTGAATTGCAGCGGGACTTATGGATACGACGACGGAGAATACTATCGCGTGCTAGTCAATAGTGCACCACAGCCTCTGCCAGACTGCGCTGACGGGCCGGGCACTAGCTGCTCGAGGGCCGGCTTTGAGCAATACATCCAAGACCGCGTCGATATGTTCCATGGATTCTCCGAGCAATGCGGTGTCGACTATGATAATAGCACCGACGTGCTCTCTATATACACCGAGTTGAACATGGGGAATGGCACGTTGGTGGGGAAGAGAAACCCTCATACTTCTTCTTACCAGGCTTTCTGAGTGGGTAATGATTGAACTTTTCATAGATTATAATTATAATAGATAATATATTTAATACTTGAAATGCATATGTGCGTCTTTTGTTCTATTCATTATTCAAACTTTTCCTGTATCTCCCCCGCGCTTGGCGCAGACTCAACCACATCTCAGGGGGTTGCCAACCTTACCTATTGATGACCTCAGTTCAGGTTAATTAAAGTATGACTAGGTTAACATAGGCTACGCGATCATCTTCAACGAGAAGCCATACATGTGAATCCCCATGTTCAAGAGAATCCCTCGACAATCGTCCATTGCGACGCCCGATAGCCTGGTAAATATACGGCTTTTAGTGGAATTACTCAACCATACAACCGCTGAAGCACAACCCCACGACACCCCGCACGCGGCCCCTGCATATGATCTAGTTCGCGGCCACGCAAAATGCGAAATGTCTCGTTTGATCTCATAGGCAGGCAAACTTCTCCTATGATAGGCAGCACAATAGTTTCACAGGCAACAGCGTAGTTCAATCCAAGGCTATAAAAAGCCCCGACGGTGTTGCGATGCGGCTACATCTACAACATTGCGCGTAATGCCCCGAGTCTGGCGGCCTCTCTTTCCATCTCACCCCCGCAGCTTCTTCTCCTCCTCCTCCTGGTCCCATCGAACCCTGTCCCCGAAGAGTCCCCTTCTTCCTCGACAACAGAGAATGGCGCCGCAAACCTCGATCGCCGAGTTCCGCGAGCTCGTCAACAAGAGCAATCGGATCCTCGCCCTCTGCGGCGCCGGACTCTCGGCCGCCTCGGGCCTGCCCACGTTCCGCGGCGCCGGCGGCCTCTGGCGCAACCACGAGCCCACCTCGCTCGCTACGCCCGAGGCCTTCGCGGACGATCCGGCCCTTGTGTGGCTGTTCTACGCGTGGCGGAAGCATATGGCGCTGCGGGCGGATCCGAATCTCGGACACTATGCGCTTGCTGCGCTGGCGAGGAAGAAGGAGAATTTTCTGTGTTTGACGCAGAATGTTGACGGTGAGTATGTTGATTTACTTATGCGCTTCTTTTTATTTTATTTTTTCCATGATGAAGGCGCAGGAGTGTTTTCATTGGAACGAGTGAACCCCTATTCATAGTATTGTCATTCATTTTACTTTCCCTTTCCCTTTCGCTTACGCTATCATTCATGTATTAGGGCTCTCGCCTCGCGCCGGACACCCTGACTCGAAACTGAGATTACTCCACGGAAGCATCCTCGATGTGAAGTGCTTCAATAAGTGCGGCTACATCGATCGCCTTAACTTGGACGACCCGCCGTGTCCCGCGCTTGCCGCAGCGTCTGAGGATTACCCTGCCGACCAGGCGATGCCGCTTCTCGACCCAAGTGTCCCCACGCCGAAGATCGAGGTGCAGGACCTTCCTCATTGTCCGAGGTGCAAGACGGGGTTGTTGCGCCCCGGCGTCGTGTGGTTTGGCGAACAGCTGGACAATGCCATGCTAAGGGGTGTGGACGATTGGATCGAGCAGGGCCCGATCGACCTCATGCTTGTAGTGGGCACTGCTGCCGCCGTGTACCCTGCCGCTGGGTATATGTATGAAGCCCAGGACAAGGGTGCCGTTGTCGCTGTCGTGAATCCTGATCCGGATTCGGCGGACGGACTCACGTCTGATGACTTCTTCTTTCAGGGGAGTGCGGCAGAGATATTGCCGCAGCTGTTTGAGGGGGTCATTGGAAGGATAGATGAAAATGGAAAGACAACGGATAGTTAGCTATGAATCTCGAATCATAGGATACATATAATCTTACTCTTCAATTTTCAGATCAACATAATTTTTACACCTCGTGCCGCGAGCTCTTCATGACGAACGGGGATGATCTGCAAATGCATTCTACTTACTCGCGAATCGTAGGAGTTGCTAGCTCATCGTTCGCGCCAATGGTATTTGAAATTACACGATGAATTTTCATGCGGCACACCTTTCACAGCCTCAATAACGATGATATCACTCATTACAGCTTTGGAATCGTGGAAACCGATGAGAACCCGGAATGTGCTGCAAATTCATATAAGTGTTTCATAATGACTTTTTTGACTGTATTAAGAGTGCCAGGTGCCCACTAGTATCTCACCTCTATCGACTTTTTGAAGCTTAAGTATGATAAATCTTTCGTAGACACGTAGATGACAGACAACTTTCAGTGCTGAGGTGACCATTTCGGGTTGTAATGAGATGAGTACCTCGAATTTACAGCGTCACGCTTGATTCAGATGAGGTCATGACGAGTCGTGATAGTCCCAATGTTGTTGTTAGTTATTCAGATGATGATGATGATGTAATAAGCATACAGGCATACACATTTGTGAACAAATAGGGGGGGAGGGAGAGACACCGTCACGTAGTCATCTGTTCGATGTTCAGAGTAACGAAATAGCGCAAACAAGTGATACCAGCGTACTACAAAAAGGCCAGTCTGCCAATAATCTCTTGAGTTGCCATGTCACGAGATATATTGTTGTACCCGGACTATGGACTACGCGGGGGGGGTCAACTCTGCATATTCTTTTCGTACGTTTCATGATATCGAATGATACCTTCACTAGGCGTGTTGTGACAAGGTAGGAGGAGACTTAGCTGTGTCTTCTCATTTGAGTGATCTTGGTATGAGTCCAGACATATGTTAGCTTCGATGATGGCTACATGAGCGACTCCTTACGCTTCATACAGCGTTGTACACAGTATGCCGCAAATGTTAAATTACCTTCTATGACCCAATGTTTAGCTATAAATTAACATGGTGTAATAAGATCCTCCCGTCCTCCCATCCTCCTATCCCATACATAACAGGGGCAGATGACTGGGCTTAGAACCCGATGCTATTCACATTACAATGATCAACTAGGGCCACATGAGTCCTTGGCCAATCAATTCTATATTGGCCTTGGTGGCTTGACTTGACTCTGTATACAACTGGTCTCCCAGCCCTTACCACATATGTCTCGTTAGCTTGTGTTACAAAGCAAAGTCTGTATAACCTCACTTTCCAATATTACCTGTATGTCTTTGAATGATCATGAATGACCTGCAATAGCCTGTCGTACGGTCGAAGCGCAAGGCGAACTGCATAATCAGCTAGTACAGCTAGTACAGCTTGTACAGCATGTACGCGTGTAACAGAAAGGACAATTAGCCTTCGTCGTAAAACACCCTGCTAGTATAACCACCTAGCTTTTTATCAGTCGAATGCAGAGACTGTAGGTCTAGAAGTCAGAGAGAACGCCTCAAATCATAGAGCAGGTCACGAATAGGCTCACATTGACAACAGAAACATAGCATGGTGTGTCAGACACGGAATTGGAGCAGTATTAGGTAAGTATAATCCTCTAAGAAATATTAGTTTGGTCGAAGAGCTAATGCCTCTCAGCCGTTTTTCATCTTTCACTGAGACGGGAGAGTAAGAGAGAAGAGGCTATTACGATCGTGGACTTATTGATCATTTAAAACTCTAGGCTTTGTTAGAGCTTTCCCAAAATACGTACATCAGTATTATAATGAAATATGGAGGCTATTGTGAACTCAATGATGTTGCCGACGACTCTTTAATGCCAACACTTGTGAGATATAATATTAGGAAGGCATCATACTTTATTTTAGCGTACCGAGCTTTGTTAAAAGCAATTATAGTAAAATAGATGTTGCTATCATCGCATCGTAGCTTCTTTCGAAGATGATTCAAAGATCAGCCAATTACTACTGGTGTGAACGAGAAGCTTGAGGCTGTTTCTTTTAACAATCTGAATTACCAGGTAGTTCAGCTTCAGGGTAAATATGTTGTATAAGATATATCAAACATAGGTGGAGTTAGAGAGCAGGTAAATTGGGGTCCAAAGATCGTATATATATTTAATATACTGCTTAATTATTTGTAAAATACAACTTAGCTAGCTAAAGCACTCAATACTACTTTAAATTGATCACTCATATGTTCGAATAGTTTATATGGTGAAAGGATGTGTTTCTTAAACCCCTTCCAATGCATTGCTCTAGTTGCTAGTGCGGGCTAGGAAGCAACTGTCGCTCTCGCAATATGGATAATTGTTACAAAGGTTCTAGTTGAATAGATTCTATCTTAATAGTAGTGCATTGTCCCTCTTCCTTCTCGCTCTGCGACTACTCTATTCGATGATTTCATTAACCTAAACGTCTCCTGGGCAGCCATAAAAACTACATAAGCAAAAACGATCGGAGTAGATGCCTCATGAAAAATAGACCTGCCATTTTTCTAGTCACATGTGTGTTTGCGGATCAGATATTCATAGATCAGCCCCTGCAAGAATAAGTGCATGCCTTCAGAGGTTGGATATTACACGCGTACACGCTGAACATGCAGTTCGCCTTGCACTTCGGCCGTACGAAGGACTATTGCAGGCTGTTCATGATATTTTAAGATACGCAGGCAATATTGAGAATGAGGTTATACAGACTTCGCTTCGTAACACAAGCCAATGAGACCTAGGCGGTAAGGGCTGGGAGACCAGTTGTATACAGAGTCAAGTCGAGCTACTAAGGGCCAAGGCTGATAAGGAATTGGTTGGTCAAGCAATCCTGCAGCCCTAGTTAATCATTGTAATCTGAATATCTTCAATTCCAAACTCAGTCATCGGCCCTTGTTACACCGGAACACTGTGACAGCGGCCGCAGAATCGGCTACAGCGACTCCTTTAGCGCGTAACAGTCAGGTCGATTATGTCTTAGGGATGAATACTGTGGCATAACAAGGCCTAACGCGGATACCAACACATGTCCATAAAGTTCGCCATTGCCAGACTCAGTGAGATAACCGGTAAACTTGATTTAGCGGCCGCTTTCAAGCATAACTCGTAAACATGTGATGTCAGACGTCATATATCTGCCGCCAATTTTATTCTATTGCATTGGGCTCGTAATCAGCATGAGGCCTCTCGTCGAATCCTATAAGATATCTATATATGGCATTCCACACACCCATATATTACCTAATCCGCTCCCCGTATTCCCGCCGCCTTGTAAGAGAAGTCCACTTTTCTGCCTCCGTGTAAGGATACGGCAATTTGAGGTGCCAAGACTAAATGAGAATTGCATTTATGCGCGTAATCATTGGACTATCGTAGGGTCGATGGAGTGGCTCGCGTCGGCTCAGGCGATACGTACGTGACCGGGGCCAATGAAAAGTGTCTTGATAATTGCGTCCACATACCCGATCGAGCACATGATCTGGGATGGGGGTGTATGTAAATTTGCCCAACCTCGTCAAAATGTCTGGAAACATTCACATCCTCGCTCCTCGCAATGCTACGTCTGTCTACGGGCTCCGGGAGTATCTCATACTTCTTCCCATAGATTCTAGGCTCGATGGCAAGCATGGTTCCTTTGCCCACTGTACCTATATTCACTATTCTTTCTATGTCATTGTGGGTGTGTCGACAAATATAGTCGTGTTCCCTAACGAATGCCAGGACTGAGGGGCCAGGATCCTGCTTACATAGTGCTTTGGTACAAGCCCCTTCCCCTCACGGAAAAAGTTGTTGATTTATCAAGTGTCTAGCTACTCCAAGTTGCTTGGCGAAGATATAAAGCGTCCCACGCAGTACAGGGTGATAAGAGGTCATAATCTCTAGAGTGAAAACGGTTTCGAGTAGTTAAGTACAAGGTAGTTCATAGATGGGAGAAAGAACTTAGTTCTATTGACTCGAAATTTGCTTTTAGCGGTTGAGGGAGCACTCTCGCCTTTACACTATAGTGTGGCTGAACCCACCCCTAGGGGTAGCTCCTAGCCTACTGCTACACTACCTTGTACGTTGACAAACGTGCCGCCAATGTTGGGTCTCTATCAGGTTTCTTGAAGGCTTGATATAAGCAACGTCGCGGTCTTAATAGTTGATAGCTCCTTCTGCCGTACTCAACTAGGTATAACCTCCGAGGTCGTGCTATAGTAATATGGTGAAGACGAAGTTGTAGGTAATTGAAGTGTTATAGCCTAAGAGGTATAGTCTTTCATTGGCTAATCTAATGTTGTCGTGGTTCCACAATATATTATCAAGCGGGTCTGTGTAGGTTACACGGACCTGTAGGTGAACAATAACCCTCATTGTCTCTATAGTAGAATTTTCGCAATCTTGGTTGATTGCAAGGGGCGTTGAGAAGGGGCAAGCGACGCCTAGGAGTCTAAGCACGGCGGAAACCAACTATAATGTACTTGCGTAGCATAACTAGATCAATGAGGCTTTCCACTTCATATGTCAAACAGTCACAGATAGCACGAGAATCCATTATGAAGTAAGCCCAATGTGGATATTTCCGATTGCTGGCATTTAAGACGCACTTTATAAGTTGTGCTTAAAATGTGCACCAACAGAATGCATTGAGTCTGAAGGAAACACATTTGTCAGTAAATTTCTATCAACTCCATAAGTATCTCCTGACTTCTGTAGAAACTTGAAATAGTACTAAAACATTAATGCTTTCAACTCGGTCTAAGCTATGAAAAGTACTTCACCAACTTAGAAAGCAATCTAGTTAGATCTAAGCTAAACGTCACGGAGTATATTCTAATTTTTGATGTTATTCTAAACAAGAGAAAAGGGGTTCTTGTTGCTTTTGATTTCGAAGGTGTACGCGAGTGATCCAATCTACCTGTTTCCTCCATCTTATATGCTCTCGATAGTCATATCAAAACGCTCTTGTCGCTCAGTTTCGAAATAAATCATAAACGTCATCAGAGATCCCCAGTCACCCAATAGCTATGCATAGAAAGGCTTCTGTAATTCCGCCTTATATAGTCTGAAGCTCTCATCGCTTGTCTCATCAAGCTCCTCGATCCAAAGGGAAATGGCATATCATAGACGTAGTGATGAATGCGACAACCGCGAACAAACTACTTTATGGCCGCATTCCAACAGAACGGGGGCAACACACAAGACTGAAAAGGGAAGTAAGTGGAAAAGAAAAGCGGCAAAGCGATACTCATCTGCCCTCAGGGTCAAGGTCAACAAGGTCTTGGAATGTTGCGAGGTCTGTGAACTCGTTCGCCATGTTCTCCGCACAAGCTGCTTCGGGATTCGTGAAAGCCAAGTTAAGGTCGATCATGAAAGTCGCGTGAATCTTTTCTTCGAGATCCTCCATAACATGTATCAGCCCGCGCTCCTTGAGGGTTTCCATGATCTTGTAGGCTTCCCGACCAGTCATATCAGTGTCTCTCATCGTCATAGTCAGAAGGCCCTGGGCGACGACTTCGGAAATGCGGAAAGTGCGGCTGAGTCTTTCGTATCCATAAATGCACAGAAGCAGGTATAGATGCCATTCGGGATCGGTACACCTAAGCATGGCATTTGCGAGGTAGATGAGGCCGTTATGCCAAAGTATTGAATACGACGAGGCAGCGTGCCTGCTTCGATACTCCACAATCAACTGCTTCAGCTGGTTAACCGATGCGGAGTACGCGGCGTCTGGTGTGCGATCTCGTGCCGAGAACGTTCTCAGCTGCGGTATTTTCTCCTTTTCTCTGTAGATGAACGGCTGCCACATGTCGAGAATTGCCGTATGCAGCCATATACTGTAGTCCCGTCAGCACGAATCTCAGGCCCCGGCCGAAAGCTTCGATATCTGCACTCCAATAACACGTACTGAAATACGATGATGAAATGAGGGCATTGATCTCTCCGAATTAAAAAGGAGGGAAGAGTTTCGGTCCAAGCAAGCAGTTCTCGATAGGCGTATTCGACGAGCCTTTTCCTTAATGATACCGGGGGACTTTCCCGGACGGGGTAGTAGATCCACCGAACCTCGTGTACAAGCCGCCAAAAATTGCACAATGCAGGAAAAAGTCTCCGCACAATGAGTTCCTCGGATATATTTTCGTCCTCATCGTCATCTCCGTCTTTTTCTCCTCCTTTTCCCGGATTCGCATCGGCAGTTTTGTCGCCTGCTATGTCACTGCGTGTTTCTCCTGGAATGGGAACACTCGGTGCTGAAGCTGGAGTCTCCGAGCCGGGCTGGCGATGGAACATCGAGATCATCCTTAATGTCTCGTTAGATTCCTGTTCTTCAAGTAGTATTGTACCTCCACTTACACGTTCCAGTTGAACACACCCCAAGCTGCGTGTGACCGTGCGCTTAAGTCGTCTTGCATCGTGCCCGTATTTGGTTGATGAGGGTTAGCTGCATGCCCTGGACCACCACCAAAAAGACCCAGCCGTGTGCCCATCTTCATAGCATCAGACGCGTAGCTCAGAACGGCGTGGTTTTTGCCGTGTGCCATAAGCGATATACTTAACAAGATGGCGCCAGCCATTGATGGATATGAGTCCTTCTCTGTTTTCCACAAAGACTCGGCGACTCGGCAAAACTCGCTTGCATACTGTATAGCACTCCCATCAAAAGAACTATACATTTGCTAGAAATATTGTTAGTTAAGTCGAGCAGCCCTTCCGTTGCGATTAGGTTTGCTCACACATCCTAGATACATCACGGAGTGAAATAGAAACTTGGAACAGTATTTCGCGTGCTGGTTGACTAAGTCATTAATGAAGAGATGCGTGTCGAATAGTCCCAAGAGTGGATGATCTGTTTTCTGGGTTACCAGTGTCAGTCTTGGCAAAGGGGTTAAATGGGGCAGTGTGGGATATCATAGGGCGGATATAAGAATTGCTGGAACGTTGCGAAGGAGCATAGTATGATTGAGGAAGAATGCCTTAGTTACCATGTACACTGAAATGACCTTGGCAACAAAGTCGTTTGAAATCTTGATGTTTGTCCAAAATCCAACCTGGAGGTATTGAAGTCTCTCGTCACAATACTCGATAGGCTGCTCTTGAGGTTCAGAGTACTCTGATGGGGCAGTAAGATTGGGTTCGGCTTCGTTGGAATCTCTAAGATCATCAGAGTCGGCATGAGAAATAATCTTCTTAACCAAATTCTCAAGCTGGGGGCATACACGGAAGGCTCAGGGGCGGAGCAAACCGTCAGAAACGTACAATTGACTCAACACTATATCAGATAGCCAGGGACGAAGAAGATTGCTCCTCGCTAGGGCTATAGGATCGATGGGTGGAAGAATGGGGAAAGCTTTCGGGTTGTTGGCCATAAGCTCACCCTCCAGGGAGCTCTGGTGCTGTTTGTATTCTACATAATCCAATTTTGAGGGGGAGCTGCCCTCACTCGGGCCCCCTCTAGACTCTGCCAGGACGATAGAGGGGTCTCCTTTCTCCCTAAGCCGTTTCAGGAGGGCATTTGAACGGTCCTCGGTTGAAGATTTGAGAAGTTCAACGAGCTCAATCGCCTTTTGACCATTGACGAGCCGTTCAGGATAGACACACACAGCGTGGCCACGTTTCGAGCAATTAGTACAAGCAGGCCGAAGTCCATCACACTAGACTCGATCATCAATAAACGACTCTTTCTAGCGCTTGGTTTAATCTAAGGGATATTATACTTGCTTTTGTTTTTCGAGTTCGACAGTCTAGACAAGCACCCGGTCGTGGTTGCGATGTTAAACGCTTTTTAACTTCCTTTCCCGGCTCCCCAGGATTACCAGACGCGGAAGACTGCCCTGCATATCCTGCGGGTGCTGCTGGGAGAATGCGCGGATACCTCCCGCGCTGCATAGCGGTAGAGACGCGCCGTCGAAGCTCTCTTCCAACCGGCTGATGAATCCTAACGTAGGGCGATGCTAGGTTAGTATCGTATCTCTTAACAGCGAAAGGCCAAGGGCGACGAGGGGTAGTGCTAATTGGAGAACTTTTGCAGCGCTCTTTAGGGAAATGAATGGTTTGACAGGTTAGGTGTCCTGGACGTCTCGACACAAGCTCCCGTCCATCGGCAATGTCCTGGAGCTCGAGCTGGGTTGTTCCTTGTCGACTAAAGGTGAAGCTGGAATTAAAGCTAGAAACTCATCAAAGGGGCTAAAGCCACCAAGTATTGGCCGATAGGGGTATTGCCTAGTGTGGGTTGAACAGAACTGTTTAGTTGGGCTTTAGGTCTTAACCTCCACTATTAATATATACCCAAGGGATGACGGGATGGATCCGTGGTGAGTGACATTCTGGTTTGATTGGTTTGGTCATGGTGATGGCTAAGATGGAATCACGTATACTATTTACCTAAGACGAAAGTATGATCTCATTCTAGCATGGCAAATCATGTTATGGTTTACGTCTTTCATCTAGTAGTAACTATTTTGTGCATGTCTCTCTCTCCCCCATACCTCCCATATTAACAAGCATGTCCGCAGCGTTGTACCTGGAATTATCTGGTATCTGTTAGACGAACATGTCACTGTTAACTTTGCACTAGGCAACTTACCCCTTTAGATACAGGGTTCCCCAATATGCCATATATAACGGTCATGTGTGACAAGGTTATCAGGGATTTGAAGGCGGAAACAGCCCCCAGCTCTAAAAAAATGTAATGTTAAAGATTTCTGCAAGGGTCAGATATGTGAGATGGCGGAATGAGCTCATGACTCAAGACTCTGCTGTAAAAAGGTCTATTTTGTGTACCGAAGACTAATTCTTCTGTAATTATAGTCTTGGAGACGGCCTCGTAAGAGGAAGCTATATCATGCAAAAAACACACTTGTGAAGTCCTTTTTAAACCGTGAACACCACCACGTGTACGCCCATTAAAACTAAATCAACTTTTGGTATTTCCGTTCAGAACTCCCAACCGAGACTGAAGCACTGACACCGAGTGGGTATAAAGGGTGCAAAATGAGCAAAAACATGTAATCCATCGCCGAGTTAGTGAAGGCAAATCGTAGGCAATCCAACCTGTAATCAGAACTCGGTACAGCTCGGAGTACTGTTGCAAGTGCTGTTTTCGGACGGTCCCACCCCCGACTGCGTAGACGATCTGCGGATGTACTGGCTGATAAAGTCGTTGTCGCACTTTTTGTGTCGGAGTATCTCGGTTTTGAGTTGAAGCACTTCCTCACGCAAGGCGCAAGCCTGAGCGCTCAGCATCTTATTTTCTCTTAGAAGGTCCCTCTCTCTCTGTTGCAGTTCATCCACTCCGCGCTTGGCTTTTCTCCTACACTTTGCGGCAGCCAGCCTATTCCTATTACGCTTCTTTTGGTTTGTTGGACTTTCCTCGGCGTCTCTAGGCGATAAGGGAGACAACGACCTATTATTCCATTTGATATTCTTCGAAGGCTGCAACATCGCCGGCAGTGGGGCCAAACCGGTCTGCGCTGTGGGAGGATATAGAGTCGCATCTAAGGAGGCTGCAGGAGTTTTGAACTTGTCAAATGCCGTGTCGAGAGATAGAGCCTGTGGCCACTCTCCGAGCGGGACGTGGTAATCAAAGACATGGTGGCAATCGTTACTGCTTGCTCCATCTACTGGTGGTAGCGGTGGCGGCTGTGGGTGCTGCTTCTGCAAGATTAGTAGCAATCCCGTTGAAGCCAAGGCGGCAACCCAAGGTATTGGGAGACATACTTCTTGATAGAGATGAACAAAGTTATTAATGGCATCGTGGCTGGCTACAAAGTCATCCAGGTTCCAAATGCGCTCCTGGGCACTCCAGAGGACATGATCTGAGGCATTGATATCGTAGAAGGGAGGATTTCCGAACTCATGGTCGTATAAGATGGGGACATCATGTTGTCTATCGACATGCGTGTGATTTTGATTCCCCAAGACTTGCATTTCGGGGATCGCAGGCGGTGGGAGTCCCCGTCGAGAGGATATCATGCGACAGGCGCGAGCGTTTGATTCGCTCCTCAAGCATCTAGGGGCCAATGGCAGCACATCTGACCCAGCGGGGACGGCATAGGCAGGCCAAGTTCTGGAGACAGATACGATGGGTAGGGGCACTCAACTCTCGGACCATATGCACAGGTTCGAGACCAGGAGGAGCAGTAACATCAAGGGCACGAAACGAAGAGAAACGACAACAGCGCGCGGCAGCAAATTCACCAATCAACAACCGGGTCGCCGCGAACAGAGGCAAGCAGAGGCAAGCAAAGGCGGGCCAGGGTCTACGACATGGAGAGGAGGATCGGATGGGAGGCGCAGGAGACATCGGAGGAAGACGAAGCAAAGCCAGTAGTAGCCCGGCCGTCACATTATGCACACTCTGGGCAGAGGAGGGCCTCGCCTGTCCCTCAAGAGCCCAGGAGGGCACACGGAAGGGCCCAGTGAGACGCTCGAAGGGATACAGTACTATCCACTATCCCGCTATGCCTCGTATGTACATATAGCTGTGTACAATCCATGTCTCGTTTATGTATTACTTGGGGTGACGTTGAGGAAGCCCAGGCTGCGCAGCCAATCCGTGCCCAGCATTTCGTCCGGAGAAAACGCCGGCCGCCTTCAAGGCCTCTCATTGGCCGACAGCCACGGACTCAGTTCCGCTGACTCTCATTGGCCGAGCCGCCTCAGCTCATGCCTACGTCCACTCATACGTCTATATAAGAGCCTCTGACGTCCCGTGCGAACGAGCGCACACGGCCCAGGAACAACGGAGGACAGAAATGCCAGGGAGATCTGTCCACGGCTTGCCACGGCCACCATGGGCGGGTCCACGAGCCTACCGGTCACGATGCCCCGTGTTCATCCAAGCTGCGAGAGAATATAGAGAGTACAGAGAGTATAGAGAGAGTATCAGGATCGAGAGCCAGTGGAGCGGTCCTCACGCCTTCACCAGGGGTGGCTGCTGGCACTAAGTACGGCACGTATCACCCGCCCCGATATCTGTTTGTCCCGACGGCTAGATAAGCTTCCTTGCCGCCTGCGCTTTTCATGGATTTAGTTTGCTTGTCCTCTTATACCGCATGATCGCGGCCCTATCAGGTACCATGTGGCAACACTACGCCGCAGTCACGTTGCATGTCTATCCCAGGGGTTCTGACCAGACGCTTTGCCATTGTTAGTTGTTTCGTTTCTTTTTTTCTCGCCGGTGGATGTCTAGTAGACCCTTCCGCGTCAGGATCTGTACTTGTTCAAGGCCTTGAAAGAGCTTGGAGGCACTTAGTTGGGCGAACCGTGTAATCTAGGACACTCACACCAACGCCCCTTTACCACTGGATCACAAAGAATTCTGTTGTAAGGCTACCCGTTGGGACTCCACTTCCGTCGCCAACCTTCTGACTTCCAGTAGAAGCGTTGGGGTCTTTAACTTGAAAACGACCAGTCAACTTGATAAAACACAGGTACTTCCATTTACGTACAATCCCTACCTAAGAATAAGTAGCTTTGCTTAAACCAATTCCACTTTACATACCGATTGAAAAACTTGCATATAGCTAAAAATTCAATTAGGCAACCACCTTCTAGCCCACTTATCCTACCATCTTCTACACCTTTACCTTTAATACCTTCAACGCCTTCGACGCCTTCGACGCCTTTAACACCTTTAACATCTTCAATCTACAGTGCAACAGAATTGCTAATGCAATACGTATAAGGCTGTTTATCTCAACAGACACGAACTTAAATTAAAGAATTGGCTAACTTAGCAGTTTCAACAGGGGGTGGTAATTTTTTAGCATTTAAATAAGAAGTATAAATGTAGCGTGTATATGTATAAAACAGGAACTACTTCTATTTTGGTAGGGATTGTACCAATTTGGAAGTATAGCCGGATTTTATCAAGTTGACTGGTCGTTTTCAAGTTAAAGACCCCAACGCTTCTACTGGAAGTCAGAAGGTTGGCGACGGAAGTGGAGTCCCAACGGGTACATGCCGCCTAGCTGCGTTCGGCCACGCAACCAGGGTGGACCGGGATTTTTTCTGACAGGCCAGCTATCCTGTGAATATTCTGGGGAGATATGTATACCTACCGAAGGGAAATTAGCGAGAGTGCTGCTTTGCTGGATAATTGCTTATGCAAGTTGCAATTACAGTTATTTATAGTACATCATACTATCCTAGGTATTGAGTGTACACGGAGCCCTTGGAATGTGAATTCAAACAGCTCTTCTTCCACCGTCACAACCTTTGCGTAAGGGGTTGATATCAAGGTATGGGGACGTAGAGGATTCTTGCTTTCCGTAAGAAGCCCTAATGATCTAACTACCTAATGATTTACCATGAACAAAGTACCACCACCTTTTCTCTTCGCGGGCTGCAGCTCTAGCAGTGTAAGGCGTGGCAGTGTAACGCCCCCCTCAAGCATCAACTAAGAAACACTATAGGTTGCTGTATACATTGCCTTCGCAGCCTTCCGTTGGCTCCTGCAAACAACAATTGACAGTATCCTCCCCCCCTGGTGTCACGAACGTTTTCGCGAATTAGAGACGACTACGAATTAGCAAATTACTGTATCACGCCCTACCGAGAATATTGGGACTGGGTGACAGCGGGAGCTTAGAAAGGAGAACAACGGGAACGTGAGGTGACAGTATGAGGGGATATACAGATAGATCCCCCGGGTTTCTAGGTGGCCAGCAAGATTTTGAGAGATCTAAGGCCAGATTCTCGATACCTGCCATGGAGGGCCAAGAGAGGCAGAGCATTACAAATCTTACCTTGTTATGCGAGAGCCCGAAAGTCCTCTAGCACGTAGCCTCTGATAGATAGCGTACCACGCCCCTCCCGGCAACGGCCTGGAGAGAGCCAAGTTGTCCGTGTCAAGTTCCAAGTGCGTACGGCCATCACACCACCAGCGGCAGCTCGATATGCATCAGACAACGCACGAGCATCGAGTCCAACGCAGTCTAGAATTGCCGAACGAAGCGAAGTCAAAGCCACTATCAATAAAGGAATCCCACCAATCAAGAGCCTGATCGGTCTACCATCGTGTCTTTTCTGGACAAGACTAGCATGGACTTTGGCCATACCAGACCCTGGAAGAAGAAAGACAGGGTCCATCCACAGCCCCAGATAGAAACCGCAATCTGTGCCATCTCCCGCGTGTGGAGAAGGATCTGTTCCCTTCTGCAGAAACTACGGGGACCAATGCCTTGCTTGTATGCCAGACATAGAACCATGACCGAAGTCCAGGCGTGACGGACAGCTGGCTAATATCACCCGAGGCCCCCCCCCTCACTCACCCTAGGCAACTAAATCTGTTGGTCAATCACCAACAGCGAGCGAGAACAGGCCAATTATAAGCACGGAACAGTGATGGATGGCATTTGCAACGGGAGTTCCAACTCGTTCGGTAGCCAGCCCTGGATTCTATGCATGCTACTTCTTTGCTCTAGAAGGTGTGCCATCGTGACCAACAAGAGATAGCGATTAGCCCTGATGATTTGACAGATGCTCTGGTAGTAGTAGTCGGGTGCCGACGAGGGTGAACACAGTGCCCGCTTCAGGATGGATGCCTTGAGGCCACACCACAATGCCGTGGCCGCTGGATGACTTGGCCCAAGCGGAACCCACGCCGTGGAGATCACAGATGGCTGATTCCCGTTGCAGACACGCACACGCACACACAACGCACACACACATACACTCACACGCTCACACACCTACATTCATCGATTCCCTGCCGATGAAAAGTGTTTTCTTATAACACCGCCTTTAACGCGCCAATAACCTCTACGGCCTCCTCTCTAACCTTCCTCGTAATCTCAGCGGCGGGAGGTGCACTTTTCACAAGACCTACACTAGATCCACTGCAATGGAGTAAGCACATCGCTGCAGTACGTGATGGCGGCATGTCGGCAATGTGGCAACGCAACATGTGCCAGGGGACTGACTAGGCAAGGTGCAGATTGTGGAGGATGGAGGGAGGGGTTGCGGGATGGGTAGGCTTATCGTTGGGAGGTACTTACGACCAAGTTACCATCATGGACACATCGCCCTTCTCTTTCGCCGCCCTGTAGCGGGATTCATTCTCCTCGATTGTCATACCGGCTTGGGCGTCGTGGTACGACCGGTGTACGAGGGCGCGAGCATCATACCGAGTTGGCCAGGTAAAGTTCCCTTGTACGTGGTCGTGGACATACGATCTTTTCCCCCCAGGAGGACATGTAAGAAGACGGGTCTAATTGGCTGCTAGGGGTTCTGACTTACTTTACTGTACTAGTCGCGCCGTCGGAAGCCGCCAACAGGGCCTTCCGTTTGTAGTCTTCGGCGTCGGACTCAGGAGCGACCATGTACTGCAATAGTAGAGTTAGCGAATCTTTCGGTGAGATTAAATATCTGAAAGCAATGCAAGAGGAACAAGGCTCGTAGAACAAAGTAGAGCAAAGACAATAGTCCGATCCGAATCGTCTTCTTGTCTCCTCTCCAGCTTGAAACCTGCCTCCTGGATGTCATATGGCAAACACGACATACCCTCGTTCCCATCACGGCAGCCTCAGCCCCAAGGGCCAGCGCGGCCGCGACACCACGTCCATCTGCGATGCCGCCCGCCGCCCAGACGGCGATTTCCTTGTCCGGGAACTCATTGCGCACCACTAGAGCAGGCTCGGGGTTAGCATCCGCTGTCTTAAGTGATACATCGTCGGTGTCACGACAGATTAAAAGTGACGACCAGCTTCAAATTTGTCAAGCAGTCGCTAATCACGCTGTCTAAGAAGGAATGAAACAATAATCCCGAACAGAAGCTTACTGTCTTTGACCTCGGGAACCAAGCTCACAATTCCGGCAGCCCGAACGAACTGATGGCCGCCTGCCTCGATACCCTGAGCAACGATGACGTCGGCGCCGAGTTCCGCCGCCTCGCGGGCGGCATCCATGGTGCCGACCTGGACAACAACGCGCGGGTTCCAGTTGACAGTAGCAGCGGTGCTGCGTAGCGACTCGATGACGGTTCGCAAGGTCTCGGGTCTGTCCGGGTCCGGCGCGAAGAACCAGACGGCGGCGGGGCGATGACGCGCGAGGATAGGCGCCGTGGTGTTGCCGAAGTGGGGTGCCGCGCAGTCCGAAAACAAAACGAAACCAACACCGATGGGGAGGGGGTGTTGGCTCTCGTCGCTCTCGTCCGTGTTTCTCTCGCGCGGCAGCAAGCTCCTCGCAAGCGTCAGCTGCTCTTCGAGCTGGGCGAGGGAAGACGAGCCAGGCTTGAAGGTTCGACCACCTTGAATGAACCCTTTACACCGTTGGAGAATGTATTAGCATCTCGCGGCCCAAGAGAGGGAGAGGGGGTGTGGAAGAGCACAGGGAATGGAGGGTGGGGGCTCGGCCCGTGTCTTTGGTACGTGTCGTCATCCGTCCGATGACGGCTGGAACGGCAGTAGTCGGCAACAAAGGCCCGGGCGGCAGGCGAGGGCTGGGATCAATCAACGGGAGGCAAGGGGGTCAGGTCAGACGGGGAAACGGGGCGGCTGGACATGTACACACCGAGGCCATTGGCCCGGACCACCTCGCTCGCGAGCCTGGGGTTCGTTATGCCGGCCATGGGTGCGCTGACTATGAGCGGGTGGGCGGTGCCAGGGAACCACTGCTGCATCCGCGACCGTCTCGTTGCGGCCGGCGACATGGTGGAAGAGGTTCTTGTCGTCCCAAACCGGCAAGCTGGTCGTATGACGGCGGCTCTCATTGGCTGCGTGTCGTTGTGACGCCGATTGGGACTCTTGTGGGTATGCGCGCGTATGTAAGTGCGTATATATGACGGGAAAATGAGCGAATAGTGACGGGACTCGTGCCTCCTACTGCCTCGGGAGAATTGGAGCTTGGAGTTGTAGCTAGCGCCCGTCCCGTGGCGGATGGCACGATGCACTGGACAACACGAGACTCGGGCGAGGGCAACGGCGTAGACAGGCCTGGAAGCTGTAGACGATCGCTTTATAGCAGCACGAGCAGGATGCCGAACTCCATGACTAATTCGCCCCAAAGCCGAGGATAGGCAGATGGAGCCGAGCTGTGCCTAGCACGGGAATGTGTGGTGTGCATGTGCTCCTGTCCGCCGTGCGGGTCACCATGTCCACGTAAAGGCGTAGATGCGGTAAAGACAACTCCGCGGGATCTATCCCCTGTGTAGAATCTGATGGACGAAGTGCAACATACCCAGGTGCGTTTGCGACACGGATAGGGATCGTGATGGTTTGATTCTCGTTGATGCGATGAAGAGAGAGATCGTACGAGGCACAGCAGACGCAGCAACTACCACCACCTACCTGCCTAGGTATATATTACCCCTCACCGTCGCTCTCATGTTTTCTCTTCGCGTCACTGTCCTTTGGTGTTAGCCTTCATTATCGCCCGCCCGCCATCAATGTAGAACAAGGCAATGCGTAGCCGGCCAATCACCATCACACACGGGTTTCTTCTAGTCTTCCATACTGACTAAAAATGAACCCATTCTACACTAAACTGCTTATTTTGGTCACGGCCGCCGCCGCCACTCTCCATCACCGTCTTTTTCCCTGTACAATATGACGTAGCTTTGGGCCATGGACCCGAGGTATGACAATCATATGTAAGCCGACAAGCCGAAATGAGGAAGGAAAACGACGATTAGAGAGGCAGTTACATAACAAATGCCAGAGCGAAAATCACCGTAGCTGAAGGTATTCAGATCCGGTGTGTCTTGTCGCTATTGCAATGCTGAGTGGCACGCATCTTGCCGAGCACAACGAGATCCTCAGCCTCTGCAAGGGATTGGCAACGAGAGAAAGCTGAACTCGCTTTCCAGATGGTGTCAAGATGCTATTTGACGCCTCCTGATCTCTCGTCTCTGTAGCAGCAGCACAGCTCGAGTAAAGTCCTGCCCACCATACGTAGTATCCAGAATAGCTTCACCGAGCAAACCCACATGGACTCCCGAGACGGCGAAAGAAAAAAGTGAGGGACTCTACACTAAACACCTCTGTGTTTAGTCTCTCACTTTTTTCTTACACCGCCTCGACGTATCTAGTGTCTAACAACAGATCTCAACTTCAAGAAACTTCTTAAACAAGGGCTAATGATTCAACAGGGGAAAATGGAGATCTCCCAAAGTGACTATCACCTCCTTGCATCTTGTCAGCATAGGTACAACGCACTATATCAATCCGGTATCATTCCGGGCAAAGACCCTTTTAACACATGTAAATGACCTATTATACATCTCCTACATCGAACCAGGGAAGAAAAAAACATCTCGCGACCACGGAACTCCCTATAATCATCCAACACGACAGCCTCGACCAGTGCACAGTAATCAACTACAACACCCAGATCCTCAACCTCAAAACCTGCAAGATCAAATCCAAACAAAACAAACAATGATCATCCAATCAACCAGTCAGCATCTTGAACAAAGGGGGTATATATATCAGTGCAAAACCCGGGCAATTACCGTCCACTGAAACCGAACGAGGCGCACGCGCGTAAAGTACCGGTATCACAGCAAAAACCCCCGGTATCGATAGGGCGTAATCGCTAAGATAGGCTATGATAGATAAATAGGTACCTATCTAGGCAAGATAACCCGATAAGATAAAGAATGCAAAGCCAGTAAGTGGGTAGGTAGGTAGGAAAAGGGACCCTCATTACATCATACCTAACCGCAACACCTCAGATTTACGAATCAAGTTCACGAAAACGCCAAAAGTTCAAATTATATCATCTTGCTAAAAAGCGCACTTTATTCGCCCATCCCCTCTTGGGGATGCACCAAGCACTAATTGATATCGAGTTACACCTTTCGCAGCCCGTACTCATGGACTGACGGACTGGGAGCGCTAACCTTGTAAATTTGCTCACTCCTTGAATTGGACGGCCTTCTTCATCTGTTTCCCCTAGACAACCAGACAACCTCCTCATATAAGTAGGTGCTCACAAGAACATGGCCCCAGCTATTCCAGCTGCAGTCAAAACCTCCTCCTATAATTCCATAATTTCGCATCCGTGTAAATCGGCAGATCTCTGCTCTATGCATTACAAATGTAATTAAACGCCATGTGTGATGCAAGTCAAATTTTGGGCCGTGACAACAAAAATATAAATCCCAAATGAATCCCGGAAAAGTCGAGTTGCTGTCGACTGTATGCCGCCTCCAAACGCCGGCGGCCATGCAAAATGATGGTGGATATAGAAAAATACAGAAAGATGCTGGGAAGACCATGGAGTACGGCTAAATCCATGTGACACGGCAAAAGAAAAAAGAAAAAAAAAGAGAGAAGGGAGGATTGGTGAGAAGGGTGGTTCAAGATCTAGCGCAGCTAAGTTACTGATATGGATGAACCTGGTGTCGTTGGTGACCATAGCCCGGCTGAAATTCGGGTACGATACCCGACCTAACATCATGTCGGCGACCTATGGGCTGGTAGTGCATCTGACTCGACCCCAAGTGGTATTCCGAAAGGGGGATGGAGGGAGGCGGATTAAGAAGCGTATTCACGCGTCGGACTGGCTTGTAGGGACTAGCTCGCTGCTGCAGATAGACCGAAGGCGAATTAGATATGGGCGTATGGCTGGCATAAACTTCGGCTAGTGGAGACGACCCAAATGCTGCCATGCTAGAAGGACTATGCCTCTTTGTAGGTGTGCCGTAGTTGGAAGGGACTCCATATGATGGTGTCTGAGGCCCGCAGGTTGACAGAGCCGTGTTTGTTGTCGGCCATGACGAAGTTGGCGTATATACGGTGGACATGGCCCGGATACCAGGTATAAGGGGAGGCAGAGATACCATGGATGGCCCATACATATTGGGCAGTGTGGCCTGGCTGGTGTCTAGGGTCAATTGTGGCGCAGGTAGTCGGACTGGATCGATACCTGCCGTCGGGCGCATAGACGGCACCATGATCTGAGAGGGCGCAAGAGTCACCTTTTTCGGGGCCGGTTCCACAGCATCACCTCCGTCCCAGCTCCTCTTTCGCAGCAGTGGATGTCCTAGGCTCGGCTTCACTGCTAATGGAGAAACGACTGGCGTCACATGGTAGGCGCTATCCCAGCCATTGTGTTGTGCCGAAGATGGTGAGTATGCCGAAACAAGCGAAGGCGCACCATGGGCGCTTGTGGGAAGAATGGCCGTAGGCGATGGCAGAGGAGGCGTGAATCTTCCTTGGTTGGGAGATAGGTGGATAGGCGTGGTTTGTGCTTGTCTAATAGTTTCTTCAGCTCTAGCCCGTTCGCAATACTTGTGATAGCAAGCCAATTTGCGCAGCCACTCCCGCCATTGCTCTTTCGATGTCAACAACCCATATCTCATATTACTGAGAAATTCAACCTCCATAACGTGGATTTCTTTGACGGAAATACCCGAAACCTCAGCCCATGTCTTGTTCGTGTACGTATTGTCATCCAGGAACTTGTTGCCGAGCATCAGCGCCACCGTGAGCAACCGATACTCACTTCCCGGGTTGCCGTGAACTCGGGGATTTGTCTTCTTGAGTCGGTACACGAATAGTAATGCAAGGAGCACCACATTCTGTGTAACTTGGGTTGTCGATAATATACTATGCACCCATTTCTTGTACGCTGGACATGGCTCGGTATACTTGGACAAGGGGGAAAGTGGCTCTGATGATCGATGAGTGTTGATTTGCTCGGCTGTTTCTATCGTGTCCATTGTCTCGAACCAAAAAAAGCACGTCATCTACGGGATAATTAGTCTTAACCGTACAATTCCCGACATTCTACAGATATGACTTACCAGTGCAGCAAAATCATCCAAGTTCCCGCCATGCGGGCTGATACACTTCGGTAATTTCAGGCTGTGCATCACCATGCCTGGATCGTCTCCATTATTGATAATGACCTCAGGAGTATGTCTGCTTATGCTGCTCACTACGACAGGCGTGGGCGGCTGAGTTGAGGCTCGTGACACTACCAATTCAGGTTGTGATCGGTGTGGGAGGTTACTGATGAGTTGGGGTTGTAGTTGGGGTTGAGACTGCGTTCTCGAATACGCGTGGACGGCTGCATCCGAGACGATGTTGCTGCTGCCAAAGCGTGTGGGTACCACGATATTGAAATTCGGGTGCCGGGCGATAGATACGTGGGCATCGTATGTGTTGCCAGCAATTACCGGGTTGTGGTAAGCGGCGCTCATATCGTCGTCTGCTGGAGGCGTTCGGAGACCACCCGAGTATGGGCCAGTCTCTTGAGCCACGAAGCCACCGTGGAGCTTCCCGAAGCTCAATGGGGGAGGAATAGGTCGTCGTGGATAGCCCGCCACATGTGACGGTGAAGGCGGAAATTGGCGGAGCTGCTGTATGGAAGTGGCGGAAGAAGACATATGGGTAGTAGTAGTAGTAGTAGTAGTAGTTGAATAGATGCGTGAACGAGCGCGGGTACGAGATAGGAGGGACCAGAAGTGGTGCAGAGGATTTCAAGTGATGGCCTAACAGCAGATGACCAAATTGCGTGGGTGGTGAAAGGAAAAGGACTGCGTTAGTTGCCAGGCTTGAGGTGTTGGCAGAGAGGAGGAAGTTAGTCCCGTTGCCAGTTGCAACTCTGTTTGCCCGAGGATCCTATTGCTCAATGGTGCCGCGCGCTGTGTTGTTATTCAGCCTTTAAAAGTGCATGTGTACATATTCACATCCACATGGCAACCGAACCTTATACCATTCAACCATTCAACCAAACTACCAATACCAAGATGGTGCAGGCAAATGAACGTGTAACGGGGCCGTTTGTTGGATGAATGCTGCTAATGGCGCAGAGGAACAAAGTAGATACGGCGGATATTGATGATTAAATGTTGATCCTGTTAGGTCATATCCTATGAGCCATTTCGATTGAACAATGGAGAGATGAGGATCGGGGCCGCCTTTTATCTAAGTGCCTCAACCCACGTTACTCAGTTTGTTCGTGCAGGGCAAGAAGATTTTGGTTTTTCTTGTTGCCCGCCTCGTTCCTCTTTGGCTCGTTGTGCCTGGCTTCGGCTAGTGTAATCGCAAAATCGTAGTCGGTAAACAGAACGGCAGGTTCGTCGTGGTTCGTCAGTCGAGCGGGATCAACACTCAGCACCGTCGTCGTAGCCGAGTTCGCGTATTAATAAGTAGTTTACTTTCTCCGCCTTGTGTTTTCCTGCTGACGGCTACCGGGGCCGTTGACATGTGAGAACTGTCTTGTATTCTACCCAGAGACCTGTTCGGATGGCTGGTCGTCGTGACTTCTGAGGGGGACTGTCAGGTGAAGGAACGTAGCCGAGATGGTAGCAAATGGCACGAGACAGCCTGAAAGAATGTGGTGAGTTTATAGGCCTAGATGTCTCCCGCTTTCACCTTTCGACTTCCGTGGCAATCCTACAGCTTCGGGATCGGCTTTCGTAAGAGATATGGAAGTGAGAATGGGTGTGGACGAGGGAATACCCAGTCAATAGGTGTGGATGGGTGGATGGACAGACTGATGAACGGAGGTGTCAATGGAAGGACGGTTTGGCAGAATTGCTAGGCGCGGAAGTCTCGCTTTCACGGGTCTAGGTTCGTCTTTGGAAAAGGAAAGTCAATCAATTGGAACTCGAAATAGCGTCTAAAGAATATTATACACAGATGGATGGATAGATACAGACGAGCGAAGGTAAAAGAGCAGCGTTGGGTAGGTAGATTCTAACTTGGTCATCATGCTCGCTCGGTATGAAGGCTTGGATTGGAGGCATGTGTTAAGTGTAAGTCAGGTCAGTAACCGCACTAGGTAGAGTTAGCGGGCTAGCGTCGAGCTGCACGCGGTGGAGTGTGTCTAGTGCATCGACCTTTTGACGGCAAGTACCTTCTGCTCCCCGTTCCTCGTGCCCACCACTAAGAGAGCTACTTACTCTACGCTGGAGATATACTTGTGGGTACATGTGGTACCCACCGCATACCTAGGTACTGTAAGTATGTACTTACGTAGCTGCCGACTCACTGTAAGTAGGCAGGATTGCAAGTATGTCGGGGCTCTCAGGGCTCTTGAGAGCTAGACCAAGTCTGACCAAGTTACAGTATGTACCTTGAGAGGTACCGCCCGGACAAGGTAAGTACCGGTAGGTAGGGGCTTAGCTCAAATTAGCATTCATTATAAGAAGGCTCCTCCTTACTTACAGAGGTGATACTTCCTCCTAATTCTCAGAGGCTAGTAGTAGGAACACGGAAGGTTTCTAATGGCCGGATTAAGACTGGTTGAAGTGGGTTAAACACATCCACAGAATGTGGGTGAGCAAGCAGAAGGCAAATACAGTAGAACATATAAGTAGGCATTGTTTCTTCAGCAAAGCTCCAGGTACTAAACCTAAGCTACCGGTACTCTGACAGATATAGGTACTTCGTACGCACAATCGTCGGGTTGTCAAACACTTACAAGTTGTTGGTGTGTACCACATGGAATCTTCGTACAGTACTTAGGATACCTCTGCCTACTATGTACAGTAAATTTAGTGTACTCATGCGTGCAGGCTACCGCTTTCGTTCAAGAGGTCGCTGTCTCTCCATTCCTTTTCAAGGTTTTATCTCCCGGGACGCGGTGTCTACAGGTTGACAAAGTACTTGCTTGCATACCTAGACGTACTTCTGGGGTCCATTTAGCATTGTGCACAACACTCTTGTCGTCCGATCCGTGAGTGGTTCGCCCTGTCCCTTACTCTTGAGTCTTGACGCAGCAAGCAGGACATCGCGGTCCACTACCTATCTGGACACGGACACAGACACTGTACTAGGTATCTGTCTCTTATACCCCATAGATGGGGGCCGTAATTTGGGTGTGTATCTATTATCCGACCTACCTAGTGGCTCCAGCTGTCTCTGTCCAGGAGACAGTGTAAGATCGAGCATCTTCAATACTGTGGGGTATATCCTCTGGCACGTTTTTCATTGCCCAATCTGCCCAATCACGTCTGTTTCGGTAGCCAGAAACCCGAGCAAATACTTACTACGTAGTACCTAGGTAGGTCAAAGCAGGGAGCGATAGCAAATCCCAACACGGAGACGATTTGAGGCTTCGTCGTTTCATGGATGTGCATCAAAGAAGCCTGTCTACATATCTATTACATGTAATACCTAGGTCGTTTCCTTGATGTATGATCAATGTACCGGTAGTACAGCAAGTCAGTAGACGTCTGGAAGGGAAAGGAAAAGCAAATCCATATATACTACCTAGGTAGTAGTAAAGCCTGGACTTACATTGCCTGCTACCTAGGTACCAAAAGCCTGCAGTACCTAGGTGCGTGCTTACAGTACTTCGGACGCCGCCAAACCTAAGGATTGCGGCGCTTATTCCCTTATCGAGGACACCATGGAGCAAGGGATGTAGGTAACTGGAAACTTGGCTAGTAATAAGGGAAATGATAGTGCACTGGGGGCGTCATACCTAAAGTTGCCCTTCTACTAAAAGCTTGTACCGGTAGTGTACTACTTACACTACAGCTTGAAAATATTGCCTGCAATTGTTGCCTTGTGGTGCATGAGACGTGAAAATGTCTCGCTGCATTCCATTATGGGCTTGACTAGAGAACAGTGCCGTGGTAGTAACTCTTACGATATGCTCCATCTTCCTGATGGTGACGGCACGCGATAGTGATGACCTAAGTAAAAGGGGAGGGATTTGTCTAACATAACTGACATCCTCACTCACGCTATCTACCTACTGTCCTGGATCGTCCTATCAGTGGCCTTGTTCAAACATGGTGGAAAAGACATCATGACAGTTCAATGTGCAGTTTGGTCATCCGTGCAGCAGGCAAGACAGGACGTGCAAAGTAGAGCTCTGCCGAATGGATTGCTAAGTATCTATCTACAACGAAACGATACGTCCCCAGCATGTTCCTGCGTAGGTATACCTATAATGTAAGTATGTAGTGTAGGTAATGCCCTAACGGAAAATGCCTACGACGCTAGATAGTGATCGAACTGCTGAGGCATACGTATCCGTTACCATTCATCCATTCATTGGTTCCGGGGAAGAGGCTCAGCATTCGCGGTGACGACGCCGGCTTCTTGAGTCGGAGGCTAAAGAACTCACAGCCAAGCAAGCGGGTATACTTACTTACCTACCAGGTAGGTGCACTAGACATCCAAGACCAAGTTAGAAATCTGACAATCTATGAGCTGCTATCATTTATTTTACGTGTAAACCCCGTGAGCCAATCTAAAAAGGTAAATCCACCACGGCGAAGCGGGAAGAAGCAACCTTGGAAGTCTCTGTCTATTTCAGTCGGTATAGTTTACACATAACTAGTTAAAAATAGATATTGAGGAAGAGGTAATTCTACGTGCACAAAGGTCAAGTCTTGCATCAATTGTTAAGGGAAAAGTGTGTGTCTCTATCTGCGTGTCGTCATCGGACCTTGTGCGGCAAAGGTTCTGCGTACCTATATACAACAATGCTTGTTGGAGAATGCACCTGGGGTACCTGAGATAATCACGATATCTACCTAATAATTTACGGGTACCTCCCTCCCCTGTTGCTCTATAGTACATCCATATTACAGTAAGGTAGCGGTACCTTGTCTCAGCGAGACGGAGGAGCTGTGGCATTCGAACAACATCTCTGATTGGCTTCTTTGGGTGGCTTCGGCGGAGGGAAGAGCCTACAAGAGCCGACCTAGAGAACTTCGTAAGTACAAGAAAGGCGTTTGCCCACTAGATCCATCGCAAGCAGAATGGCGCAGTCCAGTCCAGTCCAGTCCAATTCAGTTCAGTCACTCCCCTGTTCCAAGACTTCACTTAAGTAGACGAGACCCTTAATTGATGCCTAAGTACACACCGGCCGCTGGCCAAGTCTACCTACATAGCCTAGGTACCTTACTTACATAGTATGCTCACCCACACATCATCGTCTTTTGTAAGTATGCAAACAACGTGGCCAATCACAATTGATCTTCAAAAGTAAAGATACCTACTGTACTTACACCAGTGACAACCGTCCTCGGTATGCACCAGCTGGTCCTGGAAGCAACGACGCCTGACCTACTTATACATATACGGAGACGGCTGAAGAAGTTCCCAAGCCCGGTAGGAACAATGGGGGTACATGGGCGCAAGTAATAAACCACCTGCGCACCTGTCAACATGGGCGTCGTCGGTTCGCGGCTTCGTGACAGTCACCAGCCCAGTAAAAACCCATCCTGGGGTGTAC